TGGTCCCCTTTTTGTTTTCTTGTTTGGACCAATTTTAGGTGTGTTTTCAACATAAGATTATTATTATTATTATTATTATTATTATTTCATCCGTCATTCAATTATATATCATTTTTTTAAATAAAAATTTTAAATAAATGAAAAATAACAATAATATTGTTTTACTAAAAAGAACAAAAAAATATATATATTTTCTCCGTCTCAGAAGAGATGTCTTATTGGGAGTTGACACCATAATTAAAAAATAATAGTATTTAATCGAGAGTGGGTATAAAGTAGAATATAAAAGACTATAATGTCCTTACTTTTTTAAGGATTTTAAAAAGTAGATTAGAGTAATAATTAAGAATAGTTTGGAAAAGTAGAAATAATTTTGTTATAAAGTGAGGATTACAGTTACTAAATAAGGAAACAAGACAATTGTTTTTTAGACAAATGAAAATGAAAAAATAAGATAACTCTTTTGGAACGGATAAAATATTTTTTATGATAATTAAAAGACAAAAAAAAAAAGAAATAAATTTAAATGTCTGTTTATTAATGTCATTGTTATTTTATAGTTCTTATTTGTTATTAATATGTGGAGTAAAATTTTATTGTCACATTTAAACATATTATTATATATATATATATTGTATTTTAAAATAATTCAGAAAAAAACATATACAAAATATAGTGTGTTTATCTAATTTATTGATATGGTTTTCGATAAATGTTAGCAAAAGATATATATAATATTATATTTTATTTACTTATAAAAATTTAACAATTCAAATACATAATGTTACAATATGAAATTGAAATTCTCTATTTCAATCATAAAAATACGTATATATTTATAGTGATATACAAATCATATAAATAAGGCAAAAATCCTACGAATTTCTTAAATAAGATAACTACCATGAATAGTGAGGTTATGGATTTAAATCATAATGCCTCCAAGTTCACCTGTGACAGATGGTTCATCTAGTGTGATTTACCTGTCAGGCCTAATTTGCAGGGTATTAGGTTCGGCACCGGTAAAATCCAGCGCACTCTCGATAACGATTGCGAGTTTCCACGTTATCAAATAATAATAATAATAATAAACAAGAATTAGGATGCATGTCAAAGTTTTATTACGTTTTATTATAATTTACACGGGAGACCAAAACTAACAAAATAATTCCAAAAAAAAAATGCTCTTAAAATTTGGAAACAAAATAGTAGTGTGTTATTTACTTTAATAAATTTCATCGATAATTTCAATAATTCAATTGATCAATGATTTAAGAAATCAAATGAAATATATTACTCCCCCGTCCCTCATGTTTATCATTTTTATCCGTCCCAAAACAATAGTCTCATTTCCATAAATAACCATATCACTATAAAATTATCTTTATTTTTTTTATTATTATTACACAATTGTCATTACTTTTTATACTAATACACTCACAATGACAAAAAAGTGTTTCACCCGCACTTTTTACCCACTATCAATATTTTTAAAATCTCGTGTCAAACAAAACCCAGACTATACTTCTGGGACGGAGGGAGTTGTTGAAGTGTAGTTCAAGAGAAATATATATATATATATATATATATATACAATTTTTTGTTTTATGAATGTATGTATATATATTCCACTTGTAAGTCTTGTTAATTAGTTATCTATTCATTTAAAACAATAATATATTATATTGCAAATTATAAGATATATAAAACTAGCTAGTCATTATACATGCGAATCTATGTGGCCAAAATTTGTTTGATTTTATACTTAACTAGTAGTTAAATATAATATTAGGTGAAAGAAAATATAAAAAAAATTATAAGAATTACATATAAAAAAAATTAAAAATAAAAATAAAAAAGAAGAGAACTATAAATCTTCCACTTCAATGCATAATCTTTGCAGCATTTTTAGGTGGTTCAATAAATATGTCGTTTTTTTTTTTAATATATATATATATATATATAACATATGTGTGAAAATGAGATATACTCTCTCGGTTTCAAAATTAAATATTCATTTGCTTTTTATACGTAGTTTTAGAAATATTAATATTATATTGGAATATAGTAGGAATAAAATAAAACTGACTAAAATAACCTTATTAGTATGTGTGATATAAATGTAATGACATTTGTGTAATATATTGTAAGTTGTAAGAGTATTTGTAATGTTAGGTAAATAGTACAGTTACTAAAAAAGAAAATGGATACTTTATTATGAAACAGACTAAAATAAAAAAATAATACTTTGATATGGGACGAAAGGAGTAATAAAAATTCCCCTAACAAAAAATTGCATGTGCACTTAGCAAACACATGTGGGAAGGAGGGGCTTTATAAGAAAGGAATTAATTAGGGATTTGGTTATTTACGGAGGACTTATTTATAAATATAAAGTTGTTGGCTGGGCTGAAATGAAATAATTACCAAAAAAAATTGGGTGTTCTCTCAAAGTTTTATTTTATTTTTTTACTATCAATATAGATTTTTTATTTTTATTTTATAAAATATATATCTAATCACTATGTAAAAGCATGAATATAAACCAAATACACCCAAAGACAATGAAATCTAAATTACGGAAAATAAAATAAAATATTTAAGTTGAAACAATTATAATTGATAATGATATTTAAAAAAAAAATACATAAAATTTGCACACATTTGCCTATCTTTTGATGAAAAGTATTTTTAATATATGGTTTTGTTACTCAAATTAAAATCAGTCTACATAATTTTCAATAATAATAAAAAAAATATATTATTATTTTTTTTACAAAATCTCACATAAAAATACTATTTAAATCAAAACTTAATAAAAAATAAAAATAAAAATATATATCCAAACAAGGCCTTACTTTAGATAAAAATAAATAAATAAAATGACACATCTAAAAAAAATAAAATGTTAAGGATAGAGGTAATATAAAATTATGGGACTAACAACTAAAGGCATTATATATATTTATAATACTCCCTCCGACACACATAAAATAAACATTTATTTTTGACGCGATGTTTAAAAAATAATAGTATTTTAATTATAGTATGTAGTTAAAAGTAGTGTAATGATATTTTTGCCTTTATTTTTTTGTGTAAAAATAATGATATGATGTAAAGTAAATGTATTTGTGGGGAAAAATGAATTATTTAATAAAATATTTACTTTGTAATTGGACGTTCCAAAATAAAAATATATATACTTTTTAACTGAATGAAGGGAGTATAAAATAGTGACCGAATGAAATGTCTTGCATAAAATCTAATTATTAATTCTAAATCTTATAATATAAACTCTTCTCATAAAAATACGTATAATGCGTATTATTATAAAATAAATAAATGAATAAAAAAAACTATTGAACCTGGGCATTTTATTTTATTTTATAATTATTTGAAAGGAAATTATAGAGGCATCGGATGCCAAATTAGTAGTACAAGACAACATTAGAAGTAAAAGGGACCCACCAATTAAGGCATATGCTTCATTGGTCTCTTACCAACCCAACTTAGTTTACATTTCTATTTTAAATTCTATCTTTTTTTAAAAAAAAAATAAATAAATAAAAAAATAAACAAAATGTGTCTTTTTTTTTTTTTTTTTTTTGGTATTTTAGATCATAGTTTCATCCTATATGCTGCTAAAATAACATTGAGTGTCACATATTAGACTAACAATATATTTATTCATATCTTTAGAATGTTTTTTATTTTTTATTTTATACTATAAAGTAATTTTACATTCAAAATATAACATCAATAACAATTTATATTACAATTATGAAATTATTCAAATTCAAATTTTTTACTATCTAAATCTCAAACAAAAATTCAAACTCCAAACAAACACACTATGAAAAATGTTATATGTACACATTAAAAGTTTGTAAAAAATTTAGAACATTTTAGATTAGAATTAATAGTAAAACATTTATAGAAGAATAATGTACGTAAAAAATATGTAAACAATACAATTGTTTTAAATGACCTTAATTCTACAAACATGAGTTCAATACCAACATTGTAATATACTGCAATGAGACTTCGAAAACAAATAAAATTTCACTGAAAAAACCCCGCGAACATAATTTAAAAATAAAAATAATAATGTGTCCGAGAGTAGTTCTAAACTCTAACCTAAGCATGGAAGTATAATTTTAAAAATATCGATCGGCTGGTTACAAGTGAACTCATTTAAATTTAATGTAATTCTTGTAACCAATAATTAGTATTTAATAGAGTCGCAAACCGAGCTACCAACCACACCAATTGTTCAGTTTAGAGTTTGGGAAGCTTCGACAATAACAAATTTGGGATTATTTAGATTTCATTAAAATTTTGAAATTAAACGAGTGTATTACAATGAGTTGAAGGTTAATTTACGTAATTATTTAAAAGAATATATATATATATAAAGTATTATTGTAAAAGAAAAAGACAATAAATATTAAATTTTTGGAGTATAAGTTCTTAAAATGAAAAAATATAGTATTAATTAAATATTGTTTTATAGAAAATTTACAATATAAAATTAATATATCTATTGAAAATATATAAACTTATAAATATGTAATTGATATAAATATATTAATTAAGAAATAAATAATAATGATTATAATAAAAATAATAACATAGTAATCTTGATCTTACCTATATTTTTACCCAATTACTATTTATAAACATTTTACAGATATAGAATATAATAATAATAATAATAAGTCCAAGAATAGAACGTTTTCCGAAATGTAATGTTTGCCAATAAGATCGATCTATTTGGAACTGGTTTTTCGATCATACCTAATTTTCTCCATAAACCAATTTTATTCTTCTTTCATTTTTTATCTTTTCTGCAACCTTATTCATCCATCGTCCTCAATCATTATTATTATTATTCTTATCATGAATCTCAATATCATTTTCTCTAAATTTAATTACTAATTTTTTTTTATTTGATTTTTGATAAGAAATAATCGTGAAAATTAATTAGATTTAGAGTGGGAATGAGAGGAGCAGTTCTGGTAGCGGCGGCGGCCGCCATTGGTAACATGTTGCAAGGTTGGGACAACGCCACTATTGCAGGTAATATTATACTTTCTCCGTCTTAAAAGTACAATTTTACTGTGTTTAACACATATTGGTGGTTGATAAAAAATATGGATAAATAATTTTTTTTGCCTTTGTGAGTATATTAATGTAAAAAGTAGTGGTAATTGTGTAATAATAATGAAAAAGTAGGGATAATTTTATGGTGATATAGTTATCTATGAAAATGATACTATTATTTTGGAACGGACATAAATGGTATTGGGACAGAGGGAATATTTGCTTTCTAAATTTTTATTTATGTATTTATTGTTATTATTATTATTATTTTGGTCATTCATTTATACATATCAAGTTTGTGTGTGTTTGTTTGTTTATGTATTTTTGTGGTACGATACGAGAAATCGTGAATGACCAATTATGCAAAAATGTACCATATGGGTGTGTTTATTTAGATTTGAATAGTAGAATAATTGAATTGGAATATTTGTAAAATATGATAAAAATAGATGTTGATATAATGTTTTGAATATAAAATTAATTTTTATTATATCAGTTATGCAAAAATGTGACATATGGGTGTGTATGTTTCCAAAATTGATATTTGAATAGTAAAAAATTTGAATTAGAATAGTCGTAATATCCGATGAAAATAAATATTGATATAATATTTTAAATAATATAAAATTGATTTTTAGTATAATAAAGAAAATAAAAAATAGAAATTTTGAATTTTATGTTTTTGGAAAAAAATTAAATTGATGAATAGTAAAAATTTATAAAATTGGATAAACAAACGGGTGAACATGTATGATGGGTGTCGTACATATATTGTATAGACTATTAGTATGTACATACCGTAATTTTATTATGCGTAATTGTATACGTCGGATATTCAATTTCGATTCTGAAATCAATCATGACATATACTCTGTGAACTTCCATCTAAGCACCTATAATCGATATTATACATACATTGTATAGACTATTTCTATAAGCATACAATATTTATATTATATTAACATATAATTTCAACTCTAAAATCAATCGTAACATATATCGTACGAACTTTTACACAGGATCCGTATTGTACATAAAAAAAGAATTCCACTTGGAGACCCAGCCAACGATCGAAGGGCTAATCGTGGCGACATCGCTAATCGGCGCGACGGCCATCACCACATTTTCCGGGCCGGTGTGCGACTGGCTCGGCCGCCGCCCGATGCTCATAATATCATCGATTCTCTACTTCCTAAGCGGCCTAGTAATGTTTTGGGCCCCCAATGTCTACATTCTTCTGATGGCCCGGCTTCTAGATGGTTTCGGAATCGGGCTCGCCGTGACGCTCGTTCCGGTGTACATATCGGAGACGGCGCCGCCGGAAATTCGGGGGCTGCTGAACACCCTGCCGCAGTTCACCGGGTGCGTTGGAATGTTCTTGGCCTATTGCATGGTATTCTCCATGTCGATGTCGCCGGCGCCGAGCTGGAGGCTGATGCTCGGAGTTTTGTCGTTTCCGTCGATGATTTACTTCCTTTTGGCGGTGTTTTTCTTGCCGGAGTCGCCACGCTGGCTCGTTAGTAAGGGGAGGATGAAGGAGGCTAAGGCTATTTTGCAGAATATACGTGGGAGAGAAGATGTTTCAGGTATATATATGTATTTTTTTTATTTTTGGTATTTAATATAGAAATGATGAATTTGAAAATATTAAGTGAATATATTCTAAATTTTGAAAGAAATGAATTGAAGGAAAAAATGAGTGGAGAAATTTATTATTTGATTGAATTGTGATTGAATTTAATCTTGAATTTAAGATGGGATAAATGTTTTTTTTTTTTTCTTAAAGAAAAAATTTTATTTGAGTTTTTTTATTATTTTAATTATTTAAGTAAAGTATATATAAATAGTTTATATGTCTTTTATGTAATCAATTTTTATTGAAGGGTCTTTTTGAGTGTTTAAATATTGAAGACTAAAATGTTGGAGTTTAGTAGGGGTAAAGATTCCCTAAAAAAGGTGTTTGTTTAGTTAGGGTTTAGCCAAAAAAAAAAAAAAAAGGCTTGTTTAGTTGGGATTTAGTTTATATATTAAAACTTTGAATTTTATTTTGACTAATCATTTGTATTTGATGTAAAAGAATATGTTAGGAAAGAAACTAAAATATTTTAGAAAAATAATCCTAAATTTCGAACATGAAAGGCTTGATTCACTTGAATTGGCATCAACTAATGGCTGATCAAATCAGTAGAGATATTTTAGACATAAAATTTATAGTTTAAATTACTTTCTATTACATAAACTTGGTTTGTATCATAGTTATTTACAAGTCTAACATCATTATTAATAACATAAAATTTTCTAAAATTCTCATGCAATAACTACTATCATCATCAATAACATCGAATCATATTCAAAACATGTAATATTAAGCTCCAAAACTGTGGTCGTCCAAACAGGTGAAATGGCGTTACTGGTGGAAGGTCTGGACGTCGGCGGCGAAACGTCGGTGGAAGAATACATAATCAGTCCCGACAACGACCTCGCCCAAGAACACGTCGTCGAGAAAGACCACATCAAACTGTACGGCGCCGAGGAAGGTCAGTCGTGGATCGCGAAGCCGGTCACCGGCGGCAGCACTCTCGGCATGGTTTCCCGCCACGGCAGCGTCGCAAATCGGAGCATGTTAATGGACCCAACGGTGGCGCTCTTCGGCAGCGTCCACGAGAAGCTGCCGGAGATGGGGAGCATGAGGAGCATGCTCTTCTCCAACTTCGGCAGCATGCTCAACGCCGGCGACGCGCCGCCGCCGCCGCGGAACGAGCACTGGGACGAGGAGAACCTCCAGAGAGACGCCGACCACGCGTCGGATTCCGGCGGGGATTCCGACGAAAATATAAGGAGTCCGTTGCTGTCACGTGACGACACGTACGCTGAGAGGGACGGCGCCGGGGAGCACATCGGCGGCGTGGGGATCGGCGGCGGCTGGCAGCTGGCGTACAGGAAGGACGAGAAGAGCTCGAGTTTGAAGAGGATTTACCTGCACCAGGAGGGACTCGGCTCGCGGCGCGGCTCGATGGTCGGTGAAGCTGGCGGCGCCGCGGCGGCTGAGAGTGAATACGTCCACGCCGCGGCTCTGGTGAGCCGGTCTGTTCTTGATGTAGGTGACGTCACGGGGCATCATCAGATGTCAGCGATGGGAATAGCGGCCAGTGCGACTGAGAAAAAACCGGACCGGGTCAAGGACGGGCCGAGTTGGAGCGATCTTTTTGAACCGGGAGTCAAACATGCTTTGGTCGTCGGAGTAGGAATTCAAATTCTTCAACAGGTACCCGCCACTCCTTTTTTTTAAAAAAAATAAATAAATTATACTAAAATACTCGAATTAATATATTTATTTATTAAAACATATATATATTTTTTTAAATCGGTGTTATATAGTTTTCGGGCATCAACGGAGTTCTATACTATACTCCTCAAATTCTCGAGCAAGCCGGGGTCGGAATTTTATTAAAAAATCTCGGCCTTGGCTCCGACTCAGCGTCTCTTCTCATCAGCGCTCTCACTACACTACTGATGCTTCCGAGCATCGGCATTGCCATGAGGCTAATGGATATAGCCGGCAGAAGGTATGTCTCGAATTTATTTTTTACTAATTTATTTATGAACAATATAAAAATATTAAAATATATATTTATATTTTTTTTTACAGGTGGCTCTTGTTGTCAACTCTACCTATTTTATTGTTATCCCTAATCATGTTGATCATCGGAAACATAGTCAACCTCGGCTCTATGTTACATGCCATCATTTCAACAATTAGCGTAATCGTATACTTCTGTTGTTTCGTGATGGGTTTTGGACCAATCCCAAACATCCTCTGCTCGGAGATTTTCCCAACCCGTGTCCGAGGAATATGTATCGCAATATGCGCTCTTACATTTTGGATCGGTGACATTATCGTGACATATTCTCTCCCCGTGATGCTAAGCTCTATTGGCTTGGCCGGCGTCTTCGCAATGTACGCCGTTGTCTGTACTGTGGCGTGGTTCTTCGTGTTCTTCCGTGTCCCGGAAACTAAGGGGATGCCTCTAGAAGTCATTACTGAATTCTTTGCTATGGGCGCAAAGCAAAATATGAGGGAGGATTGATAGTTAGGGGGTAATAATTTTGTTGATATTATTAGAAGAGAATATTTGAATAATTTGTTACATTAGTTTCAATTCCAAGTTTCTGTTTTCTCTAAATTTTTAGTTATCGCTATTTTATTACTCCTGTTTTATTTTTTTTATTGTTCTTTATGTATATGATTTCTTTATTCTGTAATTTTTATTTGACGCAATTACACAAAAAGTTTTGTTTTGTTAATATGAAATTTGTTGATCTCTTAAAAACTATCAACAAACTAATAAATACTCCCTCTGTCCATTTTTTAATGTTCTAAATGATATTTACACATTTTCTTAGGTAATTAATGTTTTGATTGTAAATTGACAAAATAGTACTTTATTTTGTGTATAGATATAAAAAAGATAAATAAAACATAGGTAAAAAAGTAAATTTTATGTATAAAAATAGAAAAAGGACAATCATTTTTTGACGTTTCAAATAAAAAAGTAGAACATTAATTTATGGACGGAACGGAGTAAAATATTACACAGTTTATTATTATTATTATTATTATTATTATTATTATTATTACTTTACACCACCAATCCCTCATTTTCTTTAAAAATCATCAAATAAAATATAATAACAATGAGTTGGATGGAATTAAATTATGAATAGTGACAGCGGTCCATATTATTATTATTATTATTATTATTATTATTATTTACTGATCCTGTCCGATGAAAATCCTACCTGTTTCGGGACAAAGGCATTTATTGGCACTTCTGTTTCATTTCATGCTTTGTTGGTTTATTTAAGGGGTGTGTGTTTTTTTTTTTTTGAAAAAGTTGTTCATTGCAATATTTTATATAAAAGTTAATTATATCTTTTATTGAGACTGATGAGATTAGATCATTAAAAAAAAAAAAAGAAATAAGAAGCATATTATTCCATCATTTAAACTTAAACTAGCCTCGACAAAGTAAATCACACTAGGCGAATCATGTATTAATAACCCGGAGGCGTCGTGGATTTGAATCAATGATCTCACGGTCACAAGTCCACCCCTACATCAGTAGATCATTCTTTACGGGACTTAGATTTTTGTTTATATAAGTTTGCTTACTTGACGGCTATTTTTAATTTTTTTTATTATATATTTCCTCCGTCCGATCCTAAAGATTTTTATTTACTTTTTGTGTAATTGTATTTAATATTAAAAATATTTTTATATTTGTATAAATTTTTTTACACAAATATTCTTATAATAGTATTATAAAATATTAATAAAATTATTTTTTTATTTTTTTTAAACTATATTTGATATAATAATTAATATTTAAAAATTAAAAAAAATAAAAATAAAAAATAAAAAAAAAACCTTTTGGACATGACGAAGGTAATAATATTTATGTTACATTATTGTGAAAACGTAATTAGATAGAGCGGGTGCACATGCTCCGAAAGGTATGAGCTGAGCTGTACCGTTTCGAGTGGTGGGCCCCGCAAATCCAACTCACAGGTCATTTCATACTCTGTCATTCCGTCCCTGCGTGTCACCCCACTCGTCGTCAATACTTCTATTCTTATGGGCATTCTCGTTATTTCACTTCCCTCGCCGTATTTTCTAAAATCAATATTACGGTATTGTTGTCCGGTAATGATTCATACCAAAAATTACAGAACTATAATATAGATCAATTAATCATAGATATATATATATTTTTAATTATTGAGTAAATTTCTGAAACATTTATATATTAAAGAATAACTTTTTATTTTTATTTTTTGGTTATAATATGTATAAAAGTAATATTTTATTGAAAACACATTTTACCTTTGAGCATTGGATTCCAAATTAACCTTTAAAATTATCTGTCACTTATCCTAATTATGACAACCACTCCCTTATTTTTTTAATTATATACTTTTTAATCCCTAAATATTTACTAATGTAATGAGTCGATGGGCAGGCTGTACAAAGTGCTTTTTATCTGTCCATTTCGGACACTAATGACTACTCACTGGATGCTGCCACGTGTCCAGTCAAGACATCCTGACCGTGCAATAATACGAGGATTATATTTAGCCATAATTAAATTGGACCTGCTTTAATGACCATTGATGTAACACTCACAAAGCAGGCAAATCTATTAAAGTGCTCATTAAATTATTTAAATCATATTAATGATACTATTATTATAAGAAAATTTATTTTTGTACCTTTACCTATTTTATTATTTATTATTTTATTTTTTTTGTGATTTTAAAATTCTACTATTTTAATTCTTATAGTAACTTTCGAATTCGACATTCCTTGATGCTCTGGTTTTCTTTTTATTTTTTATTTTTTATTTTTATTTTTTTAGCACACTTTTTCCTATTTATAATTACAGTTCGACATAGTCTTACACAAATTGTAGTACTTAGATACATAAAATAAATAAATAAATAACATAGTATTGCACAAAATTATTTAATTATTATATATTATATTTCGGGTTTATATTATTTAATATAAAAGCTCCCGGGACTACTATTCCTTATCACATTGATCTGAGAGCATGAACGGTGGCGATGCATTTGGGAGTAAAGGTCCCAGGGGCTCTTTAAATTAATTAGAGAATCTTTTCAATTCTGGGCTACTAGGCCCAATTGCTTTTACTATTACAGCATTAGCTAAAAAAAACTTGGTTTTCTGTTTTTAAGAAAATAATAATAATAATTGAAACTAAAAAATTGGATGGATATAATTAATGTTATATGATCGAAATTGATATTTATTAAGTCGTAGGGGGCCAAAACAAATTTATTTTCCTGAATGTGAATTAAATATGTGCACATGGACAAAGGGGACCTGTCTCTGAACCGACACTAATATTAGCCTTAATTAATCATAAAATTAAATGGTTCCCTAATAACTATGCTAATTAATTTAATTTATTTTATTTTTCACCAGCCAATAGAAAATAAATAAATAGTTGAGCCGAATTGGAGAAAAAAAAATAACTATAAGCCCATTTTAAAATAAAATGATTGGGCCTCATATCTAAATTCGTTTATTATTGGGCCTATCTTTACTTATTTGGGCTTCCGATCTGAAGGCCCAAAAAATCATGAGCCCATTTATGGCGCATCATGTTTTAACAAATTCCATAGTTGTTAATATTTATTTTTTTAAAGATATTATATGTAAAAGAAATAGTAGTTAGTTTTAAAATTGAAATGTTTTATTCAAAGATAAATTATTTTAGCCTTTAATTCAAGTAGTTGTTCTATAGGGTTTTATTTTAAATTAAATACCAGTAATTGAGCTGCTTAAATATATAAAATAATTTTCATTAATAAATAAATAAAACTTGAACCCTTTTTTCTATTTTTAATATATTGAGTATTATTTAAATTGAAGTATCATTATTATCTATATTATGATATATTTTTAGACAAAAATTATTGTTGAATAAAATATTGTTTATTAAAAAATCATGTTTGATGCAATGTGGTGGTCTTAGTTATTATTTTAGTTTAAGATATTTTGTTATTGTTACGTAAAAAAAAAATTATAATATAAAAAATAATATTTTGTACTGAAAATTAAATTATAAAAAAAATAAAATATAAATATTACATATAATTGGAAAAAAGAAAAAAAAAAAATTGAATTGGATAAAGAAAACATCAATATATCGAAAATAAAAATTACAAAATTAATTGAATAGTGAAAAATATTAATTAAAAACACATCGGAAATTAAAATTATGAAAATTTCTTTACAAATTGGTTGGAGTGAATCATTAAAAATGGATTCCCAATTTCATTTACATCATCGATCAATTGGGTTTCTTTCTACCTAATAATCAAATTACCCAATTGCCCTTAACTCGACCGGTTCGGTTCAGTACACAGTCTTTCCGGTGATTCCGTACAAAAGCGGCCACGATTCAGTGCAGAGCTCAATTCCGGCGCCGGCGCCGCCGTGGCAGCAGAATCTCTGGAAGTCCTCGAAGGTCGCTGTCCGGGGCGCCGCGGCGAGGGCGAGGAACCGGAGAAGGTTCTCGAAGAGGGACTCGTCGCAGGGGATCGCCAGCAGACCGGTGTTGGTGAACCCGTACTCCTCCTCCGCCTGGACCAATAGCTTTTTGAAGATTGGGTGGTTCAGGTAAGCCGTCCGTACCACGAACCGCCTCCGGTTCGACCCGACCGCCACCGCCACGTGTCCCGACGGCACGTCCACCGGCGCCGTCCTGCGGGACGCCTTCTTCCGCCACCGCCGGAGCATCTGACGAATCCGTACAATGTATCGGATTTTGCTGCACGACAACGACGACGACATTTGTTCTAAAGGAGAGCCAAAAGGGGGGAGGGGAAGACGGGACCCGACCCGGTTTATATAGGGTTAAGGTTTGTGGAAATGCCATTGGTTTTTCTTGTAATTACGATTTTGCCACCGTCACCTGTGATTGGACTATTTAATTTGCCTTCCCTCTCTTTTGTTTTGTTTTGGTATAGATAATAGAACACATATATATTTATTTATATTATTTAAGAAAAAAACTATTTTAATTCTTTAGTTTTCTAACTAATCTTTTTTTTATTATTATTTTTATAATTAACATTTGATTATAGTAATTTAGTATAATTAATTGAACGCAAATAATTATTGTTATAAAATTCAACAATTATGATTAACATATTGAAGTAATTCTATTTGCATAACATATCAATTATTCCCAACGAAAAGTTTTTCGTTACTTTTCAATTAAAATAAAAAAATAAATAAAATTATTTCACTCAAACAAAATCATAATTTCATAAAATATTTTTAAAAAACTCATTATTCTTAAAACCTTCAAAGAATTGTAACTTAAGTAGCTAAGTTTAGAGATCTGGAGCTGGGGTCCGTGGAGCTCCATGGATGGGAGACTGTTTGGGAGTACGGTACTTGATCAAGTTATCAGTCATGTTCCATTTCCCTTTTATTTGATAAAAGACAATATTGATTAACTAAATCAAGGGGGTTTGCTTTTACATCTTTATGTAATTCTTTCTGTATCGGGTAAATTGTCCATGTTACCATATATATATATATACAAAAATTTAAATAAACTATAATTAATAAATAATTAAAAATATATTAATAAAAATAATTATTATATAATAAAATAATTATCCATTAAGATCAAAATAATTAATATTTTAAAAATATAAATTTTAAATATGATGAAAATATATAATTTTATTTGAAAAAAAAAGAAAAATTATATAAAACAGATAAAAATATTCATTTGCTTTTTCTACATAGTTTTAGAAATATTAGTATTATATTGGGATATAGTAGGAATAAAATAGAAATGACTAAAATAACTTTACTAGTATGTGTGTGATAAAGGTAATAACATTTGTGTAATATATTATAAGTTGTAAGGACATTTGTAATGTTAGGTAGATAGTACATTTACTATAAAAAGAAATGAATACTTTGTTATATGACGGATTAAAATAGAAAAATGGATATTTTGTTATGGGACGGATGGGGTATTAATTTTAATATGGTATTTTATATTATATATATATATAATTATTTATGTTTATAACAAATTTTTTATAGTTGAATGGAAAAACAGGTAAACCAAACTCTAAAAGAAAACACATTATATTTTCTTTGAATGTTTTGCTAATTGTATATGTCACTTCTCTGTAAAAATAAATTATTTATCATACATTATATTATATTTATTAATTATTTAATAAAAAAATATTTTCGCAAGCAAAGTACACTTTATTATTATTATTTTATTATTTTAATTTTATTTTTTTTTTAAGTAGTTCACTTTGGGAAGTGTATTAGTAAATGAGGGAAAAATGTAGGTATATTTATTTATATTTTTATACTTATATGTTTCTACTATTTAATTGAATATTTATTTCCTCATAATACATTTCTTTTAGGGCATATACAGACTATCTTTAATAATTATTTTTGTTTAAAAATATTAAAAATAAAAAGATAAAAAAATGATGTACCACTTGTTACGATGTAAAGAAGGATCACCACAAACATATATACATACACTGTACTGAGTCCAGTTTTATTTAATGATTGTGAGTGAATGTCCAAACACAACACACTATCCATTTGTTATTACATACTTTGATATGTGTGCACATTGTTATATTTTACATATATATATATATATAGGTGACAGATGTAATATGATACTTTGATTTCATTATTATTGTATTATTTTTTATTACTAGTTTCGTCTCTCAAATTTATACTTAAATTTCGATACAGAATTTAATTGATGAGTTTTAATTGATAGACAAACCAAAAAAAAAGATGAGTATAATTTTAAAAGTCGAAAGAAGTATTATAAAGGTGAAATAATAATTTGTTGTCGATTTTTATTTTTTAATAAGTACTGAATATAATATTTTGTATAGAAACTATGATAATGAAATATATATATATATATATATATACAAAAGGATACACATATTTTATTCAATGCCGAGGAATTGTACCTTAAGTAATTGAACACTTTTTTACAAGTAATCGAACATTTTTTGGATATGTAGGTTTATTTCACAAAATATCAAATTTTATATTTTTTCTATCGTTCAAATCTATGCTCATTTTTTTTTATAATTGTCATTGAAAAATACTCTTGTTATCTTTTTAAGTAAAAAATTATTACATTTTTGTACAATTTTTTTTACTATAAAAAAGAAAAAGTAACAATTATTACTCACTTTTATTAAAATTCGTGTCCGGTCAAATGAGCACATATTTGCATGACGAAGGGAGTATCAAGTTTTTTATTTTTTTTTTTAATATTAATTTTGAAACATTAGAAAAATTTGTATAAAGAGATGTGCTGAATTTGGATTTGATACGGAAGTTTCTTTGGAAATCGATTGGGATGGATATATATATATATATATATATGTAGCAATAATAATTATTATGTTCATAAATAAGTAAGTGGCGCGTATTTCAAAGAATACCGTTATCCAACGTCACACTTGCTTGCTGACGTGGCACCGTCCCACTCAGTTCTGTTATGATTTATTTGGGATTGAATCCACCTTGTCTGTCCCCTCCCCTTCTCTCTGTTTTCACAACTCCAATGATCTCTCTCGGTATTTATTTGTTTGGGGTTTGGATTTTGAGTTGAGATTTGAATAGTAAAAATTTTGAATTTGAATAGTTGTATGATGTGACATAAATAGGTGTTGATGTGATGTTTTGAATGTAAAATTGATTTTTAGTATAATATAAAAAATGAAAAATAGGTTTTTGATTTGATATTTTTGGGGAAAAAAAATTGGATAAATAGTGTAAATCAAATCCAATCATCCAAACAAACACTCAATGGAAAAAATAGTTGAAGGTTTAATTTTCAATGATAATTGTTTAGTTGTAAGATGAAATACTAATATATTACCTACTTCTAAAAAAATACACAATTTATCGTCACATCATTATTTTTATATTAAAAAGTAAAAGTGAATAATTTTTTATTCTACTTTTAACTACCTGCTCCTTCTATCCTATAGCAAGGTATTCATTTATTTTATGTGCGTTGATATTTGAATATTAATTATTATATTAAATCGTATTAAAAATAAAGAGAAAATGACAAAAATATTTCTATTATTGTCTTATAATATTAATATAATGATATTTGTATAAAAAATTATACAAATATAATGATACTCCCTTCGTCCTATTGAAAGGTTACCATTTTTCATTTTCGTCTGTCCTAAAACAAGGTTACTATTTCCTAATTTAGTAATTGTACTACCTACCTAACATAATAAATACCCTTTCAACTTACAATATATTACACAAATGTCATTACTTTTATATTACATTATACTAATTGGGGTATTTTTGTCTTTTTTTTTTAAATTTTTATTACAATCCAATATAATATTAATATTAAAAAATCTACGTGCAAAAAGCAAACGCACTATTCAAACGGGACGGAGAGAGTATTTTCAATGTTAAATACAATGACGCAAAAAACAGATGGATACTTTGTTATGGGACGGAGGGAGTATTATAGTTGAAATATTACTTTCTTTGTACTATATATTATGTCGTTTTTTTATTTTTGAAAAATATTTACATTTTAATCGTATTTTAAATTTTTAGTAAATTAATGAGTTATTTTAATATTAATTTATAATTATTTATATTATATTATAATTAATTTTACTAATATATTTGTAGTTATTTATTAATCATATTTCTTTAAAATTGTTGTATCTATAATAAATATGACACCATAATTAAGAAGCCGAGAGTAAAAGATAAAAAAAAAAAAAAAACTTTTGTTTCTATATTAAAATAAACATTTTTTCTCTATATTAAAATAAATATTTAATTGGGGAAAAGTAATGATTGGCAGAAGAGCCACCCTGGTAAGAACAAAAGGGTACCACTTTTGACGTCTCACAGCTAATTTACGCATACTCATGAAAAAGAATAGATAAATACTTCGTACCTATCCCTATTTTTTATTTTTGTTAGTTCCACGTAACTTATTTTTTTTAATTTTTAAAAATATAATTATACACTTTAATTGTATTTTAAATTTTAAATTTTATAATTTTTTAATTTTAATTAAACTATTTATTTATTTTAATCTTAATTTATCATTATTTTTATTAATATATTTTTTAATTATTTATTAATTATATTTTACCTAAATTCTAATTTCTACGGTACTACACTCTAGTAACTTTTAAAATCATTATTATTTAAAAAAAATAAAAAAAACAGTACAACTGTACAGTTATAGCGGTGACCTTATTTTAAATTATTGAGCATAAAAAAATGTGATGTACACAAAATGGATCGTACGGATAAATTAGGGATTGAGACGAAACTGGGACTAAAAAAATTTATCACCTAAAATTAGTTAGTTATTATTGTTATGTTATTATTATTATTATTTTTAACTATTGATCTTAAATTTTCATTTTAAATAATATATTGATTATAATATTTTACACAAATTTTCGGCATATAATTTTATTTAGTATGTACTTAGTAAGTAATTAATAAGTATATTGATAAAAAAAAATTATGATATAATAAAAATAATTATAAATTACGATTAAATAATTTAATTAAAATAATAAAATTATAAATTAGAAAATTTAAAATATAATTAAAATATATAATTATATTTAAAAACAAATTGTGGAACAACTAAAAAATAAAAATAAAAAAAACATTTTACTTGGACAGAAAAAGAGTATTTTTTTATAAATTACATAATGATTAAATAATATTTTTTTCATTAAGAAATATTAAGTATTAATTTTATTTTTTTAAAAAAAATGTATGAAAAAAAAAGATTGAATAAAATTTTAAATTACTATTAAAATATTTGGAACGACAAAAAAAAAAAAAAAAAAAAAAAAAAAAAAAAAAAAAAAAAAACCATCCTGACAAATTAAATGATAACGATGAGTACAACATAAATAGGGTGACCGAAAGCTTCCTTCCAATAGGCAGCCGAGCAGCTTTTCAGCCAATATCTTTGTCTTGGATATTGATAGACCTATTGGCCGGTGACTCACAGTCTTAATAATGCAAAATAATAATATGAATAAATTATACTCTTATCATTTTTTAATTTAATAAATATATTATCTATTTAACAAATATTTACTTAGGGTGTGTTTGTTTGGGAGTTTGGATTTTGGATTGAGATTTGAATAGTAAAAATTTTGAATTTGAATAGTTGTATGATGTGATATAAATAGGGTTTGATGTGATGTTTTGAATGTAAAATTGATTTTTAGTATAATATAAAAAATGAAAAATAGGTGTTTGATTTGATATTTTTGGGGAGAAAAAATTGGATGAATAGTGAAAATCCTCCAAAATCCTTCAAACAAACACACCCTTAATATAATAAAAATAATAAATATATATATAATATATTAATTTATTTTTTTTAAGAAACATGTAAAAAAAAATATAATAAGAACAAAGCCAATGAGTGCTAAATAAGTTCTGTTGATATAATTTTAAATTAATATTATAAAAAAATAATATTACGTCTGTTCCACTTCTCATGTCCACCTTTTCATTTTCGTTCGTCCTATTTATTTCGTCACTTTCCTTTGAAAATAATTGTACACTTTAATCTTATTATTAAAAATTTAATTTATAATTTTTTAATTTTAATTATACTAATCAATTATTTTAATCTTAATTTATAATTATTTTTACTAATATATTTTTAATTATTTTACTAATTATACCCCTCTTAAATTTCTGTGTCTATAACACAGACAATAAGATTATTTTTTTAACAAAAAGATTAATAATTAAATATAAATATTATTTTTTATATTATTGATATACATATTGTTCATACATAATATAAAATAAAAAAAAATGCATCAAATTAAAAATAAACAAATATTGTTCAAAAATATAAAAATTAATGTAAACTTATTTCATAATAATGAAATCAGATAAATTAAAACAAACACGGATGTAAAACAGAACAATATTTTAAATCCAATTTAAAAAAAAAAAAATTTAAATTAGGAGGAGTATAATTAGTAGATAATTAAGAATATATTAGTGAAAATAATTATTTTATAATATAAATAATTATAAATTAAGATTAAAATAACTAATTAATTTAATTAAAATTTTAAAAAAAAATAAATTAGAAAGTTTAAAATGAGATTAAAGTGCTCAATCATTTTTCAAAAAAAAAAAAAAAAAATGACATAGAATGTGTAACAGACAAACACAGCAACGGTATACCGGGACTGAGGGAGTATATAATATGGTCTATTATGCACATGGATTTAAATTAAAACAATATTACTTATTTGCCCACAATTTTTCTAATCATCTAACTCAGTGTATTAACAAATAAAGCATTTGAATCTTATAAAAAATATATATAAATATACTGACGTTAAAATTGTTATAATACATAACTTACAATCGAAATCAAACCTTTCCTACGCAATAAGACCAAATATAATTATGGTTTTAAAATAATGAAACCAAAGTTGAACTGAACTTTTCTTATAAAGTTAAAAATAAAATAAAATAATTTGCTTTAATTCCACCTGCTTATTAATTTATTGTTATTACAACTAATAAAATAGAATCTTTACATCATCCGTTACAATTTAATTATTAACCGAATAAAGTAAAATTATCATATTAGATAATATAAATAAATAAATAAATAATAACTATTCGATACTGTTTTGATCTACGCTACGCACCTATCTTAGCTCTACTTTTATTTTCACAATATTTTACACTATATAAGTACATTAAAAAAAAAAAATGCAACGAGGATAAGTGTGGTAATAATTAATTCAATAATGTGATGATTTAAATTAAAGACACTAAACTAATTAAATTAATAAATAAATGAATTTGGGCAGGTAAGACACTGACGTGTCAATTGGTCTTTCCAGACATCATTAAATGCTTGATTTGGGCAATCTTTGCTAACCAAAGTCTAAAAAATAATTGAAGACAATTATTAGAGGAACAATTCACCAACAATATCAGACCAAACTAATTTATAAACTTAAACAGTTCAACGATAAATCATTCTCATCAAAATATAAGTACCTAAGTTAAATATTTATATATTGACCAATATAAAATTCAAGAGAATCCCAAATACAACTAAGTATTCTTAATCACTAGGTGTAATTTCCTGAACGATTATTAATCCCGACCAAATCAGTATAGTGCTAATTTGACTCATAAGATAATTCAATAAATGTTTTGTATTATAAATATGTATAACTATAATGAGCATGCCTTAAAAATCTATATTGAAGTATTCTCTATCAATTTTTTTTTCCAACAAAATATCTACTTACAAAATATTTTTAAAAAAATAATAAAAAGCAAACATTTTATATCTCAATCACTAATCATAAAAACTCATAAAAGATATCACATCTAAACTAATATTCAAAACTAAAACATAAGACCAAACGACAAGTAAACAAACCATAAAAAAGCTGAAGGTAAGCAAGCACGTTAGGAGTGTTGAATACACCAAATTTTTGTCGAAAGCTTCTTTGTATTCTTCTGAATATTTTAAGTCTATCTGCACATGGCATGAAAATGAAAACTTAACAACCCTCTCTCTCACTCTAAATTCATACTCTATAGAAGAAGGGAGGGGAGGTGAAGAGAGGGGCCATTGAGGGAATGCCAAATTAGTTAATAAAAAACACCGGCAGAGTACGCCGATCACAGCAAGAAAGCGACAATACAATGAACATGTTCGATCTTTTCTACCTAGTCTAGCACGAAAACAACAAAACCTAGAGAACTCATCGTGCATCCATACCAACTATAAGCAAAGGCACACTCGGATCCCACAAAATCCACACCAGATAGATTATATACATGTTATGTGCGGTTTTGGAATATATGGTTTCATTTTAGTAGACCCGCAAGTGCTAGCTGGACACCGAAAAGAATGTTCGACAAAAAAAGCAAAGGGGACATCCCCACTACTCAATTTGCAAAGCACCGAATTCAATGTTTCAGACAAATTGCAATATTGTATTCAATGTGCTCGAAGCTACTATTTGCTGATTCTTTGTAAGAAGAAAGTAGGAACTGCACGACCCGTGAGGGCTACTCTAACTACTTTTAGTGTAGAAAAATATCCACATCCATATTCCATTGTAAAGGATTTGTAAAAGTTCGGCTATTACTTTGTTATCCACATGCAATTCCAAGAATTCTGTAAAAAATAGGAAGGGCAGAATCGTACCGAGGGAGACGGTAAATCCACACGATTGACATAATTAGCTTTCTTCCACATTTGTCATATCCAATCCATCCACTGGGTGCGTATCGTCTCGTTCCTACATCTTGAATCTTCAAAACTATTGCAATATTTTTTAAAGGAAAGAAAAGTCATAACGAGTGAGAAATGAATCATAGAGAATAAGTCGAATAGGATTCACAAACAAAGTTCAAAATGAGAATTACCACTACAAAACAGTTTTTCCCGACAATATTGTACAGCTATTCACAGGTTTTCAACTATTTTCTTTTCTCCTTTTCTTTGCCTTCTTGATTTTTCCATTATCCTCCAACGAAGTTTGTTCCCGTTTCACCACCAAGTTACGATCCTTCGGTTTCTCATCATCATCTTCTTTTTTCATTCTTTTAACAGTACTGCATTGTCATTTCGAAATATGCCAATAGATTTGCATTGGTCAAACAATGTAATGAAGCACAAATCATGAGCTTCACATAACAACATAGTTCAGTCACAAACCTATTGGCCTGAGTGGATTCATGCAAATTTCTGTCCAACCATCGAGCAGAGCCAGTGTCTTCCACTGCCAAAGATCCTGACATATGAAGCATCTCTTCATCAAAGCTGCGAACAAATTAATTTGTGAAGGAGCGAATTAGAAAGTAACGATTGATTACCACAAAAAACAAGTAACAGAACAATTCCAACAGATCTTATGATTTGAATGCGATACAAAGCAAAGGTGTGATCAGAAGAGGTAATTCAACACAAATAACTGATATGTGTTTCCTTCAGCTATATTTCAGCTCATCGGAACATATTGTAGCCATCAATCAATAATTATTAATGTCAACATATTAAAACAGATATGGAACGAATTTTATCGTCCGAATGCATAATTTTATTATGCCTTCATTCCTTGCACACAACAAACACATTGTGGGGCTCTGATTTCTCTTCAGGAATAGGAATGGATAACAATGTAACAAACTAATGAGAGCTAAAATTAATGTCAAATGTATACAACATCAACAATGACTTATTGAATTCAACCAAAATAAGTGTGCTTATAATATATGTAGAAGATTTCCCATCAATGAAGGGGTAACCTTGTGGGAAAGCAATCAAAATTTTGCTCTCATTTACAGGGAAACTTTGCCATCATCAGACATTATATGTTATATATATATGAACTAACAAGAAAACTACTTACAAAAACTTGAATCGCTAGGAAGGATGGTTTAGGGAGCTGGAATATTGAATCAAATTACATGTTATTAACACGATTTCTTCCCCATTATATAATGATTATGCAATGTAGCCTGCAATTAATGACCTGAAACATGTCCTTATAATGACAGATTAACTTAAGATAGCTACTCATCTGCTTTAATAATATTTCATAATATCAACAGACCGACATGTAGGAACCACACAAAATACCATTCAAGGATATTAAAGAATGATCCATACACATATATAAACCATGAATGCAAACAAATATCATCCAATTTCGATCAAAGTTTGAGAATATTACATATTGCACCAAAACAAGAATCTCACCTCTTCACTTTAAAACGTATCACGGTTCCAACTTTAATCCTGTGTTTTTTATGAGATTGACTAACATATGTTTCCTCTCCCTGTATCTGCACAGAATGGACAATCAACAAAGATCAATCTATAGCTATTCAAGCTCAATGTTGGCCACCACATTATCATTCCATTAAATAATTAAAAGAAAAAAAAGATACATTTTTATGCTTGAATTCATCACGAATGTCTTCATCCGATATAAATACAGATGAAAAACCAAGAACCACAGCATGAATTGAGTGCGGAGTAATCATAACAACCTCTCCTTCTGTCAAAGGAAAGCGGGAAAAAAATTAAAAATTAGAAACGAAGGCATAAGATTTGATGTATTTAATATTTATGGAGAAATTTTCTAGTGGTAAATTACCCAAAATCATGTCAGGCTTTGGATCAAAAAGCAACAGTTTAGCTTTCAATTTCACCCCAAAATACGGATGAAGTCCTGGCAGAATCTTAGCCACATCACTACATATTTTTGGATCGTATGCCAAAACAACTCCTTCAAATGTGTCATTGTACCTACAAAAAATTAACGATTTTCAACAAACAGAACGAAGCCGAAATTAAGCAAATACAAGCAATACAGGGGCGATATTATGGCATATATCACTCACGCCATATTAAATGAAACGAAAAAAATATCAGAATAACATATATCTTAACAGTTTACAGCGAAGAAAATTTACGTGAACAGCATTGAGCTGAGCTCGGCAAGAATGGCTTCGTTGGCGCACTTCGCCTTGGACGGATGCAGATGCACCACCAGATTAGCCTCACACTCTTTCAATCCCTCCATTAAACAACAGAAAATTTTGAATATTCTACAAAAATCGATACAAAACAGAACAAATTTGCAATGATCCGAGTGTCAATCGAGGTTCCTCTTTCGTCAAAATTAACAATCTAAAACCACTGAAAAACCCTAATTTCGGCTACCGAATTGGGCTAATTGGGCCGGGCTAAAATTAGACTTGCCCAATCGATTCCGGTTCGTCGGTTTCTAACCCGCGATCCAACCGACATCGATTTATGCAAATATTTTTATCAATTTACTTAAAAATTTAATCTCTCTGTATCTCTCTTTATTTTTATTTATTTTTACAATTTTTTATTTTTTTTATAAAATTAATTTACGATAACTTTAAATAAATAAATATTTTTTATTTATATATAAAAAATAATATCATATTATATATTTTATTGATATATAATATTAAAAATATTTAAACACATATTTTAAATTTATTTTAATCATTAAATAATTAATTTCACCGTCTAACTAACTTATTTATACTACCTAGATTATTGTACCAAATAAAATGGATAGAGTAATTTATTAAAATCACACTATTATCCAATATATCAACTTTTTTATAATTATTTATTTATTTTAATTTAATATCATTATTTACAATTTTTTTATATTAAAATAAAATTGAAACTAAATAAGTAGTTTTTGAATAAAATCGAATTATAATAATTATAAAAAATTTTAAAAATAAATAAATATAAACAACAATTCAAATTGTAATTAAGGGTTTTCGAATTTACACCCTCAAAATCGAGAACGAAATCGAAAAATATAAACTAAAACCACAATCCAATATGTTGGACCTCTGCTTTAACAAATCGGTGTTTATTTTTAATAGTCTCTCCTATTACATAGTATTATCATAGAGTGCCTTGCCTTAGTTTGGAAAGATTGGGTTTTGGGTTGATTTGAATTTGGATTTTTTAGGAATTTTGGAAATCTATTTTTCTTTGGGAAAGTAGATTTTGTTTGGCTTTTGGATAATTTTGTTGGATAGTTGTGATATGTAATGACTGAAGTGATAGAGATTATTTATTTTATTAAAATAATTTATAAATATAAAAAAAATAATAATAAATATGAAGTATGATATTTTTTTTTATTAATTTTTCTTTCTTCATTAAAAAAAGAGGAAAAAAAATGTGAATTAATTTTGCTAGTAGCCTATAAGTTCAAAAGAACAAGTGGAAGAAGTTACACTTGATTTATAATAAAAAAAATATAACCGACGTGAGAGTATGCCGAATACAAAAAGATTAACAGGGACAATGACAAAAATATGTCATGCCTGTAGGCCGTCCGGTGGCGTGCAGTATATTACTAATCATTCGAGAATTACGTAAGATCTAAACAGAAATAAGTAGATAAGTATGCACCGGACTGCGGCCCTTAACCATGAAGCTAGCAAAATACATGTAAATATGCACAGTCATACACGTATGGTGTAAATAGACTGCTTCTCGTATACATAAAAGACAAGAGGTATGAGAAGGCTTGCCCATAATCAAACCCTACACACTAGCCTGCAGTAAGTCGCTTAGGATATGATTTCGGCTCACACGGCAAAGGAACACTCCCATAATTATTTTCCTAGCCCAGTTCAAAAACAGGGTGTGTACTCACTATTATCAAATAAGACGTCAGATATTACGGGTGTGTTTGTCTGATTTTAAATAGTAAGTTGTCGTATAAATAGATATTAATGGAAAATATATTTATAGTATAATATGACATAAATTAACAACACGTATTTTTATTTAACTGACGAGCCTCGATGAGCACAGTAGTCATCCCAACAATAATAAGCTCACGAAGATTGAATGAGACAAAAAAAAAAATGATGCATTTCTCTATTAGCCCATACCAAAAACGTTCGAAATCTCGCAATATCAAGAAACAAAAAAAAACATGAATAAGTGAGAACTAGAACAAGAGTGAGATAAATGTCACAATACATACATACATACATACATATATAAATATTCGCTCCATCGACAACACCGATAGATCTCTCATCGCTCGAGCCAAGGCTCGGGCTCGGGCGACCATCGTTTTTTATCCTAGAAATTGAAATGTGTATAGTATCGCCTTCTAATTCGTTTTTTCTTAGTGGCATATACGAATACCTAACTTACGAGTCGATCCCGTCACACAAAGCTCCATTCTTTGGCTTATTTCGACATTACCAACAAATCACGAGAGTTATAAAAAACGTAATGCAAAATCAAAATCAATCGATCATCTCTATTCGAACGTTACGGCCTTACTGGTTTTTGCAAAACGGCCGATAAATAAACTTCCGATTTCCCATCCCCCGCGACTTTCTCCCCTACAACCCACTTCGATTTCTTATACCCGAACCTCTCGATAATGCGCGTTAGAGCTCTTCTCTTATCGTCGGAAACGCAATAAAAGTTGTCGATCCATAAAAGCCCCCCGACCCTAAGGACACGATCGATGTCGAACATCAAGAACTCCAATTTCTCGGGCCTCCCCGCGACATCCAATCCGTTTCCGGCGTAAACTAAATCGAATACATTGTCGTAAAAAGGGAACCTATGGTTCAAGCTAAGGTACAATGGGAAAAGACCTCTAGTGGCGACGAATTCGTTGAATGGAGCATCGACATTCATCGACGCTGTCACGATCGTCACATTTCTCTCTGCCATTCGGGCGGCAAAAGTCCCCGAACCGCCGCCGCGAATGTCGAACCCTACCCTGATCAAACTACTCCCTCCTCCCATGGCTAGAACATCATCAATCAAGAAATCGTTCTTGCTCCAAGCTTTGACATACTTTTGAGGTTCGTAGCCATGGCGGATGTCGAAACAACCGGCGCAATCCCTGCCGAGTTTCTTAGCATTCAAACACGTGAAATTCTTACACCCTAAACCACTCCAGCTACACATCTTATCGCTAACATTAGTCCAGAGAGAATTAGGGTAAGACTGCAATCCAAATTTGGGGATAATCTTACCGGAGCATCTCCGGCGAGGCAGAGGCTCGCAGCCTTGGAGAATCAGGCGCTGGCCGAGGCTCCAATCGTCGGGGCAGGTACCGTAGGGTTTGTAGGCCATAAATTGGGATAACAAATCGATGGATTTCTCGCAGGAATGGGCGACGGAGGCGGCCATGGAAGTGATTCCTGTTCTGGAGTCCTTGCCGAGGGGGAGGGGGTGGGGGGTGAGGAATTCCTTGAGCTCGGGGGCGATTTGGGGGCGGGAGAGGTCGATGGTTTGGTAGCCGAGGAGGTGTTTTTCGATTTGGGAGAGTTTCTTCTGGGAGGAGTCGATTTGGCGGAGGATTAGGGAGACTTGGTCGGAGATGAGGGAGAGGTGGTGGTGAGGGGGCGGCGGGGGAGGGGGGCGGTGGGTGAAGGCGTAGAGGGCGAAGAGATTGGTGGTGACTACGGAGAAGAGCATTAGGAGATTTGCGGCGGAGGAGCAGAAGGATCCGCGTTTGAATCTGGCAGTTCCGTCTCCGATTTTGAGGGATACGGACCCCATTTTTGACGAATACGGCGGAGCTGCGGTGGCGGAGCTGAAGTGAAGTCAATGAGATTTGGGGGAGAGAGGGAGAGACTGTGAGAGTGGGAGAGTGAGTTTGAGAGAGATGTTTTAATTATTATTATTAAAATCAATAAATCTACGACTCCATTTATGTAAAAAAAAATAATTTAATTTTTAATACTCCACTATTTATCATTCATAGACTTTTTTGCAAATATCGTGTTTATTTAAACGTAATATCACATTATATATTTAATATTTTACTATTTATTTATTATTATTATTATTAGTTACCGACAAATTTAATAATCTGTAAATTAAATTCGATAAAATCTACAACTATCGAGGTTTAAATCCATAATCTAACGATTACAGTACCATGCATTAAAGAATGAGAGTGAATTGGGGATGCATTTCGCTGATTTAGGCATCAAATGTCAAGAAGACTCCACAAACCCTAATTTCAATGATCTTGACTTTCACATTAGCCCTTCAACTTAACATTATTGTACAAAAAAAGTTTCAAATGTGGGCCATAAAAAAATTAATGAAAATCTGTTCAAGGGGTACCCACTCGTATTATTGATGAACCTGTTATGTGAAAGACATATTGACAGATGGGATTATATATTTGTACAAACACAGACCAGAAGAGGTAATAAAAACACATAATAATAATAAAAGACTGAGGTAGCAATCAACCAACCTTATTGTTATTATTATTATCCATAAACATTTAATAGATCCCAAAATATATAATCAATTTTTCATCTCATCTCATCTGTGCGAAAACCCTTTTAAGTATCAGTTATCACTCTTGACAAAATGTATAATAATAATAATAATAATAATAATAATAATAACAATAATACTACACAGTAGATGAAGATGGAGATGAGCATATAAACTCTATATATCCGTTTTCACTCTCTTTGCACTCTGAACTTCGCCACTCACCCTCTGCTGCGGCGGCGCCGGCGCCGCCGAAACGGCAGCAGTCGTTTCGTGTAGGTATGTGCAGTTGGCGCCGTTCCGGCAGCCCCTCGGGGTGTTGAAATAGATGCAAGGCTTCGACATCTTCGGCTTTGGCTCCCTCATTTTAATTTCTTGACTCGTCGTCGTAACGGGCAGGGGCTGGGTGCTCCCGTGCTGCTGAATCAAGCTTTTGTAGTAGTTGATGTCCCTCGAGGCTGCAGCGACAGCATCCGACGAAGAAGCCCTGACGTTGGAGACGGTCCCGGGATGGATTGGAGGATAAAAAGGTCCCGTCACCGGAGGCCTGGCTGGATTCCGGGTGTTGGGACCATACGGGGCGCTGGTGGTCGGCGGGCAGAGGATACTTGTCGTCGGGGACGGCGAATGCCGGGATCCTGGCACCATGTGCTGCTGCATTGTGGAGGTTCCGATGGCCGGCGCGGCGTGGAAGCTGGAGGAGGGCGGCGGCGGCAGTGGCGGCAGGGTGGTTGATGATGTGGCGGCAGCTTGGTTCGCAACGAGTTGCCCGATCATTTTGGGGTCGCTCAGGATTTTGATCAGCAAGTCACGGTCGATCAGATTGTTGCTCTGATCGCCTCTCGACATGTAGGAAGACAGGGCGGCTTCCGCGGCTGCCACAACTCCCGGCTCGACTCCAGCAGGCGGGGTATCTGAATCTATTGCTGCGTCCTCGTCTTCGACGGCGGTGATGGGGACCAGAGGGGGGAACTGCTCGTTCATGGTCGAGTCTTCGGCGTCGTCAGAGACGGAGGGGCTGTGAAAGGATACGAGTAAAATGATCGATCCATGCAAGAAAAGAAAAAAACCAAAGAAATATGTAAGATACCAGAAAACATAAGATCGTACTTTGGAGGGATGGAAGTCGAGCGTGGGTAAATGGCTTCCAAGGCGACTATTTCTCGTTGATTTTGGGTTTCTGTTTCTTCGCTTTCTTCCCCAGCAACTACATGCCAATCACTGTTTATTTCGAACTGCAAATAAATTGACAATTAACATCTACTCTTCACATGTTGAATTTTGGTAAAATTTATTGACGAAGAAAGACAAGGGCAGATCATCGAGTGGACTTACTCTCGGAGGACTTTTCCATTTTATTACGGGTATTTGGGATAGCTTTGCCGCCCATGGATTCGCAGGCTGGATTTCTTCAAAGCCTGGAGGCAAATTTTCATCTGACCCTGCTCCGCCCGGCTGTCCAGGCAATAATGTCTTTGCCTGAAGATGATCTTGAATTCCTGTCCCAACTTGTGAAGGTGATTCCTCCGACAAAAATAGCCTCACCTATTTAATACATGAATCATATTAGTCCAGACAATAGCTTCATAAGCTGAATCACCTGTTGTTTAGACTGTAGAACAATCGACAGATATGTACACACACATATAGGTTTTCTGATCTTCGAAGTTCTATTCTCTTCAGTAGACCAGAAACCCAAACAGACAGAAATGGAAATACGAATTTCAGCAGTGCAGTGAACACAGCAGACAAACATATACATTAAGTATGTAAGTCGTTTACAATTGATTATATTCATAAACAACCCGAGCATTTAGTGCCGTATTAACCATGTAGGACACAGGGCAGACACTTACCAAACCTGACCAATGACCATAGTAGCATATTTATGTGCAGCAATGAGTTGAGCTTCAGATAACGAAGATAGTGATCGAAGGAAGAAAAAACACAATGCACAACCATAAGAATACTTAATTGAAAACACTAATCTAACACACAGCAAGAGCAATGTAACGGATAGTATTATATTAACTACGGCTAAACTATTCCCATTACCCAAAAGAAACAATCAAGAAAAAATCCTAGCAACAGTACAAAAAAAGTATACCTAAACAATAAGTTCATATCACACTGATGGTTATCCTTATTAACCATGTATCACAGATATTACATATATAGCATTGTTGAGGTCGTGAATTTGTTCCAGATGATCAGAATAAAATCCAAAACACGGAGTAGGTGCAAAATCAATCGATACTTGCCTACCAACAATTAGAGATTAAACAAGAGAACGATCTCACCAGTCACCACGAAATTCTTTTTTTCCACTTCTATCCATATTCAATCACATCTCACTTACATATGGATTCAATCCCATTTTGTTTTCATTTCACTATGTATTACACTGCAATACTTTCAGCTCTCGACTCGGGAGTCATCCATTTTCGTCAAGGGGATTATGAATCCACCACAAACTCAAGAAGCTATAAGCAAATGTAATTTTTTTATGAGTATTATCCAAAACCTTATACTTTATCTTTGGCTGAAGTTTAAAATTTTAGTTAATAACAGATTGGAAGACAAGTAAGGGGTCGAAGACTTTGTTTAACAAAGTAAAAAAGAGGATAACCAACCTGCCCTCTCCAACTTGAGAATCAAATCCAATATACATTCAAGACTCCATCATGAATGCAGTATAAGAAAATTTAATGTATACGTTGATGGCGCTACAACAAGAATGTTAATGATATATAACAAAGTTTCTGTAATTTGATGCATCTGAGAATCTAAATCAAGTTCATCAAACCAAAAGGCTTTCAGATAAAACTACTCCATCCCTCACATATTTCAGTTTAAAACCGACATAAGTTTCAGATTATTCATATCATTGTTTGGTCACATTTTTTATGTAAAAAAAGTAGAACAAAAATAATTTTACTATTTTTTGCTATTTTGTTTATGAAACTGAAATCAGTTTGAATTTTGGCTGAAAATACTGGTGTGTGGGAGTTAATGAATCTGTGTATGTTACAGCAATAATAAGACATAAATGATAAGTGGGAAATACCAAAATTTAGAATCTAACGATATAAATACGAGAATATATCTGCGTATCTCGGTATGTTTTGATTGACAGCATAAAATAATTGATTTCAAACATTTTAGGCATATATTACGTACAGATATATAAAGGAAACATTATACATTCAGCAGTAGTTGTACTTCTTGGTCGTGAATATCCAAACTGGTTGTCAATTTCGGAAATAACTTCTAATACCAGCTTTCAACAAAATTATTCCTTTTACATCACACAAATCAAAATCATTCAACAAGCGACCGGGAAGCTCAGCAAAAACAAAGGAAATGCTTGTTAAAATCAAGTAGATTCTATGTGAGTGCAAAATTTTAGTTTCCCTTCAGGAATAGAGTAGTATTTTCAGGTTTTGGGGGTCACTTAAGTGCAATAGCATCAATGAAATGGAACAGATAACGACAAGGACTCAAATTCTTATAGTAAAGTAAGGACAACACACTGCTTCAAATCAATATAGCAATGCCATTGGATAATCGAGTTACAGTAGCACCTGAGGACATTAGTTGAGGGTAAGGAGCAGCAGAAAAATCACAAAACATGTTTGCAACAACCAAAGAAATATTGACACACACTTGAAACATGACAGTTAGGGATGCGGAGGAGAACAAATATAGGAAAACAGTATGAAACAACCAAGGGTGAGTTTTTTTTTTGAGTTCTGTTTTAGCTTTATGGGTTGAATTTGATATTCTGTACGAAGAAATAGTGTATCTTTTTATAGAAAATTGTGATAGTTGCACAGTAAAAGACAAAAAACTTAGATCAAAATCCAAAAGAACACACCCCAAATATCTTAATAAAATCTTCAGCTACACATAGCCTTCAAGACTTCAACGGAAACCAACTGGCATATCTAATTTCATTAAATAAGAAGATTATAAAATGTTAGGGGTCTTGGTAAACAAGTATGAAAAATACTAATGCTATGCTTATTTGGTAATTTTTTTTCCAATTTCTTTACTATGCAATCCTTACAATTTCATATAAAAATACACTTTTATTTCGCAAAACATCACATTGAACTACTAAAAAAACAAAAAAACACAACAACAACAAGTAAACACACCTAAAATTCTTCACTCAAAACTATTGCAACACGCTGTACAGAAAACAAGAAGTCAGAAACAAGATGTTTCTTCCCTGTTTACAATTAGAATTGTTTCTTGATTATTAACATATTTATTGGAGTGAAGAAGCGTCAATAACGACTTTTTGATGAGCATCAAACAAAAATTTCCTGAATTATTAACTAAATGTAATTTTTATAGGTGCCAAACAAAAGTTATTCATTACAATTAGCCATAAACAAGAGATCTGCTTGAAGTTTGAACCACCTCACACTGGATTCACACTTTCAGTCATCACTTCATGAACTGAAGCAAAATACACTTACAAACCAAAACTAAGCAATCATCAAGTAAACTAAGATTTTAAAAAAGGATCAGTAAGTTTCAACCAATAACTTCATCTTCATACATTTCCCAATCTATATCTTTATTGCAACTATAAACCCTACAAGGAAATCTCAAACTGCGCAAAACAACACGCACCCTTCAACACTTGTGCAACTTTTTCCCTATCAATTAATGAACCAAAATGAATGAATTGACGACCACTTTCCAGGTTAGTATTGGGATTAAAAACCAATACATCGCATTGCCTTTTAACCATACATATAACTAACTGTTCAGAATTAATTTGTTCTAATTCATAAAATCGATAATCAATTAACGAAAAGGGATCGAGCAATGGAAGAAACTTTAAGAATGTTTACACACACACACATCTATATACCTGACGAAGATTGACATCGGAAGCCCAGGAAACCCTTTTTGATTTCTGCGATCCTCCCATATTAACAAATCAAAATCACAATACTAATGTTGCTTCCGATTCTCAGATATATATATGTATCTAATAAGATTGATTGAACCGCGTTTTAGAAATCGAATCGGTAACTTCCGGAAAATGTTTAGAAAAACGAAAAGGAATCCGATTGCCAATTAATTCGCCGTCATTTGGTTAGCAAGAAAGCACCTCGGCGAGGCGAGTGGACAGTGTGTGTGACGTCGTCGAGAGGAGGAGAAAAATGGACCGAAGATAAAGTCCGGGAAAACCCTAGATCCTCCCTTCCTCCCTCCCTCCCTCTGGTTTATCCTTTTTTTTTTTAATTTATTTTATTCTGGTTTTTTGTATTCCATTTATTGCATTTGCTAATTGCTGCTGGCTATTTTCTTCTCTAGATTATTTCATTTGCACTTTATATGGCTGCTCAGTGTACTGCTTACTGTCCACGCGCTCAAGAGGCGCGTGGTGCAGTTCTCCCAATTATATTTATTTGTGCATATATCTTAATTTTAATATCCTTCGTTCGTCGGATCGCGTGTTTGTGCGTTATAAATTGAGACTGATTCGATGTTTTTAATGTTCAATAAATTTTTGATATAATATAAAAGAATAATTATTTAATGTGATATTTTTTTAAGAAAAATATTTTATATTTTAAATATTTTTTCTCTCCTTTTCTTTTAAAAGAAGCTACTTGCTGTTTTGTAGTAGATTAAGATTTTGTATTAAATTAAAAATAATAATATTTTATTAGTTAGTGTATAAAAGATTTAACATTTTTACTTTTAATTAAACAATTTAAAAATATTTTAGTATTAATGTACGATTATTTACTATACTTTGAAATGAGACAAATTATCATTTCAACTATTAACTTCTCAATATCTATGCTACACAATATCGTCATAATATTAGTCAATTAGTAATTGAGAAAGAATTTCAAGTTCATAAAACCCAGAGGTCGAATTTTCCATCTCCAAGAAAAGACACTCTGATATCCTATCAAAAAAAATTTTGAACTTTTCATAGAGAGTAGTAAATAGAAGTGGGTAAGAATTTTTAAAATTTATGTCAACTTTATGTATGTAATAATATATTTATAATTTAAATAAAAATTCAAAATATTTTAATATTTTATAATTATTTTTTTAAAATAGAAAAAATATATTTTAAAATAAGAAAAATGATAAAAAAGAGTAATGACCTAAGGAATAATATATTTTTTTTAAAATTTTTATTAGATTAATGAATTATTTTAATTTTAACTTATAATTATCTATATTATATTGCAATTAATTATTTTATTAATTACATCTCTAATAAATTTACACGTTTACAATAATTATGACTATGACAAAATTTTAGGGAGAGAGAGAGCATAGTAAAATAAAATATAAATAATAAATTTTTTACTAAATATTTATCTTGATTCTTTTAAAAAAATTAAATATAATATTTACTAAAAAAATTAAATTAAATTGTATAGTAAAAATGTTAGTATTACTATTTTTAATAAACCGAGCCTAAAATCTATAGCAGTACAATCTTCACATTATTTCCACAACGAGAGAAATCATGCAAATATTAATGGAATTGCTGTATCGCTTGGAAGAATGGTACTCCCATTATAATAGTTCTATTTTTGTACTAAAATAATAGTCTTATTTTTATAAATAATAATAATTATTACTACACAATTACCACTATTTTTTACACTAATGCACCGGCACACTGGCAAGGGTAAAAAAAAATCTTTTATCCGTCACTTTTCACTCATACCATTGTAATATCAATATTTCTTAAATCCCGTGTCAAATATAACCCACTCAGACTATAATTTTGGGACGGAAAGAGTATTACATATGGTCGTACTAATATTTTAGGGACTAATAATTCAATCTCATCTAATGTCATGTCATGGCTCACGTTGAGAGAACTACTACTATACACACACACATGGCCTAATCAAATACTACAACCCATAACTATGAATCATACCTCACTTAGAAAAAAAGCAAATCAAACCCAATGCAATCAAACTCATATTACGTAGAAAAACAAGCAACAATTAAACATATCAATCAACAGAAGCAAATAAAATAGAATAAAATAAAAACAAAAACAAAAACACAGCAAATATATATATATATATGTATGGTTTATATGTATAATGTTACACATTAATCCCATCCAAAAGAAAGGAAACTCACAGAGATAAGAATGCTCACCTTGGAAACTTTGTGTGTTCTTCAAGAGTGTTCACCGACGCCATTTCCGGTCTGAAAAGAAAGATCCGAGAGGATCAAAAGCTAATCCGTGAGCGAACAATCAATATTATTGTTGCGCAGAGAGAGAATAGTGTGTGTGTGTGTTTCCACACAAATAAGACAGTTTAATACATGATATGGCTTATTTCTAGTAATAGCATTCAAGAAGGCAAATAAACTCGGATTATGATCGTTATGGAAAAGAATGAAAATAAACATCATAAGAGCACCAAAATATGAATTGATCAAGATATAGATAGGTGGTTGGATATAAGTGTTATATAAAGCCTGTCACAATTTTGAGCATATAAAAGAGCAAGTGAAGGTTTAGATGAGATACCTTGAGGAGAAAGGGTCGCATTTCCCTTTGCATTCTGAATTCGAGGAGATCTTTGTCTGTCATTCGAGCTCGGAAGGGAATGTCTCTTTTTTACATGGATTTCTTTGTCGTGGACATCTGGGCTCGATCTTGGTGAGCCATTTGAAATGGCTTTGGCCCTTGCAGATTCAGTCACTTGCATGTAACTAGGAAGATTGTTCAAGTTACAATCTCTTGGTTCAGGTTCCCCATGATCACTTTTTTCTGAACCAATCGGGTGTCGCTTCTTTCCAGTTTTATGCTCATGTAAAGGCTCCAAGCTATCTTTTGAAACAGAATTTTTAACCACAGGTAAAGACTTGTTATGTTGGTTTGACCCACTTTTTTCACCTTTCTTCTTCTTGGGTTTGACAGATACTTCGCTTGATGGCGTTGCCTGAGAAACAGGATCAGTTATATGAGGTTTAGGGGAAGATTTATCTTCAGGGTATGGTGGCGGCTTTGTTCCTGAATTTACGGCATTCATGGAATTAGTCCATTCACCAGCTGCTGAGTTAGTACTTTCTTCTTGCTCCAATTTAGTAGCATTAGAACAAGACCAATCGGATTCTGAAATCATGGAGTTTCGATTAGCTTCACATTCTACAGACCCACTGCTTCTCTGATGCCTGGTGTCACTTGTTTCCAGTTCGATATCGTTGACTCCAGCCTCCGACACCTCTGGTGAATCAAGTGTAGAAGTAATGGAAAGCACAGTTCCACATTCAGAGTCTCCAAATTGGATAGCCGAAGCATTGGAAAAGCTATTGTCAGCTAATCCATCGTCTCTGGATCTCAATGGTAGATCAGCAGCAGAAGATAACTTATCCAAAGACTTTACAGGAGCAACAGCTGAACTCAGTTCTTCGAATTTTGACTGTGCAGCAATGAAAGCAGGGTTGCTTGCCTTTCTGGAGACCTTTTTTCCCTCAGTTTCTACTTTATCAGTCGAAGACCTTATCGAATCAGGTCCATTGCATTCTCTTATCTCCTCCTCCTCCTTGTGAAGAGATTTCCTTCGAATCTCGTCAATAAAATCAGTTTCTCTGATCTCAATGTTGCCCGACTCTGTTGAATCAAAACTTGAAGTCAGAGGGGTTATGGTCTGCAGCTTAGGACTACTGGATGAAGGAGATAACAATACGAAAGAATGGGGTTTTGAAATGTCGGCATCAAAAGTGATCAAACCATAATCATTTTTAGATGATTCAATAGATGCAGCCACGCTGGAACTTGAATCTGTAGGTTCATTATAATATTCAGATGGAACTGAAGTGGACTGTCTGCAATCAGAATGCTCTTCTGTGTGCTGCTGTATAAATCCAGACTCCTTTGGTTCTTCATTAGTCACTGAAGAAACTGAGCTCCACCTTTCAAGCCATTTCCAGGCAGTGTCGGATTTCGATGGTTGGCATTTTATGTTGGTTGGCCTTGGAACTGACTCCAAAAGCTTATAAAATCCAATAGAGACACCAAAGAGCTGATTAGATAGATATTAATGCTTCTACAGGAAAGTAAATGATAAAATAAACTATGGGTATAAATCAGAACACGTAGTCAGTTTCCATCACTCACCTGACGAGCAAAAGCATTGCTGAGTAGCTTCTCAGTGGAAACATAAGTGTATCTGCCATGTAATCTCCTTCCCTGAAAATGAAACAATATCGAAGCACACAATCACATATATTGAAGAAATATGGAGTTTTATTTCAGTTTCTTCATTATGTAACTCTTGCAATACCCTATAAAAATACTCTATTTTCACTCACAAAATTACAGAAAATACTTGTTAAATACGTTTAATGCAACAAAGAAGTCGAACACGCCAAATGAACACCTTATAGAAGTTATCTGAAAGCAGTAAGATCTAATGTTAATTTCCATATTGATTGAGTATTCATAACTCCAAAAATTATACAACTACTCATGGAAACTTTGGAAAGTATGTTTATATATTTACACACACACACACTAGCATTTTGGCGCACTGATTTTGTGTGTAGAGAAAGAAATATAGAAATAATTTAGATATCTTGGTAATCTTTAAAATGAAGAACATATTGGGACTTGGGAGCACAACATACATGTTTGACAAGTCATTAAAATAGTGAACAAGACGCCATTTAAGTTAGGTTCTTTTAAAAGTCAATGAAGGTACACTTTAGGTAAATAATTAATGAACCAAATATAGTATCTTCGGCTTAAAGCTTAATCTAATAAAACAGATATGGTTACCAAGAGGGATGACCCAATATTGCCCTTTTCAAACCCTTCTTCTGCTACCAGAGAGGCATGGTGAGATCGAATAAGAGCTTGCATTTTGACAATGGCCTGAATGCAATGAAGGGTTCCCACAGCATATCTTCGAACTACATGTCCTCGTACTGCAGCTTGTAGTTTAATAATATTCTTCTGCTTCAGTAGTGCTTTCCGAGCCTGCTCACATACAAAAGAATGATGCATAACAGTGTGAGATTACTTCAAAACGAAATGCCAAAAAGGGAACAACAGTATCAAGTTGTACCAGGAACCCCCTAATGGCTGCCTGAATTTTAATAACACTGGATTCGTTGTAGGTTGCATCTCCAAATTCATCCTCCAATAACTTTGAATCCAGTTGAGAAGACAGTTCAGCCTTATCTTCTATCCCATTAGTGATCAAGTTCTTATCTGGCACATTCAAATCAGGCTGCACTAGGAAGTTAATGACGGTAGTATCTGTGTTTTCCTTGTTTGTGGATGAGGGTGTCTCTGTACCAACAGTGGTACTTAATACTGTATGTCTAACGGATCTCTTTCGAAAACTCCATCCACGCCGATCAATTGAATCTTTACTCTGCAAATGAGCCCAAAAAATATTGATTTAGAGGCAATTAAGTATATAGACAGTAATCTACTGATCTCCAGGTTAGTCAAAAAACAGTACAAGATCATTTCCACTCACATGGATGCATAAATATGATAATACTAGGTGCAATCATAACTCAAGAATTGAAACCAAATTTTGACATCAGAAAATTAGGATGTGTTTGGATAGCTTTTGGATTTGGTTTTGGATTTTGGAGGCTTCTTGGATTTGAAATTTTTTGAAATGCATGGTGTTTGGTTGGGTTTTGACAGTGTAATGATTATATATTAATTGAGGTTGGTTGATGATTTGAAAAAAATTATATATATAATATAATATATTTGATTAAATATACATATTAAACGTGCATATCAAAGTATTTTGAAAATGATACCTCAATAAAATTATACACAATATACATATAATTTTGTAGAGAATAATATTTTACATAATAAATAAATATATAAATGTCACATATGATTGACATAAAATAGTTTAATAAAAATTAAAGTTTTGAATATATGTACACATATTTACTTATTTAGGAGAGTGATGGAAAAATGGGTTGTAAGCAGGGCCACGCAAGAAAAAATAAAAAAATGTTAAGAAATGTGTCATATGAATAATTTTGGGATTGGTAGTGATGCTTTGAGAGCATAGGATCTGCATAATGTTCGATGTGTCTCCAAAACAAAACCCAAACAAACACACCTTAACAAGTAGATATGATACTGAAATTGAAATTCTTTCAGAAGCTGGAAATAATTGCCTTAGATGCACAAAAAGATAAACTGAATAGCAAATATTGAACTGTTAGATCTAACACCCTAAATTCTGTAGTTTTGGCAAAAGTTGATTTGAAACAGGTGCATTGTTGCTTGATCCAATTGATGATGAGAGGGATATTCATTAGCAACATCAACATGAACTCCTTCTGAAGCTATCAATCCTCAGCTCTAGCTAAACTATATCAACATGCCATTCACAGAAACTATATCTAATTGCGATCTGTGATGGCAAGGATGATAAAAGGCAAGATCTCCACTGGAAATTGCAGTAACGCGGGTGAACAAACAAAATTAAGAAACCTTTACAGTCTTATTTGGATTCGAGAATTCAATTTCACTAGCATCTTCAGATCATTGACACATTTCTATAATGAAAAAAGCAGATCAAGTTTAAAACAAACAATCAGTTTGACGCTAATGTAGCAACAAAGTGTATCACAAAATCTGCCCTCGATCCGCCAGTTTACGTAACAAGAACCGGAAAAATTCAAGTGAAGTGAACCAAATGAAGAAACTAACAAGATTACTGTTCAGTTCAAAATTCAGTGTAATAAATTAGTCACTGGCATGCCACAATTTCGAGCTTCCACCAATTCAGCTATCAAATAACACGAACTTCTCAACCAAGCGAAAAAAAGTCACTCCAACAACAAAATGAGCGCCATTCCGCGCCTCTCAAAGCATAAAAAACTTTGAATAAAAATCTTTAAAAAAATGAAACATCAAACCGCTGATTCCTCACCAACAAACACAGATCATGAAATACACAAATAAATAAAACAGCAGATAAAACTAAAGACACACAAACTCCGAGTTGTACAATAAGTCACAAGCATAAACACAATCCGAAACCTGTAGATCGTCATGGTCGACGGAATTGCTACCGCAGGCAATGAACTTGAAACATGATGCATTGGACTTTCCCATCCTCGCCGGTTCTCCTCCGATCCTACAAAATGGCGACCTGTCCTTCTTCTACTCAGCAGCTCAGCATCAGCCTCCCGCACTACAGCATGACCAGCACAGCACTAGCGTAGAAGTAAGCAGCAGGCTGAAGACGTGCACTCTAATTTGATTTTGAAAGAGTGCTGGCAGATAAAGATGGAGTTTCGGAGGCACGGATCTCAACCCCTCCTTTAGATACGGATTAATTTGAATTTTGAATTCCGTATGGATATATTCATCGACTGGATTCGATTTTAAATATATTGTTCACCTCATTTTTTTTATCAAAAATATCAAATTAAATATTTATTTTTTATTTTTTATATTATAATAAAATTAATTTTATATTCAAAACATCACGTCAATCCTATTTATATCACATTATACACCTATTCAAATTCAAAACTTTTACTATTCAAATTTCAATTTATTGTTTGTTTGGATTGGATTTACATTATTCATCTTAATTTTTTCCCCTAAAAAATATTAAATCAAACACTTATTTTTCATTTTTTATATTATACTAAAATCAATTTTACATTCAAAACATCACATCAACACCTATTTATTATTTATATTAGATTATACAACAAATCAAATTCAAAGTTTTTACTATTCAAATCTCAACTCAAAATCCAAACCGACAAACACACCCTAAATAGAGTTAACCGTAGAATCAACTGTGGAATTGTATTTATTATTATTATTATTATTATTATCATTATTATTATAGTTTTGTGCAGCATGTTTTAGTTAAACCGTTAAGAAAATAGTAAAAAAGATTTTAAAAGGAATGAGAGAAATGATATAAATTAGAAAAGTAAAAAATAATGAAAATGGAATTAAAAACAAATGTCTAAACACTTTATGGAAAAATATTAAAAGAAAATTGCGAGTAGTAGTGATGAGGACAACGGCCGGCGTCGGTGGCCGGAGCATGTGGCCGGATAAATCTACTAGTCTTTGTTTTGCCCAAATTGTATGTCATGAAATTGTTTATTAATCTAGTTTATATTTAAATATGTTTTGAAAGAAATTTTTAAAAAAATATAGTATAAAAAAGTAAAATCGGACATAGATTAAATACCAATTTTGATATTTTTGCTACTGTAAATGCAAAGGAAAAAAGCTTTTTTTTTTTTTTCTTTCAAAATTTTTAGATAAAATAGATGAAAATAATAATAAAAAATAAATAAAACAATTTAATTAAGATAGTTAACTCAAAATATCTATTTGTTTTCTTATGTGTTTTTTTGGGTTTTAGATTTTGAGTTGGGATTTGAATAGTAAAAATTTTGAATTTGAATAGTTGTATAATGTGATATAAATAGGTATTGATGTGATATTTTAAATGTAAAATTGATTTTTAATATAATATAAAAAATGAAAAATAGGTATTTGATTTGATGTTTTGGGGGGGAAAAAATGGAATGAATAGTACAAATTTTCACAAATCCCTCGAACAAACACACCCTTTTGTAAATTAAACAATAATAATGTTTTATTTATTAATAAAAATATATTAAAATGATTTTAACATTTTTTTCTTTAAAAATATAAAAAAATAAATATTTTTATAAAATTTAATATTATTTGATATTTATACATGAATTATTTTTATCATACGTACATGTGTGTACACGCATAACACTTACTATATTATACTTGCTATATTCCATTCAAATGTACTCCCTATATCCAATTTTTATTGTTCTAAAATATATTTGCACGATTTTTTATTATTTTTTTGTTATAAATTGACAAATTTGCTTTTAATTGTATGATAAAGATTAAAAGTAATAAATGAATGAAGGGTAAAAATATAAAATTTGTGTTAAAAAAATAGGACAATGTACCAAATAGGAAAGTAGGACATTAGTTATAGATGGAGAAAGTATATACTTCTATCATGTTTCTTTATTTTATTTAAGTTACTTCATATAATTTCTATTATACTCCCTCCGTCCCATGTATTATGGGTCTATTAATGTAGATACGAGAATTTAGGTAAAATGTGATTAGTAAGTAATTAATAAGTGTATTAGTAAAAATAATTATCGTATAATAAAAATAATTGTGAATTAAGATTAAGACAACTAAATATTTTAATTAAAATTAAAAAAATTATAAAATTTATAGACAAATTATGTTTGACGGACGAAAATAGAAAATAGGGACAAATTATGTGGGACGGAAGGACAAGTAAAAATGGACACCCATTCATATGTATATATTTTACCATTTTTGTTGGTGTCACACTTATTATTATTATTATTATATAAATGGCCTCTACACTTATATCAAACATACCATCAAACTCAAACAAACAATTCGTACAAGTAGAACCCATGTACTTGGAAAGAACGAATACGTCAAAATAAGTGCATGCATTTAGATGAGACTGAATAAGTTTACAAAGAGCAGGTAATACACACTTCCTAAAAATCTTGCTCTCTTTGAATTTATTTTTTTCAATTTCTTTACTGTACAATTCTTTATAATAACACACAATATTATTTTCATTAAAATTCTCGCAGAAATGAGAAAAATGATATTGCAGTATATGTATATTTTTAATTTTTTTGTACTACTTAATTTTTATATATTTTATTTTAATTTTACAAAAATGAAATTTAACTTATTATAGTTTTACGAGTTTTTAAAAATTGTACTAAAATATAATTTTAAAATATATCGTATATAATTTATTATTGTTTTTTAAAAAAAGTAAAAACAATCTGCCAAAAATATTTTTTCTCTGAAATTTCATTAGTTGTACCAAATGCCACCTAATATGCTGTTTAAACCAAAAACTAGACTTAAAAAAAAAGTAAAGAAAAAGAAAAAACAAGCACACATTAAAATTTCACTGCTAGCATGCTGACTGCACCTATAATGACCCTATAATTTCTTAGAAAATGTATAAAATAAAAATAGCTGGCTTGTTTACTAACTGAATTGTTATCATACAAAAATTGAATTGAAAAAAAAAAAAAAAAAAAAAGAAAAGAAAAAAGAATGGCAGATGGGAAAATGGAGTAATGATCCAAATCAAGAGGGGACAGGAATTTCTGGTACACTACCCCCACATGTTCTCTTACACTGCCACCTCCCCAATGTAAGAACAATTGGCCACATGTAAATAATTAATTGCTCAAAATATCAAAAGAAATGGTCCAATAAGTAGTGGGTAGAGTTAGGTGAAGCTAGAAATAAGTCACTTAACTCACTGATACTAAATACTGAGATAAAATGTAATTTCTGTATCAAACTTCAGACAAGAACATAACCTGACATGTGCTTCTTCATCAAATTGAAACTAATCAGATCAGTGATAGCATGAACCAGAAAAGTTGTAAGCCTGGATTCAGATAATGACATTTGGACAGAGTTAGCCTATTTACTGAGACATGCCTTTATTAAGACACACACAAAATAAATAAACATGGTGGGAACAACAATTGACTCCTTATGATCGAGATATTAATCTTTATTTCCATCCATATATCCATATATCTATCAGATGCAAGCAGATTTTCTTGACTTTCAATTCTGCACGTAATAATGAAGTGGGCTACCCTCAAATTTGAATCTCTAGTATAATGATCACATGGACACAGATAGCAGAATTTGGTCATTACAAAAACTAAAAAAAAAAATGACTGCTATTGAAGAAGGGTAGGGCAGATTTGGGACAAACATGTACCTGGCGACTTCAATTCATGGAGTTTAATGCAAACATCAAAGATGCTGCATTCATAGTCAGTCGTAAGACATCTTCATGTTCACCAACATCAGGGCACTTTGATGATATGATAATATGGACATGAAACATGGGACCCAACAAAAGTTTCGCAGCAGAAAACCTTTTACGAAATTCAGGATAGAAGAGCAATCCTTGATGAGTGTGGTGTGTGATATGCAGTATGATGCAATGGTGCAGTCTATGTTGTGTGTGTTTTCTTCTCAATGCTCGACTTGCTTAGGACAATAACACCGGCGACAATTAGAGATGCACCTACAAACCACTGCAATGGGAAATCACTCCACGGGATTAGCTAGGCAGATTTGGACACATTAATCATAAGACATTAATTTCAGTCCTGTTATTCTAACATTTCCATCTCAGTGTTTATTACTGTAACTTGAAACCCATTAGGTTATAATTCCTCACAAAGTTTTCTTCAAATTTCTAGTTTGAGTATTTTGACAAAGATTAGGCCAAAATTCATACCCAGTTCTTGACTTCTACAGTTCCACGGCGTATACAAAATGCAGACATATATGGGGGAATTACGACCTTTCTATTGAAGGAAAAACCCTACAGTTTTAGAAAGCATATCAACGGGAAGTATTACTTACCTTAACAGGAAGTGCCTCCTTGAAGAGGAAGAATCCGGCCAGTCCAGAGGAGAGAAAATTTGTTGCAAAGTTTGTCACTGTAGCTTGTAAAGATGAGAGGGACTTCATGCTATTAACTGAGCATCCCCACATTAAGACATTGAAGAATATAACCAGGGCATATTTCAGCTGTCAATGCTCATAAAAATGTTTATCAGACATCCCCTACCACTTCACTAGAAATAACACTTTCAATTATTTGAAGAAAAAATGAAATCAAGGAAAGGATCACACACAATGTAATGTACTACTTCAAATTTGCATGCGATCCAAACTGACAAGCTGTATTTCACATTTCAAAAACAAACAATTTCTTTGAGCATTTTTAGATCCAAAGTTAGACGAACATGATAATAAACCAAATGGAACATGCATTTAGAAATGATTTTACATCTAGAAATGCTCGAAGAGATTATTTTATTTAATTGTTTGTGTTTATTTGTAGGTAAATTTAAAGTATATTACTACACATGTCTATAGGAGCCTTATATGTAGTTCACAAGAGGCCTATCAGAAGTCAAGAGCACCACCATACGCTCCCTCGCAACGTCCCTAGTCTCTACCACGAAATTCACATTATAAATACATCAGAACATAGAAGTAGATTAGTGAGTTAAATTTGAACTTTCTTTTATCCAAACTTAAGATTTACGTTGTTAGTATTTTAAGTTGTCATACAAAGTTATTGTAATTATGTTTCTGCTACTTTATACTATCTTGATAAAGGATCGATCCTATAACCATTAGTATATTCTCCTTATAACTTGTGTGAGTAAGATGGATGCATAAAAGTACAGCAAAATGGCAGCGCTCGGGTAGGCAGAGACACTCTCTGTGTGGATATGGCTACACATATTTCTTTATCTGATTTTCCCCCAACAAACAAAATCTATACGGATTAAAACTACTAGTTAATTAACTTCCTAACATACAGCCCTCGTTTGGGTTATGCTTCGTTTCAGCCATCATTAGGGTTCACAAATATCCGTAGTACATATACGCACATTCCCCATCACAAACGAATAAAAAATAAAGAAAACGATTAAACCAGATATCTTTCCCGTGCAGTACGACGATTGCAAATTTCTGATTCTAATTTTTCGCCGCCGCTACGATTCTGACACTGTACAAACTTCAATCCAGAATTTAACAATGAGGTTCGAGTAAGAGTACCTGAGACGCGAAGAATTTAGCAGCCACGGCAGTTGCAGCGGCATTTACTCCAGCAGCAACCGCCCAAGCATAGCCTGCCTTTCTCTCGATCTCCATCCCCAATTGGATCTCTTGTTTTCCGTCTCTGAACTCATAATTGTTTGATTTTATGTGGGCTTGGGCTTTAGATGTGTTTGTTTTATTTGGATCAATATAGGCTTTTTTACATTAGAAATATATGATTAGCGAACAAACACTTAAAAAAATATTTTTTAAGGTAAGTTTATGTGCCAATTTTTTTGGAAATATATATATCATTTCAAATTCATTTTTTGGAAATATATATATCATTTCAAATTCATAAATGCTCGCTCAGATTGTTTATGTGCCAATTTTTTTCTACGGATAATGTGTCGTATGGTTTTAACAGGAATTGCATATCAAAAAATGACTCCATAGAAGATGTTGATTCCATGTATTTGGAAGGGTGTCGAAGCTCAGAATGAAGAGAGCCAAAGTTTCTCCAGAAAATCTTCAAAGATATCGATTCCATAGCCTAGCCTCGATGAATACCTCGCAACCTCATTTGATGATCATAGGTTGTTATAACCATTCATTTTATGGTATCGAAAGTCACGGGTTTGTTCTTCTATGTGTTTATTTGTAAGATTATAAATTGTTTTGGTTTTGAATAGTAAAATTTTGAATTGAAATATTTGTTTGCTAGTAATATAAATATGTATTGATGTGATATTTTGAATGTTGAATTAAATTTTAATATAATAATTTTTTTTTAAAAAAAAAATAAATGTTTGACTTGATATTTTCGGAGGAAAAAGAAAATTAGAACAGTAAAATCAGGATAAAATCCCACCAGTATACACACCCTATTACCCAAAAAAAATAAAAAATATCTTGTTGGATTCAGATTTTAGGATAAGGAAAATTTCGGGAAAGGATATTAAAGATGCTTTTCATATACAAGTGTATTTATTGTTCATCTATTATTATTTTTATTACAAGAAACCATACCCAACCTTCACTTCGGGTCCATGGACTACTACTGATTCATTGTATTGTTTATTTTTTTGATATTTTTTTATTCAGTGTGCCATATGTTTATATAGATTCAGCAATACAAACCATACTAAACGAATTATGTACGGTAGACAAAGTTTGGAAATTCCAAAAATTGAACCTATAATATCATGGTGACGAGTTTATTTCAAATATTTTATTCGGATAAATTTTGTCTAGCAAGCATACATACGTACTAGTTTGCTTAAAGCTTTTTTTTTTTTTTTTTTTTTTTTTTTTCTTTCTTCTGATGACGTGAGAACCCGCAGCCGTTATCCGAAAGTGCATACTGGATAAACCTCCGACCGAACCTAATATCCTACAAACCAGACTCGACAGGCAGCTATTCTTGTTTTGTTGTTTGGCGTGTTTTTGCTATTGTTTATTTTTGTATTGTTTATTTTTTTGCTATTTTTTACTTAGTGTGCCAGCAAAACAAGTTATATTAAGCAAATCATGTATGACAGACAAAAATTGGAGATTCGAAAATTTGAACCTATGATTTCATAGTCACTATCATTCCAAATATTTTATTATTCTTGTTTTGTTGTTGGGCGTGTTTTTGCTTGCATTTGGCTCTTGTATTTCTATAGTTTTGTATTTGCGGCCTATAGGCAATAGGGACAGAATATTACATATTTTTGTTCAACTTATTTTGTCACTTTTTTAAAAAAAAAAAAAAAATTATACATCTTATTTTAAAATTTTAAATTTATGTATATATTTTTTAATTTTAATTAGACTAATTAGTTATATCTCAATTTTGATCTATATTTTTACTAGTATATTCTTTCTTATTTACTGATTATATTTCTCTTAAATTCTGATGTCTATGGTAAAGTAGACATGATAGCCAGAACGAATAGAGTAATATTTTAGATAAAATTAATGTTTAATGTGATTTTTATAATAATAATAATAATAAGAATAATAATAATTGTTTGAAATGCATTAGTAATGACAATAGTTTATATAATACTATATTATAATTAATCTCGCATGGGTTTTGTGGGGATGGATTTGTGACCGAAAGGTCATATGTTCAAGCCCCCGATGCTTCAGGTCATCATTAGCTTATAAAAGATATAGATATTATTTTTATCTAAATGAAGAAAAAATAAAAATTACAAATAATCACACCTGTAAAAAATTTAGAAAAAAGAAAATAATAGTATTTGAATAATAATATGATATTTTTATATTAAGATTTTTTTATATATTTTAATTTGATATAATAGTATTGATGTAAACAAATATAAATTTAAAGATATTTATAAATGTATTATATAGTATGATCAAAATTACTAAAATAAAAATAAAATATATACTCTAGATTTGAACAAATAAAAATAATACAATAATAACTAATGAGCTTGACAAATAAAATAATATTTTTAAATTTAACTTAAAAATTAAATTTCACGTTGAAAATTATTTTTCAAATCATGTTGATCCAACGTCAACCGTTGGATTTGATTTTTTAAAATGATGATGATGATGATGATGAAATGTCTAAGTACCGGCGTGGTGGCTTGGGGTGGTATCAACAGTGGAGAAAGTGATGGAAGTGGTGGCGATAGTGATAGTGATGGTGGTGGTGACGGAAATTTGACAGATGATTTACTCGAAAGTTATTTATTTCTATCGTCCTATTCAAAAAATAATATTTTCTAAATTTTCTTTTTTAACTTTATATGATATAATTTAAAATATTTAAATATATATTCTAATCTTTTATTATCTATATTAAATTTATTGAAGATATTATTATAATTAATTATTATTAACTAATAATTAAATATATCTTAAATATTAATATGTTGGATGGACAATTGGATAAGTATCTTTTTATTAACTAATATAAAAATATTAAATTACATCAATTGCTCAGCTGTATCCAGACACCCTCACTAGGAATATCCCGATGAATCACAAACAAAAGATAATACCCTGGCGGGGCAACCCTACCCGAACCCGGAGACAAAACCCGAATACTCGACACGGGTTTCCCAATAACATTCCGTACTGTCAGAAACAACAACCTTTGATTCATCGAAAACGCATGCGTCGCGAAAGACGGCGCCACCATCGCCACCTTGATTGTGGCGGCGGCGGCCGCCAAAGGAACAGTGCATGGGATCAACAATTCTTGCCCGTACCCGACCCGCGACTGCAAGCCCGTACCCGCAATCCTCGGGCGTAGGCTATCCATACCCGGATCCAAATACGACGGCGAAAACGCCTCCAACGACAAGTCCGTTAGAAAACTCGAGAACCTGAATTCGTACTTTATGTACTGATTGCTGCCGCCGACCAGAACCCGGCCGTCGCGGAGGAGCGCCGCCGTCGAGTGGTACATCCGAGGAGTCGAGCTCGAATTTTGCCTCTCAAATAATGAACTTTCCGGCCTGTACACCACCGGAGTAAAAACCGGGTTACGGGCCATCTCGCCCGCGCCCGCCGTACCCGATCCGGCCCCGTTGATAATCAACACATTGCCGTCCGGTAACAGCACCATGTCCCCCATGACCCGACCCATCGGCATTTTCTGCATGACCCATTGCGGGTTCGGGTCGGATATCCGGATCCTCCCGCAGGTGTCTACCGCCGGCACGTACGTGCCGGCGGCCGCGCTGGCGAAGGCCCCCCGCGGCGCGCCGCCACAGACCAACACCTCCGCCGTGATTCGGTCGGATTCGAGATTGTTTAACGGGAGCAGCACGGCGGAGCCGGAGCTTGGGTAGTTCCTTGGATCGCCGCCGGGGATCGTCGGAAAAGTTGTGATCACTTTCCGGCTAGTGTAGTCGTAGAGAATGGATTGATTGTTTGCGAAGATGAATAAATTCCCGTCGGTGTTTAGGAAGACGAAGGGGTAGAGATTGTTTTCGTCGTTAGGTTCGGTGGTTTGGGCGAGGAAAGGTAAGTCGAACGGTACGTCATCGTTTTGGGATGATTTAGGGTAAAATTCGAAATTGAACTGGCCGCGGCCGCCGACGACGATTTCCCGGCCGTCAGGGAGGATGTGGTTGGTGGCGTACCACCGCGGCCGGTTGAGTTTAACGTTCAGCTCGACCCAATTGCAGGAGTCGCCAGAGCAGGGGGAGTAGAGGCGGACAATTTGGATGCCCTCGTCGGCGCCGCCGGTCTGGGCGAGAGTGCCGTCGGGTAGAACGGCGCCGGAGGAGCAGAGGGTGTTGGTTTGGATGGAGAGGGGGCGAACGGAGTTCGAAGCGACGTCGTATTCGACGGAGTGGGCGGTGCAGTTGTCGGCGGGCTGGGCTGGGTCGGTGGTCCGACAGGGGCTGCCGGCGGGGAGGGAGATGTTGGAGGGGCCGGAATTAGTGATGTCGAAGATGACGACGCGGTCGGTGTGGAGGAGCTGCATGTGCATGGCGGAGATGCCGATGTTGGCGCGGAGGAGCTCCCACTTTCCGGCGTGCGTGGGGAGCACGCTCTGGTGGAGGAGAATGAAGAGGAGGAGTGGATTAATCATGGCCGTTGGATTCGGAATGGATGGTGAGGATTGAAGTGTGCAATGGCGCTTAAATAGGGGAATGAGGAGAGTACTGCAAATTTATGGAGAGTGTTATTTTGGGAAATTATCTTACATTTTTATTATTTATTATTCAAAAATATATATATTAAATTAAATATTTACTTTTTATATTATATAATTTCATTCTGTCTTAATTCAAAATATTATTTTCATTTTATATTTATCTCAGTTCAAATATTTCTTTTCTATTTAAAAAAAAAATAATTATACACTAATATCAAAATACTCTTTTAACTTCTATTTAAATTACAAATATATCATTACATATCCGATTACATTATACATCAAGACGAAAAAACAAAAATGTTAAAAAACTCTTACACATTTTCATTAACTAATAAAATATTATTATTTTTTAATCTATTGCAAAACTTCAAAGAGTCCTTTTGATTAGGAACAATGAAGTACTAAAAATTACATTCAAAATATTATATCAATATTTCTTTATATCATATAATACCACTATTTTAATTCAAAATTCTTACTATTTAAATTTCGATTTAAAATCCAAATATCCAAACAAACACAAGTAAACGTTATCCTTGCTGTAATAAACCATAATATTAATTATTTATTTGTTAAATTAATTATGATCGTGTGTACAGCAAGTTACTACTAATTGGAGTATTTTTTTAATAGTATTATTTTTTTTTTCTGTAGTGAGGTTGAAAAGTCGTGAGAGATCTTTTGTATTATAAAAATGCAAGATCATGACAATAACTCTGCTTGTTAATTACTTGGTTTGGATTATGAGCTTGATTCATATTAAAATAAGTATTTAATACTACTATCTATAAGTTAATATAATATTTTTTAATATAAAATTATTTTAATTATAATATAAAACAAAAATAAAATAAAATATTTTATTTATATTTTTATAAATAACATTACATTTATATCATAATCATAACATTATTTTTGTCATTTTATATTAATTTGAATTTTCTTCGAAAAAAAAACTTTGTAGCATAACAGTGAATTCTCCTTTTAATATTCTAACGGAAGACTTTTTGCATTCAACAATTCTCCCATTAAACCAATGATCATATAATTCATAAGTTTCTTCCAACGATATTCCGTTGATATGTCCACTTTGCACCCGCTATCATAAAGAGATCCGTTGTCTGATCACACTTGTCGGGGCCGGCCGTCCAACCGACCACGACAATGTTAGGAATTTTTCGACATAAGTCACCACTACAGATTCCAATTATGAGATCAACGAGAGCGTACTACAACCATAACCAATGACCGATAACATCCAATTTACTCCATCAACAAACTAGACTATGATACCAGTTGTTAAGTTTCTGGATCGATTGAATCGTCGAGTCTGCAACTCAAAAAAATTATCACATAGAAAATATATTAGCGGTTAACAATTTAAGAATACAGAATAATATCATAATGAAGAAAAAATCAAATTATAGAAAAGAAAATTAATGAAACGATTAGTTATGCTCAGATCACAATCTACTCCGCGTCAATTCCAAGTCCCTACGCGACAACAACATAAAATGGGGGAAATCGGAGGGGCCGATTTGGGACGAAGCAACGCAAATACAAAATTAACTGAAAATAATTTGATAAAGACCAAAATAGAATAGGGTCGAACAAGATAGACACTGAACAATCTATCACAAATCTCAAAAATAACATCACACACAAACCTAAACCCTAATACATCTTTATATCGGCAATCAAAAAACCAGATAACACCCTCAATTAGATCAGGAATCAACATACCTTATCAACCAAAGAATGAAGGATTCGAAAGGAATCAATTTAAACAAGACTAAAGAGGAATGAACGAAATATCTTTATTGTGTTGACTTGGACCGGAAGTAAGAAGAGCATAATAATGGATCTAAATCACAAATTTGGCAAGTTTAAGATTGAATCGGGTTAGGACAGATAAAAATTGAGTTGAGTTCGGGTCCACTATTATGATTACATTAAATCTTACAATTTTTTTTTTTTTTTTGTAAAATCATAAATTTTTACTTTTTCACTCATCGAGTAAGATAAGTTAAATATTGTCAACCAATATGCTCATCTAAAAACTTTTTTTTTTTTAGTCATTAAAATAGCTTTGGCCATCTTTTGAGTTACTATGATATTTTTCATCTTTTTGTTGTCAAATTAAAAAATTAATTTTGCGGTCAAAACGTGCAATACATGCATATGTTATAATGTCAAGTATCACACAAAGGTCGCACAATTTGCCACCAATAATGTCACATCTGTTATGAAAATTTCAGGAAATCAAGATGAGAAAACAAAGACAATAGAACACAAGAATTTGGTAACCCAGTTCGATCACAAAGATCTACGTCTGGGGGCGCTGCCAAGCCAGGAATTTTACTATAAAGTACGCAGGCTCATGTTAAAGTGAGAATACATGGATATTTATAGCCTAAGCCTTTGACAATAATATCCAAATCATATCTCTAAAATCTAAAATATAATATCCAAATCATATCCCTAGATTTTAGGATATAATCAGGTTTCATATCCCAACAATCTCCCACTTGAAGACTGATTTCATCTTCCACTTCAACATACCTCATCCAATCTCCACTCCCCACAATTCGGTGTTCTGATTCGAATCATTCCTTTACCTACAATTTTCAGTGTCTCATCATCTCCAAGATAGACAACACCAAAATTATCTGTGGTATAGGATTCCATGATTCTCGAATCACTGCATGAGTAGAATGACGTTCGACCAAAATCCATGACTCCATTGGACTGCTGACGCTCAGAATCAGCGCATCGGATATCTCCTCCGTTGCGTTTGCTGAACCCTGATCCTTCTCCGGCGCCCTGCACTGTCGTTTCAAGTGCCCCTTGCAGTTCCAATATACCACCTGACTTGCATCTTCCTTGTCCTTATTCTTCGGCTTCAACTTTGACCATTCTTGATCTTCACCATTTCTTTTTGCCTCAAATCTAAATTCAGTCGAGACATTCTCCCAAAGGGTTAGTCGAACCGCACTCATCGTCTTCCTGTTGATCTTCTTGTATTCGGCTTCATCCATGTCTTCGGATTTCTCCTTCAATACCGCATCTAGATCTTTACCATTCATGTAATCTTCTATATGCATATTTTAGAAACCGAAGTTCATACCATCGAATACCTTGACAACATGACGATCACCCATCTTGACTCCCACAAACAAACCTAAGGTTCACTTGATATGAGAGCACATCGGATATTCCGCTGCGTTTGCCGAAACCCTTATCCTTCCCTACCAACCTTGCACCGCCTATCACAAAGGGACTCGCTGCCTGACCTACCAGTCGGGACCGACCCAACACCGCCAGGAGACTTTCGACACAAGGCACCTCCGCAGGTCACAAGGGATTCCCACAACGATCCAACGTCCGATTCCTCTCAATCCACCCTATCAACGAACTAGGCTCTGATACCACTTGTTATGAAAATTTCAGGAAATCAAGATGAGAAAACAAAGACAATAGAACACAAGAATTTGGTAACCCAGTTCGATCACAAAGATCTACGTCTGGGGGCGCTGCCAAGCCAGGAATTTTACTATAAAGTACGCAGGCTCATGTTAAAGTGAGAATACATGGATATTTATAGCCTAAGCCTTTGACAATAATATCCAAATCATATCTCTAAAATCTAAAATATAATATCCAAATCATATCCCTAGATTTTAGGATATAATCAGGTTTCATATCCCAACAACATCAATTACTAATTATCAGTGGTTAACTACTTACTCGCAACTAAATAACAAATAAGAAGATAGAGTTAGTTTTTTATTACTAAATTTTAGATAATTTTTTTTTTTCTAAAAAAATTCTGATTCACCATATTGAACTCGATTTTCAATCAAACTCTAATACCCATTGTTAAACTGTATTAAACTCAACGGTATGTATGATATATCCATTTTAGACCTAACTTCTATGAATTTTCTTTTTTTTTTTACTTACTCTGCAAGGTCTTGTACTAATAAAGTAATTCCAAAATGCCTCAGAGTAGTATAGTTCATGTAAAATTTACTGTCCATCCCAAAACAATAGTCTCATTTCCATAAATAACCATATCACTATAAAACTATCCTTACTTTTTCATTATTATTATACAATTGTCACTACTTTTTATACTAATACACTTACAAGGACAAAAATTTTTTTTACCCGTACTTTTTATCCACTGCCAATATAATATCAATATTCTTTAAATTCCGTGCCAAACCCAAACTCAGACTATAGTATTAAAAATAAATAAATAAGAAATGTGAGTTCATTGTATAGTTTTTTCAATGTAACTTAATCCCCTGTATTATTTGCAAACATTTATTATATTCAGTCTAAAGAACTTTTTAATACATACCCAAAAAAGTAATAATCCGGACTTCATAATGTGGTAATTAAATTAAATAAAAATTCAAGATTCGATATTTCCGTATATTCCACCAAAGTCAAACATTAATACCTGTTGAAATGACTTCTATATGCACATGTATAATTATTTATTTATTTATTTATTTATCTCTCATTTTTAATTATTTTGATTTATGTAAATTACAATAAATTTACTATAATTAATTAGTAACGAAATTGCATTATCATTCTTTCAATTATGATTTTGATCAGCGGCTCGTCAACTTGTAAGTTTATAATTAAATATTTTATTAATTTGATGGCAGTGTACAGTTGTCACGACAATTTTTTTGTACACACTGATTTATAAAATAAATTTTAAATTCTTTAGTTATATATTTTGAATTAAAAAAAATGGTGATTATGGATGATTTTGTGTCAATGAAAATAATAAAAGTTGTTCATACAACAATGTTGAATTTAGCTGTATGCATTTTTAACTTATTCAATAATGTTGTATATATATATATATATCATAACTTAATACACTGCAAATTAGATTCGACAGTAAAATCAAGCTAGACGAATAATGTGGATTACAACCATGACCACCGGACCAAATTATATTCAAAATGAATAATATTTTTTAATATAAATAAATAAAATAACTATATATTTATCCATCATTCATATAAACTAATAGGTAAATTATATAATATATTTTTGTGTGTTCATATTTATTTATTACTTAAAATTTCTTGTGTTATATTAAAATATGCACAAAAATTATTTACTCCCTCCGTTCTATATGAAGGGTTTTATTTTTCACTTTCGTCCCAAAACAAGGTACTATTTCCTAATTTAGTAACTGTATTATCTAATTAACATAATAAACACCCTTTAAACTTACGAAATATTACACAATACTAATAGGAATATTTTTGTTTTTGTTTTTTTTTTTAAATTTCAATCCAATATAATACTAATATTAAAAAATCTACGTGCAAAAAATAAATGTTACTTTTTATATGAGACAAAAGGAGTATGGAGTATTTTTTTTTTTTTATTTTTATTTTATAATGGTGTGTTTGTTTTTGGGTTTGGATTTTCTAATAATAAAAAATTGAATTTGAATATTTATTTGATATGATATAAATATATTGATGTGATGTTTTGAATGTAAAATAATTTTGTAATATAATATAAAAAAGAAAATTTTTATTTGAGTTTGAGGTTTTGACTTGAGATTTTAAATAATATTTTGATGTTATATATTGTTTGAGTAAAATAATTTTTATTTATATATATATTTAAAAAATAATAATATAATTTGATTTAAAAAATATAAGCAACTTTTTTTTTATTTTTTTTTAAAAAAATATTTAGAATGATTTATTAGTATAGCAAAAAACAAAACAAACAAAATACAAACGAACAAATCATAACTTAGGCCCATGTGAATATGGACTAAAAAATTTTAAGCCATGCCCAATAATGTGGATTTGCATTTGGGCTAAGGTAACCCAATAAGGCTAATGTAATTTAAATTTTAAAATACGGTTTATCAGTAATAACTCTTTTTAAAAATAAAAAATAAAAATAAAAAATCAGTAACTATTAACTCACCGAACATTATCTAACTCACCATTTAAATAATAATAATAATAATAATAGTAATTACCTTAAAAGGTTATAGAAATAAAATAAATTTGTAATTTACTTTATGGTTTTCTTTTTTTCCATATAATCTCATACACTATTAATCGTTTCTATTATTATTATTATTATTATTTAATTCAAAATAATTACATTAAATAGATATTTTGTTATTCAAATTTTAAACTATATAGCAAAACACATTCTCATTTAAATCATTACATTCACCAACTTTTAGTATTATATTGAGATGTAATACGAATAAAGTAGAAATAATTAAAATAATTTTATTAATATTGTGTGATATAAAAGTAATGATATTTTTATAATATATTGTAAGTTTAAAAGATATTTATAATGTTAAGATAGACAATTTCTTTTTTAAAAAAAAATGGGTATTTTCTTATGTACAGACTAAAATGAAAATAATACATTTTTATTTAAAACTTACAATTTTTGCAATATTAACTTTATTTTCAAAACAATTTAGACAATTACAAAACATTATTACATATAATTTGTATTTCTTTTTTAAATTAACCTTTACAAAGCACTTTATAATTTTTTTCAATTTAAGTTTATTTTAATTTTTCATTATTTGTACTTTTTTTCACACAAAATATGCAATTTTTATTTATAATTAATAAATTTTACATTCTATTTAGGGTGTGTTTGTTTGGGGGTTTGGATTTTGAGTTGAGATTTGAATAGTAAAAATTTTGAATTTGAATAGTTGTATGATGTGATATAAATAGGGTTTGATGTGATGTTTTGAATGTAAAATTAATTTTTAGTATAATATAAAAAATGAAAAATAGGTGTTTGATTTGATGTTTTTGAGGGGAAAAAAATTAGATGAATAGTGAAAATCCACCAAAATCCTTCAAACAAACACACCCTTAATTTATGTTTATCTACAGATAAGACACCAATAATTCAACTTACTAAAAAATTCTTTTATTATTTTATTAATTCACTCCTGCTTTCTAAAATAGTCATAGTCAGTCAATATAATTCTATATTCATTATTATTCATGTCTTACTAATATAAACATATTTTTATGAAAAAAAATATTAAATTTTTATTATTTTACAAAATATTAAATTCAAATTATATATAAAATTTTGAAAACAAAAAAACCTACTTACTAAACACACCTTAGATTCGAATAATCTTATTATTAAATAATAGTATAAAATTTTATAACGTGTGTTTTTTTTAATAACGATTTTGAATTATTTAGTTGTTAGTTATTGAAAATTATAATTATATTAGTATTAAAATATTTATTCTATTATTTATATATATTTTATTAAAAAAATAATTTTTTCATATATTTATATATATAATCTTTGTGAAAAATAAAGATATCTGATTATTTATTACAAAAATAAAAATTAATCAAATCAAAATAATCAGTAATAAAATATCCTTTCCAGATATTGAACGACGATACAAGCAAAAGACTAAAAAGGAACAGTGCCTGTAAAAATTTTTCCATTCCTTTAAAAATCCGAAGAAAAATTTATAAAATTGGATTTTCACAACCTTTGCTTACAGCGATAATTGGAATCCGATCTGTGCAACAAAGTTCACCGAATCGGCAAAGGGAGTGACTTCATTACGTTCACATCCCATTTTTGAAAAAAAAAAAAAAAAAAAGGAATAAGGGATGAATTCTGACAAATGTCACCTTGCTCGGAATTACGTCGGGCTATAAATTGCCGCCCTCCTGGAGCATTCGCTCTCTGTTTTCGGGGTTTAATTGTCACTGCTAAGTTATTGCAAAGCAAGTATTTTCTTTTTGGGGGCACTTATTTGGTCGTCACTAGTTTGGGGAGGTGGAGTGTGGAAGGGCCGAAGGGGCATCTGTTCTTCCGCAAGACTCGTCTGTTGACGCCGTTTTTGGAGTTGCTTTGGTACTCCAGAATTGGGGGGCAGAGCAGACGAGGTTTGATTCTCATGAACACATGCCCTAGTTTTCGTTGTTGCCCCTAAAATGGGGGGATTTCTGTGAAACCCTAGTTTTTTATTTTGCTGTTCAATTGGTGATGTGTTTGTTTGATTTGGTTGAATGGATTGGTTGTGTGAGGATTTTGCATTGTTGTATTGAGCTATTTGAATGTAGGGCTTTTGTTTTTGAATGAATGTGAAATTGGTTTTGTGGAATCAATGGGATTGGGGGTTTGATGGAAATCTCTTGGCTATGTTAATCAATAGAAATTGCGCCCTTCTTTTGTTTATTCATGCTTTGATAAGATTATTTAGGGTTTGCTGTTTTTGTGTGCAGGGATTCAATTGGATTGGAGATTGGATAAGGGTTTGATGCTGTAGTTGAAACCCTAGGTTTTCGGGGATGGATAAGGAGGAGAACAAGGTGAGTTTGAAGAGGAAGTTGAAATCTGTGGAGATAGCAGTTGATACCGATGATGATGAGCCGATTGGGGCTCTGCTAAAGCTGAAGGGAAAGAGGATTTCGAAGAAGAGTAAGGTGGTTACAGATGCCAGTGGGAAGAAAGGTAATGAGGCTGAAAAGTTGCCCACAGGGGATGATGAGTTGGTTTGTATGGACGATACATTGGCAAATTTTAGGAAGAAGTTGAGGGGTCCGAAGGCAGTTGTAGCCGGAAAGGACTTCAGCAATTCTGGGGCATTATCTTGTCAATCTGTTAATGATTCTGCAAAGGATTCGAGACTAGATGTAATTTTGGCATCTGAGGCACCGAAAAGAAGCATAGGTAGTGGTGACAGTGTATCTCATGGGGATGAAACTATCTCAGAGGGTTTGAAGGCAAAATCGAAAAATAAGAGATCGGAGATCAGCTCAGATGGCTTGGATTACAGTAAGCCTGAGAATCACGAGGAGGGAGGAGTCTTGGACTCGGAGGCTGAGGGTTTAGAGGATTCACTATATGACTTTTTTCAGAAGGTGCAGTCTGGGAAGAGTTTGAAATCTCGTAGATTGAGACAGGGAAAGGAAGTCCAAACATCTGGTGGCGAGCTAAAACCGAAGACAAATTCAGATGCTGGCTTGGAGGTTCCTGATAAAAACTCTCCATCTGCTTCAGATCCTTCGAAGAACTTCATGGTGCCTGATGATCAGGGTACTGTGAAATCGCCAGGGAATTCAATTGATCAGAAACCCGAGCATTCTTATGGTCTGCTTGATTCTATTCTGCCACTGGGATCAGTTAATGGATTGAATTATGATTCTGTTTCCTTGGTTGACAATCCTTCTTCCAGTTTAAGGGCATGTTCGAATAAGATTCCTGATGTTGAAGATGGGAAAATTAACTCCAATTCAACCAATGAACTGCTCAATTCAGAGGATATTCTTTGTAGAAATGCTCAGCAGATGGTAGCAAACGATTTGGTGGCATCAATGTCCTTCTCTGGAGACTTAGGAACGAATAGGGATGACACAAAACAAGAGAATCGTGGAGATGATGACAAAGGTCAAGAAGGATCAGTTCTATTACAGCTCCACTCACCACCACTTACAGTCAATCCTCCACCGGAGGAACTTCTATCTGCAGATCGTGATGGCCCAATTGTAGTTGTTGGTAATTGCTGTAAAGAGACAATTCCAGCTCCGCTTTCTTCGCAAGGTGCAGATGATGATGTATCTGAGTGTCGGTCGTCGCCTATTTCTACTAATGAAGATAATAAATACATAGTTGCATTTCGGAAGCGCGAAGACAAGTCTCAGAAAGGTGTTGATGAGCCAGGACATGATTTAGAGACTTCTCATACATTGCCTGCAAGTGGTTTTCCTACAAACAACTCTGATGATCCTTCGGAGGATGAAGCAATCAACGGAACATCTTTGGCATCTGCTACACTGGATAATCAAGGAAGCAGTGGAGAAGATAGGTCCCCTCTCGATCTGGAAACTAAAGAAAACAATCTATCAGTTGGACAGCGAGCCGTTCGGAACGCCAAAAGGCATAGGCACGAAGACATGGCTTACGATGATGAAGTCGACTGGGAGGTTTTGATGCAGAGTCAAGAACTGTTTCCAAGTGTTCATAAAACAAGAGAAAAGCAAGACTCACTGCCTACTACACAAGAGGCTGACCCTATAAAGGTAGCAGCCGTAGCTGCAGGGCTAAAAGGGCGTGCTGGTCCGCTTGAAAAAGTCAAGTTTAAAGAAGTGTTGAAGCGCAAAGGTGGCCAGCAAGAATATTTAGAGTGCAGGTTAGTGGCTTGCCTGCATTTCCATAATGCTATTATCGTGATTTGTATAGCCCTCACTATTGGGTCTTCTAGTTACTATTAATTTATTTAGGTTCAGTTCTTTTTGTGTGCTTTTCACATTTTGTGGATGTTACTTTTTTACCTGTTTTTTTTAGTATTTATCCGTTGTCAACTGCAATGCCCATAATGTATACCTATCAGCATCCGTGAAGACAAGTTGTGATTTTAGTTGTTTTAATTAGCGTTTGATGTCATTTTGGCCCATGGATTTATTCCTTTTCCCATGCAAATGGTTGACATCGTGGGAACAGGAGCACGTGGGAGTTCTTATTGAAAATGTCTTATTTGTTTGCAAGTGTACAAGTTTTCTGCTCTTTTACTTTATTTTTAATTTCACACTTCACATTCAATTTTGCTCCTACATGCATCTATATCTATGTATACATAATCTATCAATCAACATCACATTTTTGAAGTAGTTAAGGTGGAATTCGACACTAATTTTAATTAACAATGCACTTAGAAATGGCCCATTCTTTATTTTTTGTATAGATATGTAATTGTTTCTAGTGTTTTGTTGACAACTTTATTATGTGATGCTTTGTAGGAACCGTATTTTGAGGGCTTGGAACAAAGACTTTGGCCGCCTTTTGCGACTGGAAGACTTTAATGTATCTGATTCTCCTTTGGATGGTGAAAGCCCATGTGATTCTCTCACGAGAGATGTTTTTAAGTTTCTTGATCAACATGTAAGTTTTCGGACTTCATTAAATTGAGGGTGAATTACACGTTGCTCGCTTTCCATAATCTAAATATTTACCTTTCTTGGTCAACATGTAAGTTTCTGGATTTCATTGAACTGAGGGGGAATTACACGTTGCTCACTTCCAAAAATCTAAAACTTTTACCTTTCCTGATCAACATGTACCTCTCGATTTCATTAAATTGAGGGTGAATTACACGTTGCTCGCTTTCCATAATCTAAAACTTTTACCTTTCTTGATCAACATGTAATTTCTGGATTTCATTGAACTGAGAGGGAATTACACATTGCTCACTTCCAAAAATCTAAAATTTTTACCTTTCCTTGATCAAACATGTACCTCTCGATTTCATTAAATTGAGAGTGAATGTAGTTGCTCGCTTTCCATAATCTAAAACTTTTACCTTTCTTGATCAACATGTAATTTCTGGATTTCATTGAACTGAGGGGGAATTACACATTGCTCACTTCCAAAAATCTAAAACTTTTACCTTTCCTGATCAACATGTACTTCTGGATTTCATTAAATTGAGGGTGAATTACACGTGTTCACTTCCAAGAATCTAGAATCTTTACCTTTCTTGATCAACACGCAAGTGTTCGGATTTCATTTAAGTGGGGTAAATTACACTTGGCTCACTTCCAAGAACCTAAAATTTTATCCTTCTTGTAAGTATTCGGATATCATTAAATTGATGGTGAATTACACGTTGCACACTTTCAAGGATCAAAAATTTTTTAGTCTTTCTTGATCAACACGTAAGTCTGGATGTCGTTAAATTGATGGTTACTTACACTATGCACTATTCCAAGAATCTAAAATTTTAACTTTCTTGATCAACATGTAATTCCTCGGATTTCATTAATTGAGGGTGAATTACATGTTGCTCACTTCCACGAATCTAAATTCTCTTAAGAAGGGAGCTAACCCATTAAGGAAATTCTCCCACGTGAATCACAATAAGCTATAGGCCCGTGTAATTAATGAGGCATAGTAAATATTTCCGCAACTAATCTCTTAATTGTGTTTTTCGACTTATTTATTTCTGCATTTACTGTACTTCCTGATAACATCACTCCAACAGATAGTTTGATCTAGTTTATTTATTCTGCTCATAGTTGTAAATTCGCGCTCTGGCCCATGGGACAGCTTTTGCACCTTTTTCTATGTTGAGGTGCATTGCCATGACACACGGCACAGGGCACAATTTTAAAATTTTCATTTTTATTTATTAGGCTTAGTTACGGCATATTTTGTTTCTTTAATTAGATATAGGATGTGGAAAGTTTTATTTTATCTCTTCCTAACTCTATCTGGCTCTTCAAAACTACCTTTGCTTCCTGTTTTTCATCTCCTTTTTTTGCCTCTCACACATCCTTTCACTATCAACTGATCTTCTGCCAAGTAAGGCAGCCTGCCACCGTCACCATTTTTTTTTTTTTTTTTTTTTTTATAGTATAGGATTTATGTTAGATCTTATACATAAATTGTTATTTTTTATTCATATCTTTGCTTCTATTTTGTAATGTGTACATTGAAATTCAATATATTTTCTAGGAGCCACCATTTTTTTTCCTTTTCTTGATATTTTTTCCTCTAATAGTATATTAAATTTATTTTAAAATATTTTATTTTACATTATATATATTTGTAAGATGCGTGGATGACTATTTTTCTTTCCTAAAAGCACGTTACGTTAATTGCATATATATGCGTGTATTATGTATATTAATAGTTATAGTGCTTGCCATGAGCCGCACTGTGACGTGCCATGACATGACACAAGCACACTATGATTTTGCCAAAGGAAATGTTTGTCAAGAAACCGATATGGAGGTCTAGGTAACTGTGTTTGATTCAAAAGCAAAGATCAAGAGAAGGGCCCATGGCCTGAAACTAAAAACATTATTGAATATCTGTGAATGTTTTTCCCTGATAAAGCTGTACTACTCATTATTCAAAGATCGAAAGTATGGGAAGAGAAACGTAGTTCTTATAAGCTTATTTTTCATATCTTGAATTATCTCCATGATATCTTTTATGTTTCATATTTTTCTTTCCTCAATGTGAGTAGGTTTATGAATAGATTTCACATGTTCGATCAATAAATCATTGATTTCTGTTTAACTGATTGATGGGAACATTTCAACAGGGTCATATTAATTTTGGAGTGCCTTCTGAAAAGAAGGCTGGTAGCCGCATCAAGGATGAGCTGAAACTTTCGACAGAGGACAAGTTAGGAGAAAATCCAGAGGTCGGAGTTTCCATTGTTCTCAGCAACGAAAAGAAACCTGATACATTGACACAGGGAAAGAATGACAGTGTGTTTGCCAATGAGAAGCTGATGGGTAAATCAAATCCAGAAGATGGACTATTGGAGTCTTCAGGACCTTCTGCCGAAGGTATACCTGAAGGATGCCCCCCAGGTGATAGTGAAGGAATCAATTCTCTCGAGCATATGACACCTGAAGAAGCTAAGAATTCAAAGTCTTTGGACTCAATTCCTTCTTGCAAAGACATGTATGACAAAAAAGTTTCTCCTGCCAATCCTGACTTACCAATTTCCGCCGAAGAAGTGTGTGGTGTGCCTATGAAGCACTTTGAGGATGGCTCTGATATTTTGTCAACATCCAACAATTGTGATGGCAATGATATGCATTCGGATTCAGGATCAAAGAAGAACGTAATAATTGTAGGAGCTGGTCCTGCTGGACTAACTGCAGCACGCCACTTGCAACGCCAAGGTTTCAGTGTTACAGTGCTGGAGGCCAGGAGCAGAATTGGGGGTCGTGTTTTTACTGACCGGTCCTCTTTAAGCGTTCCTGTAGATCTTGGAGCTAGTATCATCACTGGTGTGGAGGCAGATGTGGAAAGTGAGAGAAGACCTGATCCTTCTTCATTGATTTGTGCTCAATTGGGGCTTGAGTTGACTGTCTTGAACAGTGAATGTCCTCTATATGATATCGTTACTGGTGAGAAAGTTCCACCAGCTTTGGATGCTGAGGTGGAAGCAGAATTTAATAGCCTGATTAATGATATGGATCAGTTTGCCGATGAGAAAGGGCACCAGGCTATGCAAATGTCCCTTGAGGAAGGTTTAGAATATAACCTCCAAACACGTTCCAGGGTGTGCCCTCCACCAGAAAACAATGAAGTTGAGCATGTTGCCGAAGATCTTGAAGCTCCGGTTGGTCAAGCAGAGAGTTTAAATCCTCTTGAAAGGAGAATCATGGATTGGCATTGGGCCCACCTGGAATATGGCTGTGCTGCTCCCCTCAATGAAATTTCACTTCCAAATTGGAATCAGGATGATGTATATGGGGGATTTGGGGGCCCACATTGCATGATCAAAGGAGGGTATAGTGCGGTTGTCGAATCTCTTGCCCAAGGAGTTTGCATCCGCTTAAACCATATTGTCACAGAGATTTCGTATAGCACTCCAGATGATGTAAAAAACAATTTGCATAAACGGGTGAAAGTCTGTACATCAAATGGCAAGGAGTTTTGGGGGGATGCTGCCCTGGTTACAGTGCCACTCGGGTGTCTGAAAGCAGAAGCTATCAAATTTTCTCCAAAGCTGCCTCAATGGAAAGAATTGTCTGTCAAGAGGCTTGGATTTGGGGTTTTGAACAAGATCATTCTGGAATTTCCTGAAGTATTTTGGGATAACAATGTCGATTATTTTGGGGCTACTGCTGAAGTTAGAGATCAGCGTGGGCGGTGTTTTATGTTTTGGAATGTCAAGAAAACAGTTGGGGCACCTGTTCTGATTGCATTGCTTGTGGGTAAGGCTGCTCTAGATGGCCAGCGCATGAACCCTTCAGATCATGTGAGTCATGCCTTACTAGTTCTTCGGGTACTGTTTGGGGAAGACAAAGTTCCTGATCCCGTTGCATCTGTAGTTACTAACTGGGGCACCGATCCGTACAGCTATGGTGCCTACTCTTATGTTGCGGTGGGATCTTCTGGAGAAGACTATGATCTTTTAGGACAGCCTGTGGATAATTGTTTATTTTTTGCTGGTGAGGCAACGTGTAAAGAGCATCCTGATACTGTTGGTGGTGCAATGATTAGTGGTCTTAGGGAGGCTGTACGAATCATTGATATTTTGAGTACGGGAACTGATTACACAGCAGAAGTAGAAGGCATTGAAGCTGCAAGACGCCATTCAGATATTGGAAGGACTGAAGTGAAGGACATTGTCGCAAGGCTTGATGCTGCAGAGTACACGAGCGCATTGTTGAAGAAGTCATTAGATGGGGCCCAGGTTTCTGCTTGGGTCTCTATGTTAAAGGAAATGTTTTACAGTACAAAAACCAGATCAGGGAGATTGCGGCTGGCGAAAGAGTTGTTAAACATTCCGGTTCGATATCTGAAGAGCTTTGCTAGTACAAAACAAGGGCTTAGAACCCTGAACTCGTGGATTTTGGTGGGTGCCTCATCTGATGTGTGGTTTCTAGACAGAAACATTCTGTAAACAACAGAGATTAATCATATGGAAATTGTTATCATTGCAGGATTCCATGGGGAAGAATGGAACCCAGCTTTTGCGCCACTGTGTCCGCCTACTTGTACTCGTTTCAAATGATTTGCTAGCAGTTCGTTCGTCAGGTTTTTGCCTCCCCTGTTGTGCTTCTTACTTAATTCTTTATTACATGTTGTAGCTGTGTTTAAGTTTGAATCTTATTGTTATGCTATGTTTCGTTTCGAAAATTTTGGCGACTGTGGCTTAATTTTTAGGATTAGGTAAAATTCATGTTTATGTGGATTCAGTGTGTCATTTTTCTTATTTTTTCTTACAGGTATTGGAAAAACTGTAAAAGAAAAAGTATGTGTACATACCAGCCGTGATATACGTGCCATAGCTAGCCAGCTTGTGAGTGTATGGGTTGAGCTTTTCCGAAAGGAGAAGTCGTCTAAAACACTCAAACTACTTAGGCACCAAACTGGTCTGGATTCAAAGAGCAAATTTTCTCAACATTCTGGAAAACCACCAATTCGCACACACTCCAGTGATGTTAAAGCAAGCATTAAAAAAGCTGTTGATGAACTTGGTAGATCAAAAACCAAAGTTCACATTAAGTCAGATGTTCAGCCTTCTAATTCTCATGGTTCTGCACAAAGCAAAAAGGAGCAGGAGGAGGATCATGAGATTCCTATGTCCGAAGAAGAAAAAGCTGCCTTTGCTGCTGCAGAAGCTGCCCGTGCTGCTGCAGAAGCTGCTGCCAAGGTTTGCTTCTTGCACCCCCTTCCCCACTCCTCTCATTTTAATGTCTACTGTGTTTTTCTGAGGTTTCTATAGAAAAAAAATGGAAATTTTGCATATGATTTCCTTACAGCTCAAACTACTTGTTCTTTACTTGTTTAAATGTCTGGTGAAGAATCATGCTTGTGATTGTTTGGTTCAGTAATATGATGTAGCTGTTTCCGGTACATGGCATTTTATTTTATTTTATTTCAAATCGATGGCCATTAAGTCTACTGGTTTTGCAACAAATTGAAATTTTGCTGAGTTGACAACTGTATGTTGGTCTTGATTCTCCAATATGCTTCTCAATTGTAGGCTTCTGCCTGTTTCCACTTTCTGTTTTCCTTTGCAGGCATTGGCCTCTGGTGCGATGCAAAATGCATCACTTCAGCCTCCAAAGATTCTTTCATTTCACAAGTTTGCGATGCGCGAGCAGCACACCCCAATGGATGAGTCTGAGATTAGAAAGCAATGGACTGGCGCTGCTGCGATCGGCAAACAGGATTGTTTATCTGAAATAGATTCCAGGAACTGCCGGGTGAGGGATTGGTCAGTTGATTTTACTGCTACTGGTGTCCATTTGGAGAGTTCCAAAATGTCGGCGGATAATCATTCTCAGCGAAGCCACTCAAATGAGATGGCAAATCAGTTAAACATCAAAGAACACTCTGCAGAGAACGTAGCTGTCGATAGCTGCATCTTGACAAGAGCTTGGGTTGATAATGCCGGCAGCATAGGGATAAAAGATTATAACGCTATTGAAAGATGGCAGTGCCAAGCAGCGGCTGCAAGTTCGGGGTTTTCTCATGGAACAATGCCCTTAACGGATGAGGAGGATTCGAATATGAGTTCAAAATTGTCTAAGCAGAAGCGTGATGCACTTGCAAATGAGAGCTCTGCTTCCCATGTTTCTATACACAGAGAATTGAAAGGCAAACCAAATAGAGGACCCGATCGTATCAAACAGTCGGTTGTGGATTATGTAGCTACATTGCTCATGCCTCTTTTTAAGTCAAGGAAGATCGACAGGGATGGTTACAAGTACATTATGAAGAAAACTGCGACAAAGGTTATTTCTCTACCATTCTCTCTCCTCCCCCACATCTACTCTATTTGCACTACTCCCGAAAGCCATCTTATTTGTTTTCTTTACTCTCTATTTAGGTTATGGAACAAGCCTCTGATGTTGAGAAATCAATGACCGTTGACAACTTTCTTGATTACAAACGCAAAAACAAGGTAATCATTATATATTCTTCTTCCGTTCTTCCCTGTTTCTCTATCATTAGATACTCTTTTTTTACAAAGCATCATTTGTTTTTATTAGTGCCTGAAGTTACTATCATGATCCTCATTCCATCTTTTCTTTCTTGGATAGATCCGAGCATTTGTGGACATGTTAATCGAAAGACACATGGCAACAAAGCCTGATGTGAGATCAGGATCATCCGACAAAGATTAGCCTATTGTCCGCTACACAGAATCGTGAACTGTGATAGACTTGTTAGTCGTTATCCTAGCAGTCACCGAAGATCAAAACGGAGGCTCTGCTCATACTGTCCAACCATATATTCTTCTCTTTGAAATTTTATATCCAGACACCCCTTAGCAAAAGGCTCAAAAACCGTGGATTGGGTGACATCGTTTATCTCATATACATTTTGCATTCAATTAACATTGAGTCATGTTTTGTGAATTTGTTAATTATAGTCTTGAAACTGTATCTTATTAGGGCATAAAGACAAGAACCCCCTAACTGTTTTTGTCTGTAGGATCTTTAAAGACTTCTGGATGTGTACATTCTAGACTTTTTTTTCATCAAAACGAATATACAAAATTCCCATTTAGTATTTTACTTTAGGATCTTGTTTTGTTTTCTTAGCTGTTTTATACTATCCTATTCCGTATGTTTTCTGTTTTTCTTAATGTTTTAAGCCAGCAAGGTCTTTGGACACTCTGAAGAGACGGGCAGAAAGCAGTCTTCCATTTATTCCCACATGCTTGCCTGAAAGGTAAAGCAGCTGTGAAATCTCTTTTAACTGTCGATCTTTTAATTTGTGTATGATGCTTAACTGTATGATACTGAATGTTGTTAATTGCTGATAGTTAAGACACGAGTTACTGATAAGCATATGTTATTATGTCGTTAGCAGCTAATGTCGTCTGTTTTTGACATTTCTTGTTATTTTGTTGATGCTGCTGTGTCTTGTTTTCTACATTTTTATCACCAGGTGTTGCGGAAACCTGCATTTATGCAAAGACGATGCATTGTATATCCGGATGACCCGGCCGGCTGTCCGTCGAGAACCGGTAGGTAATGTGGTTTATCCGTTTTTCTTCTTGAGGTTGTTCTGGAAATTCTTTTGTGTTATTACTTTGTTGCGTCTGGGAAATGAAATTATGGAATGTATGCGACTGATGCGAAAAAAATGTTGCCTAACATGGCCTTGTTTGTGTTCGAGTTCTTGTCCTGCATTACATGAGTGACGCGCAATGTTGCCCAACACGGCCGTGTTCTTGTTCTTTTCGATTTTTCCTTACTTTTCCATTTATTTACAACCCGACCCGACCCAAAATAACTCCCTATGGCCCGCCCGGTACTTGGGGCGGGGGTCAAAAGGGTCATTTCATGGTGTTGACAATTAGTGGGGTGATAACGGACGGTTGCGATTTACGCGTGTGTGGAATACGTACAGATGTATGTATCTGTTAGTATTTTATTTTTAAAAAGGGTTTCAATTATTAATAATAACATCGACTTCGTCTTTCTCGTTTCTCTCTCTCTCTCGCGGATCAGATCTCTCGAAATCGATCGATAATGGCGTCAACCTTCAGCGGCGATGAAACAGCTCCGTTCTTTGGCTTCTTGGGGGCCGCGGCAGCCCTAGTATTTTCCTGTAAGATTGGATTGATTCGAAAACCTGTTTAATTTCCAGATCTAATATAATTTGGTGAGCTGCTGTGGTGTTATTCTGTAGGTATGGGGGCGGCGTACGGGACGGCCAAGAGCGGCGTCGGTGTGGCGTCGATGGGTGTGATGAGACCGGAGCTGGTGATGAAGTCTATTGTGCCCGTGGTCATGGCTGGTGTTTTGGGTATTTATGGCTTGATTATTGCTGTGATTATTAGTACGGGTATTAACCCTAAGGCCAAGTCCTACTACTTGTTTGACGGCTACGCTCACCTTTCTTCTGGACTCGCCTGCGGTCTCGCTGGACTTGCTGCTGGTATGGCTATCGGAATCGTCGGAGATGCTGGTGTCAGGTATTTCATTCCTCTTGATCCTCTTTGTATTTGAATATTCAACGTTTGTGAAATTTATTCATTTAATTATTGTCTTTATTAGTGGATTTCATTTTAGACGTCTGATTGTTTTGAAATCTGTGCTGAGTTTTAGGAACCTTTGTGGTCTTGTCATTATTGTGCATAGGAACCTTTAGTTTATTCATGTAAATAATTAATTTTGAAATAATTTGAAATATTTCGATGTTGCATCAAGTTAATCTTTTGGAAAATACTGTTGAGTTCCATTACGTTCGTTTGTGTGTAAATGTAGTGGCGTGTTGCTATAAGATAATAATTTGAATACCTAATTTGGGTGATAATTTATTTTAGCTATGTTAGATTGGATTATTTATCCCCAAATTTAACCTAATTGTGATGCTAATCACTTAAGTTTTTTTTTTTTATTTTTATTTTTTTTTATTTTTTTATTTTCTCTTCAATGAATGGGATTAAGGTCTAGTGGCTAGTTTGAGGATTGTAAAAGAAAAAAGCAAAAAAAAAAAAATTATAATTTTCACATATATATCTATGTATTCCTCTGTAGAAGGATTTTTCACTACAATTCCTTTATTCTAGATCATCACATCGAAACATGAAAATTTTCCTGCTTAAGCATGGTAGTATCATTTGTGCTTCGAGTAATAAGTCATTTTTGCTGCCATTTTAGATGTGGTCAATTTGTCCTTTTATTATTTTTATGCTCTGGTTTGTGATATCTTTTAATCCAACAGTTGTTTAATCAATATTTCCTTTTTGTCTATTCAATTCTTTCCATCCAAACTTGGCATAAGTGAATGTGGAATGGTTATTCAATACCAATGTTAGAGTAGAGTTATACAATCACTCTTTTGGAACAATATATCTAGTGATGAGTTCTTGTCCATTATGCTAAACATGTGGTTACTCTTAGTAATTTTATTTGTCAAGTTATTCTCGATAGTAAAACCTACCTTAAATTACACATTATATTAACTTGATAATATGATCTATCAAGTTAATCTTTATGATCAGGACTCAGAATGCATCATTGCATAACATATTTATTTTAATATTGGAATCAAAATCTTGATTTTCAAGATTCTAGGAAGTTGGGTTTGTGTTCTTTTGGCATATCTGTGTACTAAGTTTCATGTCTTGCCTCGTTGACATTGCTGTCCTAAATATTTTTTATTATGAACTGTATGCATTTTCTATCCCCCCCTTCCCCTGCCCTTTGATGATCACCATTATTTATTTACTCTTGCCTTACTGTTTTCAGAGCGAATGCACAACAACCAAAGCTCTTTGTCGGAATGATCCTTATCCTCATTTTTGCTGAAGCACTGGCTCTTTATGGTCTTATTGTCGGTATCATCCTCTCTTCTCGTGCTGGTCAGTCTAGAGCTGACTAGAAAATTTCACTTCACTCAAAGAATGTTTCAGTTTCTTGCAATCAGAGAATTATGAATACGTTAACTTCTTCATGATTACATTATAGTTTTGCTATGGAAATGTTTATGGGCCGTTGCTTCATATCCATGTGGCAATGATTTGTCCAGATTGCTCAAACCAGTGATATATATGGAGGTATATTGTAGATGGTAAGCTTGTTTTCCCTGAATAAAGTTCCTGGTACTATGTTTAAGGTGCCGGATGTTGCGAGCATTTTGCATTTGTTTTGAACAATTGCATGTATTATTTTATTTAATTTTGTTTAAACACAGATCCTTTTTTTTTTAATTTCCAAATTACATTCTCTAAATTCATCTTGGTGTTTTAGACTTGATATATAGTTAATCTCTTCATTGGGCTCGGTCGTCCTTAAATCCTATGCTTGTCTTGTATTGTCCGCAGTGTTCATATGAAGGCAAGGAAAATTTTAAATGTACTTCAATCAAGAAATTTGAATTTTGAGATTTTCTTTTCTAGATTTTCTATCCTCACTATTGTTGAATTGCTAATTGCTATGGCATTTAGAGTTTCAAGGCTTGAACAGAAATAGTGGGAGCTTTTTGAAGTTATTTTAACTATCATTGTCTTAACTTAGAGTGAAGCAACTTATATGAAATTTAAATTTCTATTGTTTAATTGGATTGAACTATTCCCATTTCACTTTTAGTAATTTTGGTATGCCATATGAAAGGATAGAATTTATTAAGGTATATTTTTCATGGCTTATCGTATTGCTAGTTTATAGATAGTAACTATGATTTGTTAGAAGTTTCGTTTAAGTCTTATTGTAAGTTTTGTATTATAGTAAACTACATTTGAAAGTTCCAGCTAAGTTAAATTTCTAAATACTAATCTTAATTGAACTAGATTGGCTTTTTCCTTAATGTTGTTTTTGGAATTTGTTTGCATCTTCGAAGGCCTTGATGGTGATCTTACATTGATGCTGTTTACTTCATTAGTACAGCATAGTATATATATGCTTCGACTGAAATATTGACTAGTTGTTCAAGACCAAGCATTTTGCGATTGATCACCGGTATTTATTTTGTTCATTGGATATAGTATAGACTAGTAATCCTGGTCCATATTAGGCATATTATTGATGTCATGGCTTGGTTTGTGTGATTTCACCACTCATGGGTTCCCAGCCTGCCCTCCCTCTACTTCTTCACGATATACGTACACTCAAAAATGTATGTATACAATGATAAGTATTGGGGGGTGGGGGGGTGGTGTAGGAGATTGAGGATCCGAGTTGGTTCTTTAGCCTCCTTCCTTTAGATGAGCAATTGATGATTGGGCTGTGTTGTCATGGCAATGGATTCAATCTCAATCTCTATTGCTAAATATAATATTATCTGTAATTTAAATTTAAATTTATTCTTCTTTTTACGTTGTTATAGAAAAATATTTTTAGTTGTTGCTCACTTTTATTAAATTTTGCTTTAGCACATGATTTGGATGAGAAAAATATTAAGAAGGGATCCTTTTTTCCAATCTAAAATCAATTGGTGATAGTTAAAGGGCTTTAGTAGCGGAGTTCTCACATAGGTAAAGGACTTTTACACAGTAGCAGAGTTTTCACATATTAATGAATGTGGGACAATATTCAATACTCTTCTTCGAGATGATAGTCTCATACAGTATTCAAACTTAATAAGGAGAAATGCATATATATATATATATATCTATCATGCACTTGTGAATTTACATACAGTTACCCCCCTTGCCTTTCTGAATAATTTTTACTATATACTCCATTTATTCATCATATATGCATATTTGTTTATTATTATAAAATATTATTTAAATAGATATCAAGTATATTTTTATAACAACAAATTGAAAAGTTTTTATAAAAAATTCTTTTTTTCCGTTTGTTTTTTAATCTAATTTTTTCAAAATTTATTATTTGTACTTTGTGTTTTTTGAAAAAAATATTTTTTTTATCCGTCTCTAACAATTACATTTATGTATTAATATTAAAATATTCTTATATTTATATAATTATTCTTTCTATTAGACACATAAAAAATAAATAGGACATTTGGTAACATTTCAAAAAATTTGAGCGAAGTAGTATTTTTTTTTTCATACAAAATATTTTATCAAATATTATTTTTATTACTAAACTCAAATCATTATTGCCAAATTCAATTAAGGGTTTGTTTGTTTGGGGGTTTGAATTTTGAGTTGAGATTTAAATAGTAAAAATTTTGAATTTGAATAATTATATGATGTGGTATAAATAGGTGTTAGACGTAATATTTCGAATATAAAATTAATTTTTAATATAATATAAAAAATAAATTTTTGATTTGATATTTTTGACGAAAAAATCCAATTCCAAAAACAAACACACCATAAGGAAACACACCGTAGAGATGTAAAAAGTAAAAAGAAAAAGAAAAAAGCATGACAATAGATGAACCCCAGATATTTTTTGTCACAGAGGAGCAATGCAATGCACATCACTTTCCGTGCAACCACCATTAATGCACGCTTCATGGGTCCCACCCCCACGTGACTCTCTCTCTCTCTCTCCTCAACTATTTCAATAACAAAGACTCATGCATATCGTAACATACCATACGTTGTTATTAATACTATAATTATTATTCTTTTATTTACCATCACATTGGATTGAATTGTATATTTATAATTATTCATCTAATTTAAAAAACATTAAAATTGGCAGTATAAGTACAAAAATAAAATGCAAAATATACTTTTATGGGACACATGTATTTTCACTTTTTATTTTTGCACCGAGACACATGTACACAATATATATATATACACACATATTTGAAAAGACAGCAGACCTGGTGTCTGTAGACTGTAGGGACACCTTTGCCCTAACGGCTACTTTCTCCCTCAATACACTACACTACACTACACTACAATAATATAAAAAGAACACAACAGTAGATACACTCTCCTTTCTTAATTATTCAATTTGCAACCCTTTATTCCTATCAATTATTTAATTTTCAATAATAATAATAATAAAAAAATTACATTAACTTAATTTCTTTATTCAAACATTAACTCAAAAAAATTACCCGAAAACCAGCTGACACCGCTACACTTTCCCACTCCCCTGACCGTACCATCTATAATTCCATTTTGCCACGTCCTCACATTAGTCAACTATAACGGATAGCTTATCCTTAAATGTAATATTTCTAATTTATCCGTTTAGGAGTATTATATAATTAATAAATAATTAAAAAATTTATTAATAAAAATATTGATAATATAATAAATATAATTATAAATTAAAATAATTAAATAAGTTAATTAAAATAAAAAATTATTAATTTTAAAATATAATTAAAATATATATTTTTATTTAAAAATACCATTTATGTGAAACATAAGAACATAAAAATAATAAAAAAAAATTAAGTGGAAAAGTTAAGTGAGTACTAAAATTGATTTTCAAGAACCAAACAAACACAACACAACACAAAAAAAAAAAAAAATAACACCATCCAATTCATCATCACTAATGAAACAAACCACACCCTCCCATAACCACCAACACCACCACCGTCACCCCGGCGACGGCAACGCCGTGGGATCCGCCGACGACGGCATCTCTGGCCCCAGCCGGCACCCTTCCAACATAAAAACCACGTCCGCCATCGCCGGCCGCTCCGCCGGCTCCGGCATTGTGCACAACAGCCCCACCTTCACCCCCAACAAAAACTCCTCCCACTCCGACGACTCCGGGTCCAGCTCCAACAGCCCCGGCTCCAGCAGCTCTGCCACCTCCCCCCGCTGCAGCCGCCCCTTCACCCACCTCACTATATCCTCCTCCGCCCCGAACATCACCGGTTTCTTCCCCGTAAGTATCTCCAGCATCACGATCCCAAAGCTATACACATCCCCCTCCTTACCCCCCCACCCCGCCCCCACCGCCTCCGGCGCCACATACCCCACTGTCCCCGACGTCGACGCCGCCTCTCCCGCCGCCGTCGCCGTCATCCTATCCATCCCGAATTCTGACAAATGGGCTTCGAAATCGGCGTCGAACAATATGTTCCCCGGCTTGACGTCCCCGTGAACGATCGACATCGAATGCAGATACGCTAACCCCCGCGCGACTCCGAGTGCGATCAAATGCCGCATCGGCCAGTTCAAGACGTGCCCGTCCTGATGCGACGCCTCCTGCAGCAACGTCGCGAGGTTGCCGTTCGGCATGTAGTCGTAGACGAGGAGCCGCATGTCGGGAGGGGGGCCTGCGTAGTACCCCCGAAGAACCGTGAGGTTTCGATGCTTGATCTTGCCGAGCGACTCGGCTTCCTTCCGGAAGGTGCTCTCGTCGATCGACACCTCCGGCAGCCGGCGTATCGCCAGCACCATCCCGTCGCCGTACGTCGCCTTGAACAGCAGCCCGTGTTTGCCTCTGCTCAACACGTTCTCCTCGTCGAACTGTCGAGTCGCTTCGACCGTTTCTGCGTAGGTGATCTTGTTGTTGAACATGACGAGCTTTGGCGCGCCGTTGTTGTCGCCACGACTTTGCGGGCTTGGGCTTCGTTTCTTCTCGCCGGCGGCGGCTCTCAGCCTCCGCCGCCACCGGAGAAGGCTGTAAACGTAGCCGCAGCAGCATAAGACGAGCATCAGACTCCCTGCCGCAACGACAGCTACGAAAAGAACCAACCGTCGTTTTCTCCGTCGCCCGTCGCAGCTCTTTCGCAACGGCATCCCGCATAAGTTTTCATTCTTCGAATAGATCGAAGGATCATCGAATCGCGATGCTAATGCGTCCGGGATCTCGCCGGCGAAGTCGTTACCGGAGAAGTTCAAGCGACGCAGGTCGGGGATCAGAGCGAGGCTCGGAGGAATAACGCCGGTGAAGTTGTTCGACGACACGTCAAAATCCGTCAATCTCGACAGCTTCGACAACGTCTCCGGAATGCTGCCCGACATTAAGTTCGAATCGAGCAAAAGAACCTCCAACGACGAACAATTCGCGAGACTCTCTGGGATTTCGCCCGATAACTCGTTTCTTCCCAAATCAAGCCTCCGTAGACGCGACAAACTCGAAAGATCATTGGGGATTCGACCTGTTAATCCGTTTCCTTGGAGTTCTATGGCTTCAAGATTCGAGCAGTTCCCCAACTCTCCCGGAATCGAACCGCTTATCCGATTTCCGGACAGCGAAAGAATCTTCAGCGACACAAGGAATCCGTAAGTCGCCGGAACTCGGCCGGCGAAAGCATTCGCCGAAAGATTCAGATACTGCAAATCAGAGAGGCTGCTAAAGCCTTCAGGCACATTCCCGGACAGCAAATTATCCTCCAAAGCGATGGCCTGCAGATTCGGCAAACCAAAGAGCTCGACGGGAAGCTCTCCCGACAAGTTCTGCCGGCTCAAATCGAGCGACGTCAGCCTCAACAGATTCCCAATCCCTCTCGGAATCGTCCCGGAAAAGCCGCAGTCGCTCATGTTCAGAACCTCCAGAGCCTTCAATGAGCCGACATTTACCAAAACCTCGCCGGAAAACCGGTTGTTGCTCAAATTCAGAGTGCTCAAATTGCTGAGCCTCATCAAATCTTGAGGAACAGAACCAATCAATCTGTTGGAACTCAAATCCAACACCTGCAGAGAATGAAGATTGCCTAAGCTCTGAGGAACAGAACCTGTGAAGGAATTTTCGCCGAGAATCAGAGATGTTAGGCTCTTCATTTCGCCTAAAAACTCCGGTACCGGACCGGAGAACTCATTTTCACCAAGATCAAGCACTGTTATGGAGGTACATTTTGTTATGTTTTGGGGGATTTCACCTCTCAATGAGTTGTTAGCAACTCTGAGTTCCTCCAAAACCAACAGATTCCCAACGGTATCAGGCAAGTTTCCAGATATGGAGTTTCCAGAAAGATCGAGGACCTTTAGAGTGGAAAAATTGGTTAGGAAATTGGGGAAAACGCCATTGATGTGGTTACTGTTAAGGTCTATGATTTGCAATGCACTCGCGCAGATTTCGCCATTGTTATTCTCTATTCCCGTGAGTGCATTGAAGCTCAAGTTAAGGATCCTAATCGTAGCATTTAATTCTGAGAAATTACAGAGGAAGGATGAAGGAAGGACGCCGGTGAGATGGTTGTGCGGCAGCGACATTACCTGGAGGTTTTTGAGGGAGCCTAGAGTCGCCGGTACCACGCCGGAGAGGTTGTTCTCGCCGGCGCTGATGTGGATTAGCGACGAGCAATTTGAAATCGCCGAGGGAATCGTGCCATAGAGGCTGTTTCCGTCGAGCCAGAGGTACTGTAACTGCTGCAGCGCTCCGATCGTCGGGGGAATCTCGCTGGAGAAACGGTTGAATGAGAGATTGATAAGGTGGAGCTGGTGAGCGGCGGAGAAGTTCGCCGGGATCCGTCCGGAGAAGGCGTTGGAGGAGAGGTCCAACACTCGCAAACTCTCGGGAATGCCGCCGGAGATCTCGCCGGAGATAAAATTGTGCGCGAGGTTCAGGACCTGGAGATTCGTGAGGTTCGTGAAGAACGCCGGCGACAACTCGCCGGCGAGCGCGTTGTCCTGCAAGTAGACGGCGCGTAGAAGCACGCACTCCGCCAGCGCGCGTGGTACGGATCCATTCAAATTGTTCGAATGCAGGCTTAACCTCCGCAGCTGCCGGAGCTCCCCCAGCCGCTCACTAATCCGGCCTGTCAGCTGAAGTCGCGGCAGGCGGAGCTCCCTCACCCTCCCGCCGTCGCACATAATGCCGCGCCAGTCGCACGGCGCCGCGGGCGTCGACGCATCCCATTCGTTCATGGCGCCGCGAGGATCCTCGACTCCTCCTCTAAACGATAGCAGCGCTTGTATCTCCACTCCAACCTCCGCCTTCGTCGCCGTCGCCGTCGCCGCCGCCAAGAGCGGCAGCAGCAAGAGAACGCCGGCCATTGCCATGTAGACGAAGAAAAAACCGAGGGGAGGGTGAAGGATTACAAATGCGCAGGGGAAGCGCACGTTAGTAGAAGGAGTACAAACGCCATAAAATGCGCATTCCGATGTCCAAGTGTACTACTATTTCTGCCTTCAGTCTTCTCTCTTTTGAAAAAAAAAGCCTTAAAATGGGAAGTAAAGAAGTCGCGTTTTCAAAAAAAAAAAAAAAAGAATTAAAAACGCCTTTATCTGAAATCACGCTTTTTCTATCCAATCAAGGAGGTTTGCATCATTACTCCGACACCACGCAGCATTCCTTTATTAAAATTTTGTTTTCACTCACCAAATTAAATGCAATATTATTTATATTTAATATAATGACATTTGAATGGAAAATTAAATAATAAATTAAATTTGAAACAAAATTAAGAAAAACCAAAAAAATAAAATTAATGTCACATGTATTTAATTTGATAATTTAGTCAAATAGGGTGGTGGTGCTTTATTGGGTGTGATTGGGACAATTTATGATGAACTTTATTTACCATTATTATTTCAAAGTGTCATTTAGCGATTATTATTTTCATATTTATTTATTTAAATTTGTATTTTGGTGTTGTAAGATGTTGACTTGTCAAAATTAGCATTTGCTCTCAAGGATCTTATTTTATGGATTCGGTGTTTGAGTTTTTCTTTTTTTTTTTAATGTAATTTTAATATATATATATTTATTTATTTTGGATTAAAAAAATAAATAAATTCAAAACATTCTAATGTACATTACATCAATCAATCAATCAAGTGTCGGCTAAATTACTCATTTCTTCCTATATCAAGTCAGGCGCCATATACAAACATATTCTTATGTTATGGAGTATTTAAATTAGCTTTAAGCTTCGCAAGAATATAATTGAAAATTTCATGTGTCTTCAAATTTGTTCTGGTATTATTTATCAAAATTTATTCTCTAAAATATTACATAAAAGGGTTTTTTTTTTTTTTTTTTTTTTTTCTTTTTCTTTTTAGTAGTATAAAATCTTACATTTCTTATTTACTAATATACCATTAAATACCCTTTTTTATTCAATTTTTCAAAATCTACACAGGTAACTGAAGGAGTATGTCTTTTTTAATCTGGTTTTAATTTACTAATTATGCAATTATTACAATTTTTTTATAAAGATATACTCCCGGCATAGGCACCGTTTGCTTTTTGCAATGTACATTTTTATTATATTTCTTTTTTTTTTTTCATAATCATATATAACTTGAAGTTTTAGAAATATTAGTATTACAGATATTGTGTTATATAAAGGTAATGAAATTTATAATATATTGTAAATTGTAAAAGTATTTATAATATTAGACAGACAGTATAATTATTAAAAAAATAAAATAAATACGAAACTGACTAAAATGAAAAAAATAGATAAGAGAGAGTATTCATTCATAATAAAAAAAACAAAAATATCCTTATTAGTAATAGTAAGGTATAGTACACTTATTATTCATCATAAAATATTATATTCAAACAAAAAATCAAAATTCCAAAACAACACATCCTTAAAATGGGAGCAGTGAATGCCCACAATTTGTAGCCAAGAAAACCATGAGCACACACAGAAATACATACAAACATAATTATATATATTCCCTCCCTCCGTCCTCTCAGGAGGGAGCCGCTTTTTGCAAGTAGATTTTTGAATATTAGTTTTATATTGGATTGTAATAAAAAAAAGATAAAAATACCCCTAATACAGTGTAATATAAAAATAATAGCATTTGTGTAATATATTGTAACTTGAAAGACTATTTATTATGTGAAGTACGTAGTAAAATTACTAAATTAGGAAATAATAATCATGTTTTGGGACGAATGAAAATAAAAAATAGTAACTTTTTGGACGAAGAGAATAATATGATATATGTGAAATAATGATATGGTCATCTTCTCCTCCAGTTGTGCTGAGTTGAAGTTAGCAGCTTCTTTAATGGCTCGTGGTCACTCACTCACTCTTCTCAACAACATTGCCCATCTTCTCTCTCTATCTCTCTTTATAAAAGTGGCTCCCCATCTTTATAAATCCTCACTCACTTGTCATTTCAACAAATAATAAATATTCACTTCAACACAACATTGCATTACACAACACGGGCGTGTCACAAACAAATGACAAAACCTAATAAATAAATAACGCATATTGATTGTGTTGTGTAGGGCGCAAGGTGTTGGCAGTTGCCGCCACTAAATGGCCAATCAAACCAAACATCCCTCTTCACTCATTTTTCTCAAATCAAATCAAAACATATATTATATGAATTTGTTGCTGGTATGGTAATTAAAATTAAATGACTCAAAAGGGAAAAGAGACAAAGACAAACAGACAGGGTTGGCCAGTCTTGGCTATTTAATGACAATCTGGAGTGGGGTTGCTCTTGACACACTATATCTATATTACAACTTCCACTGGACTTATTTGGGACAAAAACACATTACTCAATCATCTTTCTTTCTTTCTTTCTTTGTTTTTCTTTATCTTTCTTTGTCCAAACATGGACATCATCAAATTCATCATCCATCATATCCTTATCCTTATAATAGAGGACCTACATTATATACACAAACACACACATATGCCTATTGCCATCCCATTTCTAGGTCTCCCCAATGCATAACAACAACAACAAAACACAAGAATTGTAATAACTATCTTTCTTTTCCTCTAAAACTGATTTCTCAAATTCAAGATTTTTTTGGTAGATCAAACCCTCTAAGGAATTCTTGGTTTCTTCCTAGTGTAGTTAAAGTGAACTAAGGGCTAAGCTCACAAACTCCTCATTAGGAATTCCCTCACCGGCACTTCTATAATGTCCGGTGGCCAGCTTCACCTTCCCCGTTAGACAGGGCTAAGTCCGGCGTCATCAAGATCACAATCACGTGCTATAACTATATATATATATGTATATATACATCTTAACGGCATCTTATATATTATGTAAACACACAAGGGTGGGATTCATGGTTTTCCACGATGAACTAACCGAATCCTAAGCCAATTTTGAGCCCACAAGTGAATGAAACAGTAAAGAGGTTTCTTACTCATATCATCGAAGGAAGGCTGTGTGTCCAGCTGAAGGGCCTCATATGTGCTGGCTTCGGGGAGAAGCTTAGGCCGAACATTTCTTTTGGGGCCTGCCCTGGCCCCTTGAATCCCACCAGCTTCGCCACGACAGTAGCACTCTCGTTAATGTGTTCCATGTCTGCAGTGTCTGTCCATAGCTTCCGGCATAGCTGCAGCCTCCTCTGCTTTGACTTTATGTCAATGCCCCACTTTATGTATAGAGCCTCTCTTTCTTTAGATGACAACTTTCTTAGCATCTTTCTGCTCAGCATTTCTCTCTCCCGGTTCAGCGCTTTTGCCCTGTACGCCAAGAACACAGCAAAATTACATTAGAAACATCACATTTCCTATTAAAACTCACAATGGATCGATGAATGTGTTATTCTAGAAATGAATGAGAATAGGGTACCTTGAGGCCTGTGATAAAGATGGATCGTCTTTTGTGACTCCGGCTCCATTTATCGGATTTTTGAGAAATGAGAGCCGTCTAAGCTCCACCTCCAAGTAGACAGCATCCGAAGGATCTCCCTTAAATAGAAGGAAAAAGTAGGTTCTGTGTGCCAATGGAGTGTGGCAAGCATCCCAAAGTTGGATTATTTCCTTCATCTGCCTTTCGAACTCTATGCGCCAATCTGGAACAGATTCCTTCTTGTCGTGAGTTTCATTAGAGCCGTCATCTGCAGTTTCTTGTAGGTTATCTGTAGCTTTTTCAGCTATTTCCTGCAGCAGAAGCACTGATCAATATATACACAAAAGAGCATGTCGATGATTGTGTAGTGTCAGCTGAAAAAAGAACTCAAATGCATCAGTTAGGAGATTGTTCGTTCTCTTACCATATTGTCCTCAAGCTTTCCTACTGGGGTAGGATCGATCACTTCACTGACATCTTTTACACATGTTTCTTGTTGCTTTTCCGGATATTCTTCGCTCAACACGACTGCTTTTTGCTCTTCTTCATTCGTGGTTGCATTCTCAGAGTCTTCTGTGCATGCATTATCCGAATTGGCCAACACCTCGACATTAATTGATTCTGCTTCGCCTTCTGTATTGTCTACTTTGCTTTCGATTTCCTCAGGTATCTCAGAATTCAGAGAGTCTGTGGTTGTACTGATGATTGCTGCACAGCTAGTGCTTCTAGTCATGCTTGTGCGTGGATCAGATGCATCATTCTCCAATACTACACAAGGGGATGATCCTGCACAATAAATCAACATAAAAATCGGTTAGAAGTACAGAAGGCCGAAAACTTCATTATCAGAAAATAAAATGAGCCACAGACCTGAGCTGTGATGTCTTGTTTCCAGGGAAGGTGAACTTGAACCCTTATCGATCTTCAGTAAATCAATTTCTACACATCGAACCTCCTTGCAGCTATCTTCAGTGTTGTCACTTGCTTGAGCAATCTTCTCCCATCCCTTAAGTGGATCAGGGCCGAAGTACTTATCAATGAATTGTGTTGGTGATGTCTCGCTAGACAAAAGTTGTTCTTCAACACACTCGGGGAACTGATCTTCAATCTTGCTGGTTATGGGATCCTCAGATTTGTTGCGAGTGTGACACGTTTCAAGTCCGAAATTATGCCTATTGGGACCGACAGTCTCAGATGCTTCTGATGCTGAATATTCATCTGCCGAAGAACCTTTCTCATGGCTGCTAGTGTAGCCCTGAGAAGGAAAAGCTCAAGTTTAGCTCTATGATGCATTTTAAGGATATTCTGGTCCTATGATCGATTTTGGTGAGAAACAATTGCACAAACCGAAGATTGTGATGCTTGAGATGTTGTCCCTGAGCGTAACAAGCTCTCAAGACGAGAGTGAGCCATGTCACGTTGAAGGGTTAATTCTTTGATTTCTTTATCCATCTGCATTATAAAAGGGAGTCAAACAATACATACTGCAATTTTAATATATGATTGATGCACTGATTTCTTAGTTATATAAATGGATCTTTGCAAAACCACCTTTTCAATCAGTTCTTCTTTTTCCTTGAGTGCCGAAGCAGGCCCGCAAGAGGCAGAACGTGAAGTCAAGCCCCTCAGCTCATTCTCCAATCTGGCTAGTTCTTTTTGCAGTTGCTTCACCAATGCTTTCTCAGACACCACCACATTGACCTGTGCATTCGTACTGACCTGCTTAGCACAGCTTGCAAAATGTAGTGTGTTTCTTGATTGCTCGACAAGACTTTGAGCAGGGCTCATTGTGCAAATAATGCCTGTCCGGGCGTTGCCACCTAGGGAGTTCTGTAGGATTCGTGTCAGCTTGGAGTCCCTATACGGTACATGCCCATTTCTTCCCTTGCTGCAATAGAAAACACCGGTGATATGTTGATCACTCAACACAGTGGGATAGCCATAGTGGTGTTATTAACAGCAAGGCATACCTTAATTTGCGAATGACTGTCCCAAGTGTAAGTAAACTGCGATTTATGTGGCAACCTTCTTTCAACCTTGTGCCTGCTGCTGATGTCTGAGATGCACGTTCACTACCCGCCAGATCAACAAAATTCTGCATTCAAAAAACAGAACAGGATATTATGCATATGATCGAATTCTCTGTGTAAAATAGTTCACATTGAATGCAATTCCTTGTGAGAATATTTTGTACCACTGTAGCTGTTAGAGTGCTCATATTTTCAGCACCAACAAACTCACGAGCTTCACTTTCAACAGTCTGCAGGAATATCCATTTCAGTATATAACAAACTCCACACCTTAAAATAGCAATAATTTATAATTATAAGAAGCTCACCAAGCGCAGTATTTGATGAGATCTAGAGCTCACTTCATTGAGGGCAGTCTCACCAGTTTGTCTTTGAGCTGCAGGAATGCATTGTAACAAGAGTAAACATGTTGTGAACAGAAAGTATAATGCTGAAGATTGGTTCATGATTGCTCTTACCTTCACAAATTGATAAGAGTTCGTTTAAATGGTCGGAATCCCTTAAGATCACCTCTGTAAGTTTGTCAACTACGGTTCCTTTCTATAGCATAAGAATCAGTAAACAGTAAGTGGTTCCAGTATCTTAAAATTTGAAAAATTACTCTCACACCTCTGGATCGTCTAGAAGTCTTAGAGGTCCGCTATCTAGGCAGAGGAGGTCTTTTACTGATTCATTATAGATCTCCATGGCAGAAAATTTCAAGACAAAGAATCTTTCAGGATGCTGTAGTTTTCGAAATGATGAATCTGATATCAACTATTTCGAAAAATCATGAACAAAGTCAAGAAACAAATTATCCTGACTAGAATTACCTTGTCTATGTAATCATATATATCGGCCATTGTGTATTCTGTGATTCCTGACATAGTGTATGTTTTCCCACTACTCGTCTGCCCATATGCAAAGATCGTTGCTGGAGAGGAAAAATAACCATGGTTAATGATATTATTATCATGACTGGATACATATTTCAAAGGAAAGAGTACTCACAATTCATTCCATTTAAAACAGAAAGGGCGATCTTCTTTGCAGCTTCATCATAAACTTGCCTTGTGGGGCAGTTGGTATTGAATACTCTATCTGTTCTCGACACAATGGACACATAGAACCAACAGAAGACACACATAAGAAAACCAACAAAAGATAAAAATCAGTGGTGCCAACATTATCTGTCCAATGGGTGGCTTACCAAATGTATAGGCTATTGGAAGCAACGATCGCTCATTCTGAGCATTTTTGTATAAGATGGTCGAGTTGTTGATGCATTCCCAAGCCGGGAAATCATTCCTTGTCAACTCTCTTTCATTCAGAGGCCTCAACCTTACGGAAACAATGATTTTCTCCTCTCGTGCACTTGAATCTTGAGCATCCCATTCAATCATATCATCCCCAATAAAGGTCCCCATTTCCAATCCTATATCAGATCTATTATCCAACCCAAATGCACTCGAAGAGAATCAACTAGCTAGCAAATCCACAAATAGAGGCCTTGTCATAATCCCTCTCTTTTTTCACAAAGAGAGGGACTTCAGACACAAGATGTTTACGTTCTGTTCAAGCCCCACAATCCTTTTCTATGCTGCAAAATACAATCCTAACATATATGAATCCTACAAGCTTGAAAAAAGCAAACAGCATTAACTAGATCTTTGAAGTCTCAGCTTTATATAAACTATAATAATGAAATCATCTACTTTCACAGTTTTCTTTTTCACGAGAACTTTCCCCTTTTTTCTCTCAATCAAACTGCACACCTAACAATCACTATGTAACATTTAGAACCGAAATATGTTGACAGATAAGATCCATAATTCTACTTTTCATATATATATATGTATATATATATATATATCCAATTCTAACTTAAACAAGCAGCAAGGAATTGCAAATAAATCAAATCTAATCCAGGAATATCAACAAAATAAATCAATGCACATTGCCTCCAGAAAATGAAAACAAAAGGCGCAATTTTATAACCATAACTCCACACAGCTAGCTCGTTCGATTACACGCAGAGGAAACCAACTATAGAGAAATTTATTACTCACCGAATATATATCAAAGTGATCCAAACCCAGAGGAAACAAACATTTCCGTAAATATAATACAACCAAATTGAAAGGAATGAATGCAAGGTGAGTTAACCCATTGATGGGGACAGAAATGGAAAATTGGGGCAAGGAGAGGTTCATTGTTGTGGAAGTGAGACAGATGACGCCGTAAAACCGCAAATCAAGGGGAGCTGGTGAGCAGGCGAGGAAGACGGTGTCACGGTGGCTGGGCCATTATATAGTATATGGATCCGAACCCGCCCGCTTCGAATATGGATATGACCCGACCCGAATAAAATTCTCTTTTGAATGATTTTCTTTTTCCTTACAAGCCCAGGCCCAAAATTACCATAAACCCTAATCCCTAATTCAATTTCGACTCTCTCTATTTCCATTCGGTTCTTCGTAATTTCTTGGCGTCGTCTCCTACAGTTGCTCAAAATCGTAAGTTCAGTCCCTCTTTCTAGCAGCAAAGCGAGACTCTTTCGAGGTTTGGAGCCAACGAAGTGAAGTTTCTATTTTCTGTCTATCGATTGAAGTTCCAGCTTTACATGAATTGTTGCTCTCTTGTTGTTTTTTAGGAAAAACCAGGGAGGAGCAAACGCTAGCAACCTAAAAGAGATGGGGAAGAAGAAATTCATTGATAAGAAGAAAGCCGCCACGTTCCAGCTCATGGCTAGGGACACATCCGATCCGCTTTACTCATCCGGGCCTGACGGGGATCGAGTTTTTGTGCGGGTCGATAACAATCGGAACGCACCTGATTACTTTAATGATGGCGAGCCGAATGATGCTGCGGACGTTGATTCCATCTTCGCCGACGCTCCTGAAGATTGTACCGGTGACGATTTGTACGGCGCTCATGAAGCTCGAACAGCGGGGTTGCCAGATCACGTGAGGAAGGAAATTCTGGAGCTAGGGTTTCCAGACGATGGGTATAATTATTTGCTCCATTTGCGTGAGATTAAGAACACAGGCGGGGGTTCGGTGTATTACGATAATCCCAAGGCCAGTTTTGATCATCTTCCACAGGATGTTAAGGTTTGGTTGATCATGGATTCTGTGTTTTCAAATCAATTTTCGGATGCAGTCTCATAACTTTTACAATTCTAATGATAAATGAATTCTTGAATTTTATCTCATGGCAGGCTTACGACGCTTCGAGGGTTGCAGTGTCTAAGATAAATGATGCTTCTGAGGAGGAAAAATTAATCTATAATTCGGCATCGAAAATGGTTGGCATAAAACTGCAGAAAGTAGTGGATCCTGAAGTAGCTGCGATGCTGGAGGATGACAATGATTCGGCTAAGTTTGGGTCTGATGTTGAGGAGTTGGAAGAGGATTTCGTTGTCAGAGCAAATATCTTCGAAGGCCCCATCCATGAAGACGCTAATGAGAAGACAAGTTTTGCTGCTGCATCAAGTCCTTACCTATTACAACAACCGGAACCTGGTGTTTCTACTGTTCCGAAGATTGGAGCGACCTGCAGAAGCTCAGAAAATGAGAAACCAAGAGAGCGGCGCCCTTTGGATGAGCAGTTTGACATGGTAAAATTTTTTTGAGCTTCTTTTATTTGCGCGAGCATAGTAAATATTGTTAAATGGTGTTTCATTTGTGAAGTATTTACCTGTCATTGACCTAAAGGATTAAACATCAGTCTCTAATAAGTTTTCGATGTGCAGTTAATGCTTAATGAATATGGTGATGAGAGTGAAGATGAATACAATGGATATGATTATGATGATGATGATGATGACTGTCAAGAATCCCTAACTGAAAAGCTCAACAGTGCTTTCAAGAATCATCCTTCCGATCATCTGCTGCATAAACCAGAAGCCGATGATGTGGAATCACCGGAGGTAACTGTAGAAGTGCTTCGCCGCTGCAAGGAATATGCAGAAAAATATGAAGATGAGGATGATAATGTAGAGGAAGTGTTGGATGAAGAAAGTAGCAGTGATGAGTCGGAAAAGTGGGATTGTGAAACTATCGTTACTACTTACTCAACACTGGACAACCATCCTGGAAAAATTTCTGCGCCTGAACCTAGAAGGAAAAAGAAGCTTTCCGAAGCATTATCTGGAGCTTCTTCCGGAGCCAATCCAGTGATAACCCTGAAAGGAAAAGAGAGGCTTCCCGTAGATTTTTTGCCTCGTAACCGAAAACTTGGTGAAGAAAAGATGAAAGAAAAAGATTCTAGTGATAGGGTAACTGATATGCAGAAAAAGAAGCCAAGGGCGCAAGAATCGAAGGAGGAGAAAAAAGCTAGGAAGGTAGACGATTTTTTGGCAACTGGTTTATTTTTGTTATAAGCTGTTTTAATTTCCTACACCTTTTTGGGACTTTTTGTTACTCTTTATAAGTTATTGTGCTCTTTGTTCAGTGCCATTTCATGTTTAAGTTGCTGTTATGATTTGGAACTGTCCCTCTTTTGCAGTCTGCTGTGAAATCTGAACGACGAGAAGCGCGACAAGTTAAAAAGGAAATGAAAGGGCTTTACAAGTCAGAAGCTCACCGGGCTCAGAAAGTTGCAGCTTTTACCGGTCCATCATCTATCCATCTGATGTGAGTTTTTAGCCATAAGTCTCTCCTATATTTTCTCGATGCCTTAATATGTTAGTGGTGTATCCTTGTTATATAATAGTGAAAATCTTGAAGCTTATCTTGAAATTTTGTTGTAGGGAGATGGCTTAAGAGATTATCAATGCAATTATATAAATCTTAGGCTCTAAATAAATGATGAAATCATGAATTTGTTACACGTTTAAAATTTTCTATACGATTGGCTTTCAATTTGTGCCTCCATACACCAAGATTTACATCTAACCATATAATCTTATGTATCGTACACAATGCAGGTAATAAATGCTCCTACGATCGTTCTTGCTGCACACCCAATTTTGCGTTTCATTTACCATCATAAGTTGCTTTGTACGGCACGGCATATTTATATCGAGCCTGAAAATATACGTTATAGCTTAGCCCTGTTCGTTGAATTCAGCATTTGTCAATGGACTGCATTGTTACTGCCAGTTTTGATTCGAGTAAAATTTCATTTCGTATTCATATTTCGCAAAAAAACAATTAGTTGTTGAAGTAGCCATTCGACAGAAACCAAAGCAAGATCAAAGTCTGCTGAATATACGTCTATTATATAACGGCATCTGAAGAACCTAGTACACATTCACTAGGCATGCTCTATTTATTACAAGAACCGAACTAGGAAAAGTTAGTTCGATTAAGGCAGTCGCTTTCTCCCCTTGAAAATGTTGTGACAGCAGGAATCAACGGCATGTGCATGAGGAATCGGTGCAGCAACCACCCCACCATCAGAATACGGCGCAGGATCCCAAATCGGGTAGTCCTCCTCTACCGGCCACGGGAACCCTGTTATAACAGTAGCTGCTGCTGCTGCTAACATCACCACAACGAAGACCATTCTCGCCATTGGAGGTATGCAACTCACTGTGATGTCATTACAGCACGTTTTGGGTGAATTTGTTTGTTTATATGTATGGAATGGATGATGTTAGAAGAATCGAGCTTTAGGGTTTCATACTTTTTGTGTGATGGGATCATCACTCCAGCATGTCTCAAGAAACAGCTATTGTCGCGACGGGACAGCCTTTTGTTTAGATTAAGGAACATTTTCGTGTTTCTTTTGGAAAGTATTCGGATTCGTCGTTGAAGATTCTTGAATAATCCAAATATGCTTTAATTTCGAAAAATTTGTTAGGTCCCGTCTGCTGGATTCGGCCTGTTTGAGCTCGTCTAGGTACGTTGTGGCTTTTGCTCTATCCTCAGAAGTTTCTCAATTTTTTCTTATCGATAATCTTGCACATTTTGATGATAATAATACATAGGCTATATATGGTTTTTGCAATTTTTCTAAGATGAATGAATGATTTAGATGGGAGGAAATAAATTTAAATGAAAAGTGATTGTGAAAAAATATATTAAATGTATTTTTATTAAAAAAAAAAAAGAATAAAAGTGATTATTATTAGCCCCAATTAATGCATAAATAATGGAGTAAAAGATAAAATAAAATTTTGGTTTTATTCACACAATGTGCAGTAACAGCACAATGGCTACTCTTATCAACAAAATTTGGGTAAACAAATGTCAAAGTTCAATTACATATAAATAATAGAGAATGCTCAAAAAAAAAAAAAAAAAAAAAAAAAAAAAAAAATAAATATATAAATATGTAATATTTAAAAAAAAAAAACAAAATTCCGTTGCCGGGACTCGAACCCGGGTCTTTCGGGTGAGAGCCGAATATCCTAACCATCTAGACTACAACGGATTTGTTGTGTATAGGTTAGTTCTATATTTATTTATATTAATTTACTTAAACCTCAATTTTATTTATATCATTTAAAACATGTAACTAGGGGTTGGTTGTTAAGGTCTTTTATCTCAATTTTTTGTTACATATTTTATATGTTAATATAAATTGTAAGTAATGGGTTTTGTAAATTCAAAGAAAATATTTGTTTATTTATTTTAGTTTTATTGTTTGGGTTGTGTTTGGCATGATTGATATTATATTGGTAGTGGGTAAAAAGTACTTATAAAAAACTTTTTTTGTCTTTGCGAGTGTATTAGTGTAAAATGTAGTGACAATTGTTTAATAATAATAAAAAAAAAAGTATAGTTTTATAGTGATATGATTATTAATGAAAACGATACTATTGTTTTAGAACGGATAAAAATGATAAATAAAACTATTATATGATTTGTTTACCCAAGTTTTGTTGATAGAGTTGGCATTTTGCTGTTACTGCATATTGTGTGAATCAAACCAAAATTTTATTTTATTTTATTATTATTTATGCATTTATTTGGGGCACATTTCATTTTTTTTTAATAAAGATGTTGTTTTGAAAAATTATTTCTTATTTCAAATAATAATATAAGCTTTATTTATTTTGATTTTTCCTTCCAATTTTCTCTACAACATATCACATCTTACTTGTTTAAATAGAAAAATCAAATACAAAATAAAAATAAAAATAAAAATATAAAATAAAAGAAAGCCGTATTTATTATTTTTTATAAGATGCAACATGCATGCATAATATTGATAAAATAATCATAAAGTGATGAATGGATGTTGGCAAGACTTGTGCAACTATATACATATATCCATTAAAACACCAAAAATAAAAATAAAAATAAAAATAAATTGATGAGAAAAAGGGTGTATAAAGATGCAACTTGGTGCTCTACATGCAATGGTCCCTCTTTCATTTATATATATATATATATATAATATATAATAATTGTTCAAAAATATAATTTATTAGAAATTAAAAATAAATAAATAAATACACACCCACATAGATTTTGAATGTGTTTATTTAGTATTTTCTCCGTCCACACCTAAAGTAAACATTTATTTTTGGCGCGGTGTTTAAAAAATAATAGTATTTTAATTATAATGAATAGTTAAAAGTAGTGTAATGATATTTTTGTCTTTATTTTTTGGTGTAAAAGTAACGATGTGAGGTAAAATAAGGGGCTATTTGGTTCAAAGATTTTATGGGATTCCATGGGATTTAAATTTTAAAATCCTATGAAATTCATGTTTGGTTAAGAAAAAGAAGGTGGAATATAAAATGATAGGATTTGAAAAAGAGGTCTAAAATCCTAATTTTTTTGTAATGGATACCTATTACTTTTAAATCCCATTCTTAAAATTTTAATTTTTACATTTATATCCTCTAATAAAAAAACTAATAGTATTATATTTATATAAATAATTAAATAATTTTAACATTAATTATTATTTGAATTATATACTTAATTAAATTTATATTATTTTTTATTGTACAATATTTTTTAAATAAATTAATAAATTCATTGTTTAAATTATTATTTATTATAAATTTTATTTGAATTATAAAATTATAGGGATGGTCATAAATCGGGTTCAGTGGGAACTGATATCCATCCCAAATATATATTGTTAAATCCGAGATTTAAATTGTATCCGATTATACTAGATCCGACCGAGACTATACCCGGTAAGACTTGATGGATCCGATAAATCCATTTTTTTTACAATTTTTAAATTTTAATTTAAAATTACACATGTACCGGATCCAATGTATATTAAAATTTATGTATTTTATTAGAAAAATATTATAATAAAAATAATGAATACGTTGAACTCAAAAAATATTTTTAATATAATTATATTATTCGAAATTATTTTTTGATATGTATGGTTGATATATTATTATATTATCCTGATTATGATCCGGATCCAGACCTAATACTCAAATAATTGGACTCAACTTCAAATAAATAGGTCGGGCTCGGTCGGGTCTCGAGTTTACGCGAATCTATTGTCATCTTATAAAATTATTGATATCTTTTTAATTTATATTAATAATGAATTAGAGGTTTAATTTGTCAAAATAAATAAAATTCATAAGAGGACAATTATGTCATTTAGAATATAAAAAATCCAAATCCACGAAATATAAATCCCACCACATTTTACCAACCAAACACAATATGAGATTTCAAATCCTAAATATAATAAATCACATCACATATAAATCCTACTGTGTGAAATCCCAATCCCACAAAAAAAAAAGTTCATGAACCAAACAGCCCTTAAGGGTATTTGTGAAAAAAAAAAAATAAAATTGAGGTATTTAATGAAATGTTTACTTTGTAATTAGACATCCAAAATATAAATATGTATACTTTCTAGCTGAAAGAATGAAGTATATATTTATAATTTTAGGTGATTTTGTGGTGAGGTACGGAAAATTGTAGAAATATTACAAACAATGTTCTGTGTGTTTCTATTAATTTTTATCATTATGTATATATTGTACATTAGTATATTATATGTTTTTTGGATAATATTTTTAAAAATTATGTAAAAATAAAATTACTGTACATTAGATTTTAATTTTTTTTTAGCTGAACAAAGGAAATATATATTTATTATGCACAATTGTTAATAAAAATACACTATTTTTTTAATAAATAATCATATTAAAATACTATTTAAATATAAATTAAAATTTCGTGTCAAACTAATTTTAAATTACAACTAAGTAAATTATATGTCCTATCTGTTACCATATTTAGATTGTGTCATCTTATTTTGGTCAGGATGATATCAAAATCAGTCACTATCATATATGTGTATGCCAGCAATTTTGTCATGTATAAATATATATATATATATATGTTTATGTGTGTCAATATTTTGTAATTTTTGTTATTTATAACATAAACAACTATAATAAAAAATGTTATTTTTTTTTATTTTTTTTTTCTAATTCACCTTAATAAATGTAAATCTTTTATGACAAAAAAATAATAATAATAATACATTTTTTGCGTCCACGTCATTTTGCTTAGATACTGAAATTATGAAATAACATTACTTCAATATAAAAATAGAATGGGTAAAAAGTTAAATGAGAATATTAGTGAAAATTTAATAAAAATTGGTAAAATATAGTGAAAAAAAAGGTGATAAATTAATTATTATTTATTTTATAGTTTTGTTTAATTTACTTGTATCTATGTTTATATATTTAGTATAATTTATGTAAAAAATATATTACTAGATACTTACTTTTTATTATCTTCTAAATAATTTATTATCATTTTTTTTTTATCTTGTAATTTGTTATATTCATATTCATATTTATATATTTTTTTGGATGCTAATGTTGGTTGACAACTTCAATTCAATTCCCTTTGTCTCTTTTGTTATTATTATTATCATTATTATTATTATTATTATTATTATTATTATTATTATTATTTCCAATTTTGTTATAAAAATAATTTAATTTTTCATAAAATGTTATATCTGAAATACTTAAATGTAAAAAAATATGAAGATGGAGAAGAATAGAAAACAAAAAAAACAAGCAAAGAAAAATAAAATGAATAAATGATGGATACAAATAACAAAAGAGTATTTGTATTAATAAATTTGATTTTTTTTTAATAAAAAAAGAAAAACAATAGTATATTTTTATGGAAAACGGTAAGTATTACATAATAAATAAACCGGAGAGAATCTAAAAAAGAAATAACCAATAACTTTTAACAATACCAAATCTACTCTAAACACATATAAATTTAAAATCAAACAATTTGAAGAACGTACTTATGGTTTGTGTAGTGTCATTTAGCTTATCAGACTTAGTTCGACAACTATAATTATTCATAATAATTTTTTAGGTAATTAAGAAGTGTATTAGTAAAAATAATTATTATTTAGTAAAAATAATTATAGATTAAGATTAAGATAACTAAATAGTTTAATTAAAATTTAAAAAATTATAAAATTTAAAATTTAAAATGTGATTAAAATGACTAATTATATTTCCAAAAATAGAAAGGACAAGTTATGTGGGACGGACGAAAATAGAAAATAGGAACATATTATGTGCGACGAAGGGAGTAAATCAATGATGGACTACATTGATTTATAATAGCCTTAAAATTTAACCCATTTATCCAATTATTTACCGACCGTTCGGAAGCTGTTTCCGTCACTGTCTATATCTATATATAAGTATATATATATATATATATATATATAGACACACATGGAGATCCAGTTGGGGGTGATATGATGATGGATGGCAATAAATTTTTGGCCCCATATTTATATATAAATTCCTTTTGCAGCTCGACAAGGGCTGTCTGTATCCACCCTCCAATTTTGATTAATTATTCTTTGTCTTTGCTTCTGTACCTATCTATCTATATATTTTTTATTTTTTATTTTTGTTGCAATAATAACAATTTTTAATATTAGAGGGTTGGGCGCAATTAAATTTATGTTCTTAAGGCTCTAAATCGACTCTTTTCCAAGTGTTATGCATCTTAGAATCAAGCTATGCGGTTAAGGTTAGCAATTTATTTATTTTTTTATTTTGGTCCGTCTGATAACAAAATTTATTTTTTTTTTTAAGTAAATGTACTATATATCTAATATTACAAATATTAATCAAATTTACAATATATTCCCTCCGTCCCTAACAAATTATCCATTTTTTTTATTTTAATCCGTCCTATAGCAAAGTATCTATTTTTTTTTTTTTTAGTAATGATACTATCTACCTAACATTACAAATACCTTTACAATTTACAATATATTACACAAATGTCATTATCTTTATATCACACAATACTAATAAGGTTATTTTAGTAATTTCTACTTTATTCCTACTACATCTCAATGCACAACGTACAATACTAATAAGATTAGTTTAGGTTTTTTTACTTTTTATTTATTTTATATTTCAGTATAATACTAATATTTCTAAAACTCCGTATAAAAAATAAATGGATAAATAGATATGGACGGATAGAGTATAAAAAAAAATGCTGCCTTTTGTTTTATTTATATCCAAAATATCCTAAATAACGAGCAAATATGTATACCCATTGAGAGAAATATTCGTTCTGTTTATAAAGGTATTTTTAGAATTTTAGAAAAAAAAAATCTAAATAAATATTTAATATAACAGAAACGAGTAATTGATATATATATTTAAAAAAAAAAAAAAACTAATATTATATTAATAAATTAAGACTTTTAAAAGTATGCATATAAATACACCCTTAATTATCTAATGGCAATGAATGAATTAATTAGTAGCATAGAGTGATTGCTGTATGGATTAGGGCTGCCAACAGCCAACCCCAGTTTCGATTTTGGCCCATAATATTTTGAATTCCCGTTAACGGTATTTCGTTGACTTCATTCTGATTGGCTGCCAAGAACAAGAACAAGAACTCAACACCCCCCCCACCCCCACCCACCAAGATAAGGAATGGGATGATATGGGATTTGGTTAAATTAATTAGGGTTAGGCATTGATGAGGAAGAAGGTTCAGGAAAGGGCAATAAACACAAGTGGAATATTAATGTGGGGGTGGGGTGGGGGGTGGGCGTGGGGTAGTCAGTACTGGACATAAACAATAACATAAGCAGACAACATTTGCCACTGTGTACTCCTTATCTAATCATAAAGATCCTCAGACCTTTCTGGAATCGGACAACATTTCATCTATACGTACAAATATTATACTCTTTCCGTCGATTGAAAAGGTTGATATTTATTTTTATTAATTTTTAAATATTAATTATTATTATTAAAATATAATATAAATCAAGAAAAGAAGACAAAATACATCTATTAATGTCTTATAATACAAATAAATGATATTTGTATTAAAAAACTATAAAAATATAAGTAATAAAGTATAAATATGACATTTATATAATATATTGTAAAAAGAATATTTGTAACGTTAATTAAATAGTACTACCTCTGTCATTCAAATCTATGCTCATTTTTTTTTTTTGGTTGTCATTGAAAAATATTTTCGTTTCTTTTTTAAGTAAAAAATTATTATACTTTTGTACTTTTTATTACTATAAAAGAAAAAAATAACTATTATTACTCACTTTTATTAAAACTCGTACACGGTGACGGAGAGAGTATAATATATATAAATATACAAGTGTGTGTCCCATTAATCTTTTGAGATCGAGGAACAAAAATATGAAAAAGGGAATGAACCCATTTCTTGTAGCCCTTTTCCAGCTGTCACTTCCACTGTTTCAATTCAATAGTAAGATTTATATATATATATATATATATTTTAACTCTATTTTAATTTAAAAAAAATTGATTCACAAAAAAATACAATTAATTAATTAGATTCCATTCAAAGAAATATTTAAACCAGGTATCAAGATTACATAATCAATAATAAATCAAAAAAACCCTAAATTAGGAAGAGGGGAATTGAATTATTTGTGAATTTCGATCGATTTTTTTCAATGAATGTTCGTATTTCTCGACCTCTTCTTGTTAGCTGCAGCCATGGAAGATAATTGAGACATCTGTGGAACAACGAAGGAACTGTCTTCACCAAATCCAAATCCAAATTCATCAAATCCCAAATTGGACATGATCATCGATGAACTCCGATTCAATTCTGTCTGAAATTGAGGGACACAAACCCTCTTCTTCTGCAACTCATCGTCGTCTCCACCACCACCACTCTGATCGATTTAAAAAATAAATTAACAGAATAATAATAAGAAGAAGAATTTAAATTAATTAATGGAGAATTAAGCAATAATAATGCAAACCTTACAGAAGCCATTGTAAGAGAAAGAAGAATCCAGAAGCTCCTCCACATGCCAGCCTGGCAGCATTTCGATCAAGTACTCCGATATGCTACTCGCCGCGGCGGCGGCGCCGTTGATTTGGTGGCTGGATTCCATTGAAATAGCTTCGATTGAGGGTTTCATTGGCGGCGGCGGAGGCGGTGGCGATGGCTCCGCCGCCGCCGTAATCGCCGGCGACGACGAGTAAAGAGATGAATTTGCAGACAACTTCATCCCCGTCAGAAGAAATCTCGTATGGTTCTGCGTGTGCTTATTCGCTCTATGGATCGACAAATCACAGTCCCGACATAGAATCGCACGATCCTGTCTGCAAAACATAAACGCTTTCCTCTCCTGTAAGAACCAAAAATCAAAATCGATTAAATTAAATCACTGTTCATAAAAAATTTAAATTTTTTTTTTTTTCAAATTGAATGGATTGAGACCTGACAGATATCGCAGAGAGGGGCGTGTTTGGGGGAGGGGTGGTGGAGGGAGAACCGCTGGTGTTTTCCGGCGAGCTTATTAGCGTGGTGGACGCGGTGATCGCAGGCGGCGCAGAGCGCCGCCTCGTCGGCGACGCAGAACAGCGAAGCTTCGTTCTTGTCGCAGACATCGCAGAGGATTTTCATTTTCTAATTTGGGAATTTCTTGATTTTTTTTTTTTTGGGCGGATTTTGGAATTTGATTGAAAAATTTGAAGGGAAGGGGAAGAAAAAGCTATGGAGGTTTCATTAATTTATTGATCCATCTTCCATTATTGGACATTAATTATTGTGATCTATTGTTATGGATCTCGCTTATATTTTTCCATTACGCGCTGGAGCTTAACTCCCACTCGATCTGGACCGTCCGTTTGTCGACCTTATGAAATCAACGGTGATAATGCGTTTGGCGTCGGAGTCCCGGGACTTTTTGGGAGGGGGTATGTCAGAAGTTTGAACCATGGGACAGTAGTTGGTGAAACAAAAAGGGAAATGGATGAGGATTTGCAAAATTTAATATTAATATTTTTTAGAAAAATCGGAATATAGATATTTAATAAAATATTTATATATGTTGTCATTTTGATTTTGATTTGTTTGAAGTCAATTTTATTTTATTTTTTAGTAATTATGTTTTCTATATAATTTTAATAAATTTTTACATTTATATATTATTATAAAAATATCATTATAATTATTTAGTTAATTTATCATTTTTTAAGAATAAATTTAATTATTACTAATTTTTTATACTATCTACATATAAAATACTAATATTAAAAAAAATTACTTAAAAAAATAAACGAACATATACAAACGGATGAAATCATTTAAATATGAATTTTCATATACTCCTTTTTTTATTTTATTATAAATATGTTATCACATTACGAGATAACTATTTATTTTATTATATTATTATACAAATGATATTATATTTTATATCTAAATTAAAAGTATATTTTTTTATATAAATAAGAAAAAAAAAATGGCATTTTAACATTATTTTGTATTTATTATTATTAAATATCAATATCCTTTAAGCTTTATATCAAAAAAAAAATAAAAATAAATAAATAAATTGGAAACACAGAAACTATAATTTATGTGGAATAAAATCTTGGCTACTGTTTATGTGTAAGGTTTCATGTTCATGCCAATCTTATATTATTATAATTATTTTTATTTTTTAATATTCTTGATTATAATATATATTTAATCTTATCATCAACCAATAAATATTTTAAATAATTTGAAGAGTGATATTTATTTAATTTTCTTATTTTAGTATTATTTTTTCATTTTAGTTTGTCCCATAACAAAAAAAATTTTTTATTATTATTTTTTTTAAGTAAATGTACTATCTACCTAATATTACAAATATCTTTACAACTTTTAATATATTACACAAATACTAATAAGGTCATTTTAGTCATTTCAATTTTTTCTACTATATCCCAATATAATACTAATATTTTTAAAACCCCGTGCAATAAAACAAATGAATACATAGTTGTGGGACGGAGGGAGTATATAATTTTTTGTATACTTTAAAATAAAAATTATGCAATTATCATTTAAGGTTTCATAATGAAGAAAGGGCATAAAATATGGTAAGTATAATTATATAACTAATATAAGCAAATTTTTTATCACTTAATTATTTAGTTTATTTCCAACTATTATAGTTATTATTAAAATTGCTACCAATAATTTAATCATACTTTAAATGGCAAAACAATTAGTTTACTCAAGTGTACGCCTGGGGAGTGGGTCCCAGGCCTTCGAGTCCTTCTCACAGTGATTTCGCTGGTTTGTGTTAAGGGGACTGGAAGTCCCAGGATCGACTGAAAATCGGTCATTACATCACAGATGACATATTATTTTGCTAAACGACAAAACTATGTTAAAATATTGGATTAAATAAAGTTTAGATCTGACCAATATTGATATTTGTTAAAATATATATATATATATATACATATTTCCACATGTATTGGAAAAAGGGTATATATATTATTTTCCTTGTTAAAATAAAAAAATAATAATAAATTAAAAAATTAAAAAGTTGTGTAGCCCAAATACTTGTACATGTGTATTATGACCAACACCATAACTATGTTAAATATGTTCTTTATATTTTAAAAATTATATTCCCCTATATCATTTTATATAAAATATAATTTAAATAAATAAGTATATATTTATACATAATTTATATGAATTAAGTTATAGAAGACAGAAAATTTTAAATTTTTATAAACGTATTTGTTTTTATGTAGATGGTAAAACAAAATTACATGCATTCTCATCTTTAAAAGAAAATTGAGAAAAATAGTTAGAAAAAATAAAATAAAATTTTAGTATTAATAATATAAGCCAATATGCATTAGATGGAATTTTATGGAGGAAAAGTTAAAATTTTCACATCAAAGTTTAAATATTACATTAACATATACTTGTTTCACATCAAACAATTATATAGAATTAAATTTTTTATTATTTAAAATTTAAATTCGCAAACAAATGGTAGATTTTGGAGTTAGATTTGAGGTTGAAAATAATAAAATGTTGAATTGAAAATATTGGATTTGTTTGCTTAATATTATTGGGTGATATAACTCTTATAAATATAATTAAAATAAATAAATAAATATATATATATACAATATACACATATATTAACATAATTTATATAATATATATTTTATAAAATGATAGAATAAACTCTATATATATATATTGGAACTTGTACCAGATAAAACTTATTTCCTCCATGCGTCTTTAAAGGTCATATTTACGTCATTGTATTAACATTAAAAACGTCACTGTAATAGCATTATAAGATATTTATAATTTTCTTTTAATTTGTACTATATTTTTATATAATAATTAAAATAAAAAAAAATTAACACGCAAAAGATATAGTATAATTTTTTTAATGTAAAATTAATTTATGTGACAGTTGTACAAGTGAGTCGAATGGCCAATCTTATCTATCTATTGTGTTGTGCGAAGTCAAAAAAGTGTAAATATGAAATTCTCTCTACCTTATTCTCTTCGATATTCATTTAATTTCATTACATACATAATAATATGCTTCTTAAGATTCTCCCAAATATTAGAATGTATATATTCCCATGCATTCATTGAATCCGAACTCATTATTTAAAGTGTGTTTGTTACACTTTTTTATTATTGTCAATAAAAAAATAAATAAAATATCAAATATATATAATGAGAAAAACTAAATAATAAAATTCAAACCAAAACACTAATCAAACAAACAAGTCCATGTAATGAGAAATTTTGGAATGCCTTATGTTTTTAAATTTGTAATTTTTGTAATTGAAAATTATAAAATATCTTGAAAAAATATAATATGTATATATATATATTCAATAATAGATTTTGTAAGAAATAATAAATGCAAACATGCAAAGAGCAAAACAGTGTCATCTTCACCGAGCCTTCCGGTTAAAAACTAGAGAAGAAAACCGGCCGGGCGACGCCGGTCGGACGAGCATAATCCAACGGCGGCGGCAAATGTCGAAGAAAACTCTAATCCTAAATTTTGTATCCGGAAAACGGCAAACTTGTACATCGAAATAAAACACATACCGATCATCGACAAAAGGAACCGCCGAGGTTAAAAAACACCACCTTCGGCGAGTTCTCTTCCTGCTCAGCTCGGCTCGGCTCAGCTCATCGGCAGATTCGGTTTCATATCTGGTAGCTCTCCGCCATCCCCTTCCGGTGCGACATTGTTCTTGTATTGCTTAACGAGCGCCCAGTTCGTCTCGAACACGTACGCCAAATTCCTTATCTGAAGATCGACTCGTTGGTCGCTTGATTGAAACGCTAAAAAAATAATCGAGCAAAAACGTAATGGAATGTTACCTGAACAAGACAGCTGGAAGTAAGGCCGGCGCTCTCTCCCGTATGCACTTCGTTCCCGTTCACAAAAATTGAGCATCTCCCGAGATTCTTCAGCTCAAACTCTCCTCGAGCGTCCATCTTCACGATCGCCTGAACCGATTTTGATACAAAGATGATAAATTTTCGACAGAAAAAGTAATCCCGCAATTATAGGAGGCTTTGGATAGCAAATAACCTGTTTTCGAGAAATTTTTCCGCCGTTTTTCTCTCTTCCAAGGTCGATGTCGACAGCGGTGTCTTCAGTCGCCCTGCCAAGTAAAACCTGAAAGCGAAATTGATTGTAATTTTAATCGGTCCGTAACGTATCAAATTATATTCGATCGACAGCTGCTAGACGAGAAATGCTTTAATTTGACAACAATTTTAACACCTCCGATCGCAACAACATACCTTCGTTTTCTTTATAAAGTATTTCGAGTAACGGCCGTACAGAACGGCGAAAGCACCCTGTGAAGTAATGGCTCGTTGCGTGCAAGCATTAGCAGATTGCTCCAGCCTTACGATAGTTCGCTTCGTTTGCTCGTGCTGATACCGCTTCACTGCAATTTTTTTATATTCGTAGCAGGGCAAAAGAATCGTTAATCGGAACGAATAATATCGAGCATATATGGAAAATGAAAACTACCATCCGGGTTGGAGCTTAAAGCATATTCGCCGGGGGGTTGCAAGTCCATATCCAGAATCTGCAAAAGCGACGAGCCGGACACTCAAAATTAAGGATTAAAAAGACGTCGATTTTTTTTTTTTTTTCTTACCATTGCTTCAACATCGGAGAAATCAGGAACATCAAAATCGTAGTCGGACCATTGCTCGTCCGGATCCGACATCAGCAGCTTATCGATTGCATTTTCGACTGCTGCATCATGCAAAGTCGAGTCCATATTTGTCGTCCGCTCATCGTTTAGAATTTCCGGCTTGATATTCATCACATTTCTGCTACTGCTAGGCCCATTTTGAAGGACTGGGCGAGCATCGGGGCAAACAGGTTTGTACTTGTCGAAGCAAGAATTGCCACCAAATTTATAATCAACGCTTTTTCCTCGTCCCATGTCCCGTAAAGCTCCGTCGATTGCATTGTTTGCGGCTGCATTTGCTGAGCTGATATGATCATGGTTTCTCGAATTTCTAACGGCAGCATGATGGACATTACTCTTAGGCAACTCGAACTTAACACCTTGACTTCCCGTCGAACCTTTCAAGCCGATATCCGATGGTTGCGAAGGTTCCGGCACCCGGATGGATCTACTCGACGCAATTTGGTTGTTTACCAACCCATGAGATCTAACATTTTCCTTCCGACTGCTCACAATATCCGGCGAAAAAGATGTGAAATACCTCGAATCGTGCAATCTCCATGGCATACCCGAGGGACTCGTCGGAGAGGGGCGTCGGAACGGTAGAAAAACATCATCGTTACTCGGTATCTCGGGATCTTCGGTATTTAACACGCAACAGATAACTCCGTTGCGATATTCAGGTCCAAGCTTTTTCTGATTCGATGCAGAAGACGCCACCAGAGCATCGGGAGCTTGAACTTCAGGTTCGTAGCCATATTGCACCTCTTCAACATCTGGTGCGGCGGAATGTACACCGCTCGATGGAAAATGTTGTTCTTCCGCCGCACCTTCGACGGGCGGGTCTAAATTGGCGTCGGGCAACTCGACCCTGTTCGGGGAATTCAATAAAAGCAAGCCCAGGCTATCCAGATAATTCTTGTCGATGGATTCCTTCAGCTCGTCCTCATTAGAAAGGGCGAACAACGTATCAGACAGATCGTTAAAATAATCTTCAGTGCTGATGGTGTCGGAGGGGAGTGGAGCTTTCATGCTGGAGCTCGTACAAGGATCGTCAGCATTCGCGACACCACATGGCGGCAATAGAAACGTGTCTCCAGCCAGACAAACATTCTCATTTTGAAAGGGTAGATCCGTAACAGGAATATCCGGGGAAGTATTCCAACCCGGCATTTGAGGCAGAGGCGACGAACATCCGAAGCTATCGAACGAATGGTCTCCGAATTCCAAACATGCATTCTCTCTATTATCTACACCCTCTGAATCAAAGATATTAGAAAGCGGCAAATGTTTCAACTGATCGAATCCGGGAACCTGACTTTGATCATGTAAAGGCGAGAGATTTTCTTCGAAGGGAAAGGCTAGGCTTTCAGACGCATTTCTCCCAAATTCAGAAAAAGAATGATGCCCGAGGTCGAAGTCCGGGTTCTGAATGCCCAAATCAATAGAAATTGGATTGCCGATTCCGCAATCCGCCGATTGAAGTTTGTTAATGTCTCCAAGAATCGAATGACTCGGCCCGGAAAGAGGATTTAGGTGCATCACGTCAAATGGTTCATTACGGATTCTTTTACGCCTGGCGTAGTAAATTTTCCGGATGCTTTCGCTCTTTCTTTTCCTGGAATAACCCGTTGTCTCATTCAAGCTTTCCGACTTGTTTCTTGATGGATTAAAGATTGTAGCAATCTCAATCTCGGCCATGGGAAGTGACGCCTCCTTCGAAATGATATCATTGTAGAGAAGAGAATGCCAACGATCTGTTAGTTCCTGCATCGTGTAACGCTGAGAAAATGGCACCGCGCCTTTTTCCAGAGCTTCCAAAGAAGCGCCATCCTACATGAAATCACCACATATAATTTGAGTTCGTAAAACATGAAATCGAGCATTGATATCAAAGGTGAAAATAAGCATTGAATAGTAAACTATATCAATTAAAAAACGAGCCCAAATTCGTAAGGCGAAAAATAAACAAATCTTCAGGCAACCCTATAATTTCAAAGAATTTAATTAACATAAGCGCCATCCTACACGAAAACATGAAATCACCACATATAATTTGAGTTCGTAAAACATGAAATCAAGAATCGTTAACAAAGGTGAAAATAAGCATTGAATAGAAAACCAAATCATTTAAAAACGAGCCCAAATTCGTAAGTGGGGAAACAAACAAAATCTTTAGGCAACCCTACAATTTCGAAGAATTTAATTAACATACGATGAAGCATACCGTTCGGATTGTTTATCACAGGGGCGAAATCTTTACTTAGAAAACATCTTCACTAAAGTAAAAGGGATTATAATTTATATCATAAAATTGTTTATTTTCTTCGTAGAATTAAGCATTGAACGCGAACAAATTCACAAGAACATGACGATTATTCAAGCAACATGAACTGCAAAATCAAATGAATCCATCTTTGTTAAGAAATGTACAAACTGCTTACAACATTCATCACATCAATTCTTAATGTTCATATTTATTATGAAAGGATCATTAATAGCATCAAGACGAATTCCGAAAATCAGTAACCCAACAGCAAGCTACCATTTCAACTTCATCCCAGCTAAGATCATCAAACTTTCATTCTAATTAGGAAGATGGAACAAAGTCCTAAATCAATCTACATTAGCACCAGTCATCCAATTTCACATATCTTCTCGATCAAAAATCTAAACTATACCATTTCCTGCATCACCATTAGAGAGAATTCCACCACTTCAAACTGAAAATGCATCAAAATATACAAAGACTCTGTGCCAATCACAATAAAAAAACACTATTGTCGTCGAACATTGTTCCTTAATTCATTAGCCATTACAAACAAGTTTAAGCACATATCCTTCCAATTTCCTTCCAACATTATAAGAACATCTCCACAGAACAAATTCCATTCCATCAAAGCCATATTTCAAGACGAAATTCACAACAATTGATTCTCCAAAAACCACACTAATTCAACAAATTCGAACGCTCAACAGATGCAAAACACCAGAATTCGACAAACATAAAATGAATAAACAAAAAATTATCGCAATGCCAGAGCGAAATTTCAGATGAATAAAAAAAGGGAACCCGATTTACCCTGCATACAAAAATCAGGCGAAATCCAGAGAAAAAAGAAAAAAAAAAGAAAAAAGGGTTTCCCATTGTTAAACCCTGGAAACGGCAACAGCCGCCGCCATTGCTAGGTTCGATTGAACAAGCAAACTTTCGCCAATCGCAAAACGAGCGAAATCAGGACAACTAAGACGTATACAACAAAGGTAGCGGGAGAATCGTTCGCATACCTCGATGGAGTTTTTTAGCAGAAGGTCGTCCTTAGGCGTCCAGTGAGTCGGCGGCGCCATAGCTCCCATCTTTACCCGTTCTCTTCAACGCGCCGCTTTCCGCTTCTTCTGCCTTCGAATTCTCTCAGATTTTTATTTTTTTTTTTAATTTTGTTTATTAGTATTTAAAAAGATTTCCAACCTCCATTTGAGGGGTCATCTGAGGGGCCGACGCCGAACGCCAAAACCCCACTCCCAATTTAACGAAAAAGATTGTTGCTTTGGAGGAGGGCCGTACGGCGGACTTAGGTTGTTTTGGGAGCACCCGGAACTCCGACGCCAGAACGTACTTGCGCTGTTGATGTTTGGGGCCCAGTGAGTCGGTGCGGGAGAAACTTTACTGGTGTAGAAGTCCCGGATCTCTGTCAAATTTTAACCAAGATTTTTTCATATTAAGGGTGTGTTGGTTCAAGAGTTTGGATTTTGGATTTAGATTTGAATAATAAAAATTTTGAACATAAATAATGTATAATATAATATAAATAGGTATTGATATAATATTTTGAATATAAAATTGATTTTTAAGTATAATATACAAATTAAAAATTAAGTATGTAATTTGATATTTTTTTTAAAAAAAATTGAATAAATAGTGAAATATGGAAAAAATCTACCAAACAAAGGCACCATAAGAAAATTATACTATAGTACTTTCTTTGGTCTACCAAATTTACTCTCGTTCACGTCAAATTAACTTTTAACTATTAATTATTATCCTTAATTCAATGTTTATTTACTATAAAAATCACTACTTTTATTATATTTTTTTATTATTATTATTTTTAATTTACTTTTCAAAATTAACGTCAACTACATTTTTTTACTTTTATTACTTTTTTTAATAAAATATTAATTATTTTAATCTGCATGTCGAATCGAATGTTCTAATTTGTACGGAAAGAAAGTAATATTCATGATTTTGTGAAAAATATGTTTCTAAAAAGAAAATTAATATATTTATCAACAATTATTATTTTTATATTTTCGTTTAAACAATTTTACAATATACATACACCGTTATTACTTGTTTATGTTTGATTTGAAATTGACTTGTTAATTTAAAATTTTATTAAATAATATTTTAATATAATATTTGTAAAAAAAATAATTTTTCATATTTTTAGATATATAATAGAATTTTTAAAATCTTTTATTTAGACAAAACCTATTAAAAAGAAAAAAAAAAATAATATTTTAATATTTATATAACAAATCGTGATTAAAAAAAATAATAAAAAAAAAATCACTATGGTCATACTATTAATGTTGAGTTGTACTTTGCTTTATTATTTTTATTTTTAATTTTTAAAAAACAATTATAAAATCTGTTGTTTCACATCATTGTCTGGTGGACAAACGACACACACAAATATAATTATATATTATTATTAATTAATTAAACTTGCCATCCAAGTTCTTTAGAAAATAAAAATTAATTTAATTTCTATTCTCCTAAAGTATATTTACAAGAGTTTTTAGGTGATTGTCTTTTTGTTATATATTAACAAATTTGTCCTTAAGTGTACGGTAGAAATTAAAAGTAACAAATGAATAAATGGTAAAAATATAAAATTTATGTTTAAAAAAAATATGACAATAGTTGTTGGACATCCCAAATAGAAAAGTAGGATATTAGTTTGTGGACGGATAGAGTATTTATTAAACATGTGCTCATTTGACTGGACACGAATTTTAATGAAAATGAATAATAATAATTATTTTTTGTTAGTAAAAAAAATACAAAATATAGTGACTTTTTTACTTAAAAAACGAGAATATTTTTTTATGACAATCCAAGAGAATTTTACCAAAAATGAATAATAATTATTATTTTTTTATAGTAAAAAAATATAAAAATATAGTGATTTTTTATAATATATTTTTTATTATGACAATCAGAAGAGAAATGAACGTGAACCAAGGAAATAATTATATATATATATATATTGCCATAATCAATTATTATTCCTATTATCTGATAAAATTAATGCATTTTAGGTCGGCAATTAATTCTGAGAAATAAGTGGCAAATCATTTATGTCATAAATGTCATTAATTGCACGGATTAATTATTTTCACCAAATTTGATACAGAAATAAATACTAATTGGGCCAGTTGGGCTTACAAAAATTAGCCTGGGCTGAAGAATTAGTTAATGGGCTTTGTATAAATTTAAAACTTATCCATGGCTATATATCATTATATCTTTTGTTTCTTTATCCAAATTTTTTGAAATTTTTAAGATTTTCAAAAAAAAAAAAAAAAAAAACATATTTTCTCGCGCAAAAATATCTCATTAAATATTATTTTTATTATCCTTTTCTATTATAATTAACACAATAGAAACGTGGGCGACAACCAATTGAGACATACTCAATACCGAGTCCGAGTTTGATTTACTTAGGGTTTGTTTAGTTGTAGTTTGAAATTAGTTTGAAATGAAATCTTAAATTTAAATTTTTGGTTCAAATAATATTTTGTTAGATAAAATGACATAATTCTTGAAAATTATGACAAAATAATAATGTTGATTTCAATTTAAATTCCCGAAAGAATAAAAACTATTAATTGTGGTAAGATAGTTCCAATCAATTTTTTAATTTTTTGGACTCTTTGGTTAGTACCTTTTGAATTATTGATCGATGTTTTATAAACAATTACATTACATTGATACTGCATAGAATACCATATATACTTTTATATAAAATTCAAATATATTACTATAGAGCACTGTATATATTTGAATAAAATACAATATATATTACATAAATCATCACATACTTTTCTAGGGTGTCGATTTTTATTTTTATTTTTTTAAAAAAGGTCAATGTTATATGCATTGAAATTTATACTCTCAAAATATTCACTACATTGTTTTTTAGAAAAATATATGAAATCATGTCAAAATATTTACTAAATAGGTTTTGTAAATTTATAAAATTATAGAGTAATTTGACCTATGCTACAAATTTATTGAATATTTATATTTTCAATGACAAAAAAAAAAAGTCTATTAGAAATATATATATATTTGTCACATAAAATTCAAGAACACCATAGCAACAACAATACACCAAAACAACACTCCACATTACAAACTCCCAACAAACTTTTTAATTTATTCATGAACACATTATAGCGAAAATCGAATCGAACTGAACCTCACTCGAGCAAAGCAAAAGTGGTGATGTCCGAGGCGGCACCACCACGATGAAGGCCAGGAGGGTGGCAATGATTGGGCGGCTGCTGAGTTAGGCGTAACGCGATAATATGAGGCCCGAAACCAAGATAATCGCCATCGTTGTTTTCGACTAATCCATAGTGTGGATCCTCTTGTCTAGCATCCTATAAATTAATTAAATTAAATTTCAAATTAAAAAAAAAATACTTTTAAAAATGGGATTTTGTAATATTTACTTTTAAAATTGAACTTTTGTGGATTTTTTTACCCACTTAATTTTCAAAGTGTGTTCTTTTGTAAGACTATATATAATAAATTTATATATACTATTTACTATAATTTTTCTAAAAAAATATCAAATTAAATATTTATTTTTCACTTTTGATATTATATTAAAAATTAATTTTACATTCAAAATATTATACCAATATCTATTTATATCACATCATACAATTGTTCAAATTTAAATTTTTACTATACCCTTAGTAAGAAATGAAGGTGGTAATTTTTTTTTTTTTTTTAAAAAAATATATAATTTCTTATAATGTATTTAGAAAGTTTGTATAATATTTTCGTAGTTTAAAAACTGTATAATTTTTCTTCGTATTTTAAAAAATATTGCATGAAATCTTCAAATTGTAAGTACATTTGAGGATTTTTTGCAATGTTTCTTTCAAGCAAGGGGCAATATTGTGTAGTTTCTAAGCTATAAAGAAAAATAGTATAAAATTTTTAAACATAAGTGAGTTATAAATAATTTTGTTCCAAAAAAAATAAAATTAGAAGTTAAATGATCATGATCGTGAAGAGGGCACTTACGAATTCAAGCATAAGATTTTTGTGGATTTCTTGAACATTCCTCAACTGTCGTCGAACAAACAACGAGACGAAACAAATAGTTATTTCATGAAAAGAAATAATGAAGTACAATAATACAAAAGAATGAAGATTTTAAAAAGTTACAATTCTCGATCTTTTTCATAAAACGTTACTAAAATATTCATAATTTTTTCACCATCGGAATTAATTCATGTAGGATTTATTACTTACTTGTATATGAAATTTTACATACCTTCTTCTTGCCGGTGTCGATCTGATTTCCGATGACTTTGTACTGAGTGACATAGATACAAGAATTGGACATATTTATTGGTAAGATGAATACTTAGAAGGGTAAATAATAATAATAATAATAATAATAATAATAATAATCATAATAATAATAATCATAATAATAATAGCTTAAGATATAAATTATAAAATATCATGTATAAATTTATTATATACATTTCTGAATTTTGTTAACTCCATGTAGATAAAGAAAGATGAACAAAATAGACTATTTAATATGAGTGTATTCGTGGGAGGTTTGAGGTTTCAATAATAAAATTTTAATTTTGAATATTTATTTGATGCAAAGGAAATAAATATTAATATAGGATTTTAAATATAAAATTAATTTTTAATATAATTTTTAAAATATTTTTTTTTTTAATTTTTTGAAAAAATCATTAAAAAAAAATCATAAAAAAAAAAAAAAAAAAAACCCAAATTATTCAAATTAAGGGTTTTGTTTTCAAGACTATAGTTAGGAATTTATTATTGATTTATTTAAATTTGTAAACTATAGATATGATATTTTACGTAAATGGGAGTCGTAGGTTGCAGCTTTTTCTTATTACCCTCAAATGGTGAAGTAAAGTAACCGACGGTTTTTTCTTAAGCTCTTTCGACTAACTCTTGGATAAAAATGTTTTCTCATTCCATAATTAATACTGTAGTAATAATTACTTTCTCAAAATTACAGAATATTTCATTCAAATTTGCTATATTTTTTTATCTCGAAGAAAATTTTCCCTCAAACTCTCTCTAGATATATATATATATATATATATAGACATATGTAAGAAAATCCTAGACGTGGATTCTGCAGAAAAAAGTAAGATTGGTAATAGAAAGACACACATATATATATAATTATATATGTATATATATACCTTTCTTTCACGAATGAGACTGAGAGAAGTATTGATATCTTCAATAAGATTCACCACTTGATCGTAGCCCAGATCGTTCAGACACTCCCCCATCCTCTGTCTGCAGTTCAGATCAGTGTAATAATCAAACATATATATATATATATATATATATGAGAGAGAGAGAGGGAGAGAGAGACCTAATCTCCTTCCTAAGATTGGCATTGAACTCCTTCAATTTCTTCAAGTGTTCTTGCATTCTCTGTAAATCAAAGCAATTCCCCCCAAAAGATTAAATTAATTAAAAATTGGATGAATCAATTAGCAAATTAAAATGAATGACGACGACGACCTCATAGTGCGTGCTCCAAAGGTCGACTCCAACGGCCTTCTGGTACAGATCGAAAACCTGCTTCGTCCTAATTTGGGGAAAAAATCAGAAAAACCCTAATTTTAAAAAACTGAAATAGATAAAATTACTCAGATCTGAACGAATGGAAAAATGAATTGGATTGATTCTCGATTACGTGATGGTAGGGCTGATGTATTCGTGCAACTTCTGAGTGCTGGAGATCATGATTATGGAAACCCTAGCATCGCAGAGAACAGTGAGCTCCTGAGCCTTCTTGAAGAGACCATTCCTCCTCTTGGAGTAGGTGACCTGCCTGTTCGTCTGGTTCTCGATCCTCTTTATCTGGATCTTCCCGCGAGCCATTTCTTTCTGGTTGGGTAGGTGGGTGGATCGGATCTTGCAGGAAGAAATTGCAAGATTGTGTTAATGGGGAAGACGATGATGGATATAATAATGTGGTATAATAAGTATTTGATAGAGAAGGGTATATTGGTAATTGCACAATTGAGGGGGGTTGGGAAGGGGGAGAGGGAGGCTTTATGTGTGTTGGTAGGAGTTTCCTTAAATGGAAAGAGTTGCTAAATCGGTGCAAGAGTGGTGACAGTGCTTCATAAAGTAGTTTAAGAATCACTCACTTCTTGTTTGTTTTATTTATTTATTTATTATTTTTTTAAAATTTTTTATTTTTTTTCCAATGTTTACGCAATACATTTTTATTTATTTGATACTATTTATTTTTTAAAAAATATCAAATCAAATATATTTTTTTCTTACAAAATATCAAATCAAATACTAATTTTTTTTTTTTTTAATACTTATAAAATTCCAAAAATCTCCGAAAAAGGAGTTTTTGGGTGTGGGACCCAATCACTAGTCTCAACTCACTTCACTATTGCACACACGCACACATGCGGGTGTGTGTGTGTGTGATTTTTGGTGTTGATTCTTGATATTTCAAATTCACTTGTGATTGATGTCGATGTGTCATTGATGTATTGGATTTATAAATTAGTGTGTTCCATTTATTACAAAAATTGTTTTCAAAATTTGATTTTTTTATTTAGCATCTTAATTTAAATTGCTTTTCATAAAAATACATTACATATGTGTATGCATGAATGTAGATTAAAATGTTTGTAAAATCTAATGAGTTTGTTCTTTTGTGATTTTATTGAAATCAAAATCATTTATTTTGTACAATTTTTTATAAAATTATCTTATTCTTTATTTACAAAATATTATATCAAAGTTAATTTTACAATAAATGATATAACCTCACGCAGTCGTGTGGTGTTCAGTGGAACCCTAGCGGTCTTTGAAATTTGGAAGTCGGAATGCCGTACACCCTCGATCGTATTAATAACTGCACCATATCCCTAAAGATGAACAAACTTTGATCAATGAAACAATACAGAGAAAAGAAGTCAGACAAATTGAATCTGTAACCTCGGAAAAATGATTCATTGGAGAGGCGGCAGCAGCGACGGAACAGAGAATTGTTTTGGAACGAATCGAGAGTTCGAAGACGAATCGAAGCAACAAAGAATTGAATCTTAGAGAATTGTAACAGCAAGGCCAGACACCATCCCTACATCCGGTGGTTTGGAAGGGCCCGAAAACTCGCATTTCGTTCTGCGTCGTGCCGCCTTCCGGGGAGCCGTAGCGTCGGTGAATCCGCTAGCGTCGGCCACGATATATCCGTCACGGCAGATCTGGCTTAAAAAAATTTATTTATAGCTCTGATATTACGTAGATGATCTGAACGATCGTTTTACCTAAATATTTAAACTTTTAGTATACATTCCTCAATTTATTTATGTAAATAGGAGTGTAAATTTATATATATATATATATTATATGAATAAAAAGGGACACAATAAAGTTGTGTTTGAGTTTATTTTTCAACATTTCAAAATTCATACACATACTTGCTAATAAAATATATTTTTCATCTAAAAATACACTTAGAACTACTATCTATGAGCTCTTTTTATTATTATTGTTATTAATTATTTCCTCCGTCCATAAATTAATGTCCTATTTTTTTATTTGGGACGTCCAACAACTATTGTCATATTTCTTTTTTTTAAACACAAATTTTACAATTTTACCCTTCATTCATTTATTACTTTTAATCTCTGTCGTACCATTAAGAGCAAATTTGTCCATTTATAACATAAAGACAATCATCTAAAAAACTATCCAAATATACTTTAGGACAATAGAAATTGGATGAAGGAAGTATTATATAGACGGGATCATATAATATTTAAAAAAATAAAAAAATAAGATATATAAAAAAAAATAGATTAAAAAAAAAGTTCAAGTAAACAAGCCCTTAGTTCAAAGTCAATATACATTAATATCTACTAAATTCTGACTTCATTAACTTGTGTGTTTGAATTTGTTTTTGGCTATCTTTGGGCATATTTTTTTTTACCAAACTTATTACATTTTCTAATTTTTTGCTCAATGAGTCATAATTTATTTAAATTTCTAGTGAGATAAATTAAATAATTTTGTGTCAATTTATTGCAAGCAAAAATGCAATTTGGCTTCATACATTCCAGCTAACAACATACTGTCTCAATTAAATTTTCAATAACAATTAATTAACCTGCATGTTAGGACCCCACTAAATGAATTTCACAATATTTCAATATTCAATTAATTCAAATATTTATTTATTTTTTACTCAAACTTATATCAAATTCGATGCCCGAATAATTAGAATAGATCCCAGCTAAACGAGTTAGGTATCGAGTCAAAATCAGCGTTGTAATCTTTCTATTTTTATATTGTTTTCGTGAAAATGAAAGTGAAAAATAAAATAAAATAAAAATAATATATTCAATACGGATATTATTGATATATATATATATATATATCGAATGCGACGTGAAAATGGTGATTAAATAAAATATAGTTAGTATTAATGCAATTGGGAAGTATGACTTTGGTTCCTTAATGCAATCTTCACTTCCCACACTAATTGTAGCTTTATTTTATTATTCCAAATTCTCTGGAAATAATGACTAAAAAACGTAACACAAATTTCTGCAACTACATAATAATAATAATAATAATAATAATAATAATAGTAAGGTAAACGGTTATTTTTTAGTGCCGTAAGTGACCCCTTATTATTTAAGTCCAATAACGGGAGCATTTTGCAAACTAGTTTTATAGGTGAAAAATTTTCGTTGTTTTAGTTCTCCAGCGCTGGAGACGTCCGCGTGGCTCGCCGGAAGCCACGTATCCGTCAGGTGTCCGTCAGGTCAGCGATACCTGACGAACACGTGGATTTTTTTTTTTTCAATTTTTTTACTAATTTTTTTTTTCAATTAAACCAAATAAACAAAATTAAAAAAGACAAATAAAATTAAAAATGAAAAAAATAAAATAAAATCCACGTGTCCGCCAGGTCAGCGACGCCTGACGGACATGTGACCTCCGGTGAGCCACGCAGGCGTCTCTGACACCAGAGGACTAAAACAGCGAAAAAATTTTCATTTATAAAACTAGTTTGCAAAATGCTATACTTATTGCATTAAAAAAACAATTTACCATAATAATGATAATAATAATATAAAAAAATTAAACTCGAAATTCAATCACCTCTCAGTAAAAGTTATGGAAATTTATAGTTAATTAAAATAGCCATTCAGTATTAAAGTTAATAGTTAAAAACAATTATTTGATATTCTTATTTAAAAATATAAGTAAATTTAAAAGAAAATTAATACTCTAGTACTATATGTATATAAATAAGTGACCAAATTTTGGGGAAAATAATAATTATTGCATACACCTGAAAAAACGAAATAATAGTAATAATCTTAATGACAATTAAAATGTCTGTTGCGGATTTTTAATACGAGGTATAAAGAAAAACGTAAAAATATAAAAATAATAAATATATGTAATATATTATTTTCTGTGTCCCATGTTTTCCGTCAACTATTTTGATTTATGTTCGTCCCACCTTATTTGTCATTTAATTTTTAAAAATATGATCATACATTTTAAATTTTATTATTTATAATTTTTTAATTTTAATTATAATATTTAGTTATTTTAATTTCAATTTAAAATTAATTTTATTACACAATAATTATTTTTATCAATATACCTCTTAATTACTTATTAATTTGTACTCTATCTAAATTTTCGTATCTAAAATAAATTAGACACAAAATGAGATGAAGAAAATAATTTTTTGAAAAAAAATGTAATTTTTTTTTTTTTTAAAAAAAGAACACCCAAAATTATTAAATACTAAATTGAATTTAATTAACTAATGTGTTACACCAAATATTTGTGCGAAATAAATAAATAAATAATCATGGCGTTGCTGAAGGAATAGTCGTGTTTGAAGAACGATGTGTGGGCAGAGCAGCGTGAAGAGAATCGTGATTAGGTAATAGCGATTTAGGTCTCATCGCAGAGAAAAGCAGGAGAGCGAACAGTACGATAACGGACAAGGCGGACAGCAGAAGGCTCACCACGCGCGGGAATCGGCCGGGGACTTGCTGCTGGTAGCGCGTGGACGCCAACGCCAGCATTGTGATCGGGTACGAGTACGCCCACCATGCTACGCTGAACCTCTTCATTGATTTTTTAAATAATAACGGCCTGCATATCTTTAATTTAAAAAAATAATTAATAAATTAATTATATGTAAATATATTTATTTAATGGTTAAATGGCACAAAATTTTACAAAATTACATCAAATTTTTAGTATTTTTATAATTGCATCAAATTTTTTCATAGTTGCATAAATTTTACGTCTAATTCCGATGGTCATTATTTAATGGTATTTTATGTGCTCAAATTGCTAATAAATTTTAAAATATTAATTTCTAAATTTTTAAAATTCTAAATATATTTATTTTTGTTATATTTATACTAAAGAAAAATAAAAATAAACTTTTAAAATCTGAAAAAAATATTTATTTTTAATATATTTATTATAAAAAAATAAATATATTTTTAATTTTAAAATTTAGAAATTTATTCACAATTTTAACACTGCCAAATAGCGTTAAACAAAGACCGTCAAGAGTGCGCTAGCCAGAGTTTATGAAACCATGCAATTTAACCTTATTTTAATTAATTAAATCAGATTTACGAAAGCGACGTTGGAATATAAATATTCGGAATTGAAAATTTGGGAATTTTGGAAACCCTAATTTGGAAGGTTCCGTTCCGTTCCGTACCAGAGAGAGGAAGATGAAGAGCGAGAGGTAGAAGAGCATCTTCGCCGCCGTGTCGAAGCTACCGGTGATGGAGTACCAGGCGAGGCTGGCGAGGCTGGGGACGGCGAAGAAGAGGGAGAACACAGGGCGGAGCATCGCCGGGAGGGGGCCGGCGCCGTAGGGGATGCGCTGGTAGAGCGTGACGAAGAGGACGAGGTAATGCACCATACCGAGGGAGAAAAGGAAGATGGAGACCTCGGTCCACGCCATCTTCGCGGCGGCGCGGGAGCCGACGAGGTTTCCGATGACGGAGAGCTGGCTGGTCGGATTGGCGACGGCGGTGAGGACGCGCTTCCCCTTGGTGAACCACTGGCCGTAGATCTTCACATCGAGGATGACGACGGGGATTGCGAAGATCCACCACAGGACCACGAAGGACGCGTTGCGAGGCGTGACGAAGGGCGCGGACTCCAGGACCAGGAGCCAGGAGATCCAGGGGGCAAAAAGGTAATTTACACCGACGTGGTGCATAAACTCCGCCTTTATCGTCTGGAACCTGAGGAGGCACTTGAGGGCGTAGAGAAGGGACAGGAGCACGAGGACCAGAACAGAGAACGACCACACGACGGTCAGAAAAGTAGTGGAGAAAATCTCAGGGACTGAAAATGGAATTCTGGAATTCTTCTGGGGCCTGAGCAGAACTTTCCAAAGCAAAGCTTGGTAGCCGAGAGAGAGGGAGATTCCGAAGCAACCAGCGTGAATTCTGGTCAGGATCGCACCCATCGAATCCAACCTGCAAATTTCTCTCAAGGTAATTACTGTTTTCTTCATTGGATCATTCGTGTTTGGTTCAGACATTTTTTGGGTCTCCATTGGTTCTTGAAGATTTGAAATTCGGGGAATTCGGAATTCACTCCTTTGGTTAATTGTGTGTGTTTTATGTTTTGTTGTATATATAGTTGAGAGTAAGAAATGGTTAATTATTTATTGAAATTCTTGCTTGGCTGCTTGATTGAGACAGGATTTATTTTTTACAAGAATTTTAAAATTCCTATATAGCCTATAATTGGTAGAAAAAATAAATAAAAGGAGTTTGAATGAATTTGGCTAGTGTTCTTTTTATGCTTTAGGCTATTATATTATGTATAATTAAAATAGGTTTTGAGTTTTATTTATCGAATGGAAACTAAATTATTGAATATGATTTTTCTATGGACAAAGATATTTTATTATCAATTTGTACTATATTTTTGGGAAAAATAAAAAATAAAAAAAAATAGCAAATTATATACTATAAATTTTAACGTACATATTCTAAATATTTTTTATTTTAAAATATTAATAATATTACTTATATAAAAAATAATAAAATAATATCATAATTTACTATTATAATTAACTATCTAAATTTTATTATTTTAAATATTGTATCAATATCAATATGATTCATTCATTTGGAAAATAGAGTACTTTTCATTTTATTTAAAAACTACATATAATATTGACAAGGGATTAGGTTTTGATTTTAAAAGATCAACACTCATACTGATAGTATTGAAGTTAATTATTTATTTTATTAAATTATATAATCAATATAATTATATAATTTTTTTTGTCCCAGTGAATGGTTGTCATTTTTCGTCTTAAAATAAAGTTACTATTTTATAATTTAGTAATTGTGCTACGTACTGACATGATAAATATCTTTTCAATTTACAATATATTACAAATGTCATTACTATTATATTGCATAATATGTATTTTTGTCTTTTTTATTATAATCCAATATAATATTAATATTAGAAAATATACATTTAAAAATTAAACGACAATTTTTCGATAGGACAAAAAGTATATAATATTTATATTTAGGGTATGTTTAATTTGGGGTTTGAATTTTGAGTTAAGATTTAAATAGTAAAATTTTTTAAGTTGAATAGTTGTATGATGTGATATAAATAAGCATTGATGTGATGTTTTGAATGTAAAATTAATTTTTAATATAATATAAAAATAAAAAATAAATGTTTGATTTGATATTTTTAGAGAAAAAAATTAAATAAAAAATGTATTTAAAATCCAATTCGCCAAACAAACACACCCTTACACTATCAACATGAGTGTTGATTTTTTTAAAATAAACACACAATCCCTTAATATTACATCTTAATCAAAATAAAACCCGACATCACAATATTCTTTTTAAAGGGAATATATTGCTTACTTAACTAATTTTCAATTCAAAAAAAAATATACTCCACATGCAAGTAAACAAACATGTTTTAATTTTTGCAATGCTCTTTTGATTTTATTTGATTATTTATTATTATTATTATTATTATTATTATTATTATATATATATATATATGTATGAGTGTGTTTATTTTGTGAGATTGTTGAAAATATTTTTTTTTGTAATGTGAAATATAGAGAATTATTTAGAGAATATAAAATTAAGGGTAAATTATTCTTTGAATCTTGTATCTGACATCCTTTATTATTTTAGGATTTTAAGTGAATCTTGTTTGAAAATAGTTCCATAAGTAAAATTTTTTCGCTAAAATGGAAGTTGCCACGCTGGCATGCCTTTGCTGACATGGCGTGACGTGGTTGACATGTCATTGCCATGTATATGCCATGTTGGCGACACGTGAAATTTTGTTTAATTTTTATTTTACAAAATGTCTTGGTAGACTATTTTTTTAGTCTCGTATATGATCTCATTTATCAATTTTAGGATATTTAAATGGACTTTGTCTCCAAATAGTCCTGCATGTAAAAAATTTTCGCTAAAATGGTTATCCGACGTAGCATCTGCGTGGTGATGACATGTTAGTCACGTCAGCACCACATCAACAACGGCTACCAGCGTAGCGAGTCCGGCACCAGAGGACCATTTTAGTAAAAAAATTTTACTTACGGAACTATTTTCAGACATGGTCCACTTAAAGTCCTAAAATGATAAACTAGGTGAGATACGATACTAAGAAAATAATTTACCCTAAAAATAATAAATACATGTAGGGCGTGTTTGTTTGGATAATTGGATTTTAAATTCACTATTCATTCAATTTTTTCTCCCAAAAAATATCAAATCAAACACTTATTTTTCATTTTTTATATTATACTAAAAACAATTTTACATTCAAAACATCACATCAATACCTATTTATATCACATCATACAACTATTTAAATTCAAAATTTTTACTATTCAAATCTCAACTCAAAATCTAAACCCCCAAACAAACACACCCGTACGTATACTCCCTCCGTCCCACATAATTTGTTCGTATTTTCTATTTTCGTTCGTCCCACATAATTTGTCTTTTCTATTTTTGGAAATATAATTATCCACTTTAATCGCATTTTAAATTTTATATTTTTCTTAATTTTAATTAAATTATTTACTTATTTTAATCTTAATCTATAATTATTTTTACTAAATAATAATTATTTTCACTAATATACTTCTTAATTACTTACTAATTATATTTAACATAAATTCTCGTATTTACAGTAATAGTCCCATATTTTCTGGAACGTTCTGGGACGGAGGAAGTATTAATTTTTTGAAAAATTGTGCCCAAAAAAACTTAGAAAGATCAAAGCCTATACTTTTTTAAAAATTTTTTTCTAAAGCAAGAAATTAGATTAAATTAATAAATGAGCAATTTGGCTGGTTGATTGAGTGGGTAGAATGGACCCTAATAAGTACTTTCTTTTTTTTTTTATTATTATTTTTTTCTAGTAAGTACAATTTTGTATTAGTGGCTGGAGGCATGCATGCACATACACATTAATTAATAAATTAATTTCTAACATATATAGCCTTTGCACTTTTTAGATACTAAAATTGTCAAAATTGTAACTTCATTTCTAACATAGCCTTAATTGATTAATTTTGCTATTAACCCTTGCACTTAGACTGTATGTCATTCCTGCCCCTGCAATAATACTTCTACATTTTGACTCTTTAAATTTTTAAAGTCATACATAAACAAGTGGTCACTCAATCTGACCCATCGATCGATCGATCGATCGATCGATCGTCCGATTGATCGATATCATCTTTTGATCACACGTTTCAATCCGTTTGATATTTTGTATAAATAGCTCAAGGCTTGTAGTATTATTTGTGATATCTAATGGTAGAAGGTGACGCGCAGTGTATAAAAACGATTGTAGTTATTATTATTTTTTTTACGAATAATTTAAATTTATAATTGTAAATTTAGATTTCATATAAATATGGAATCAAAATTGATTAAAATTATTTTGTAGTTTTTTATATTTATGTTTTTATATATAATAATTATTGTTGAGAATGTTGGCTCTATTTATTTTGTTAATAAAACATACATTTATCTATGTAACACATTAAATTTAACAATTATTTTAAATAAATTACATCAAATATATTTTTTTTCTTTCACAATATATTAAATTAAATATTAATTTTTTTCAAACTTATAAATTTCAAAAAATTCTTGTCTAAACCGAGTCTGTTTTTCAAGTGGACTACTGTCTATAATCTATTATTAAATTTATATGTTCAAATATGATTAAGTCAACGGCGAAGTTTCATTAATTTTTTTAAAATAATAATAATTAAAAATACATGTTTAAAATAATTATTAATTAAAATTAAAATTCATTCTCATCGACTTGTGTATGCATTTTCCAATTTTATTTACCCTATATACATATATCATATTTTTTCTAAACTATGATTAGGAATTTGAATTTTGAATAATTAAATTTGAATTGTTGTCTGATGTATATAAATAAATGTTATTAATATTTTTAAAATATAAAATTAATTTTTAATATAATAGAAAAAAATATTTGATTTGATGATTTTTTTTTTTAGAGAAAAGAAAATAATAATAATAAAATTTTTAAAAAATACCCAAACCAAATACACCCACTTACATAACATGTTTTGATACAATATTTTCAAACAAAAATAAACTTGATCGTTAATATATATTCTCTCCGTCTCACATGAAATATTCATATTTTTTATTTTGGTTTTTTCTATATATTTGTTCTTTTTTTTTATTTTAGAAATATGATTATGTACTTTGATTTTATTTTAAATTTTATGATTTTAAATTTTTAAAAATCTTAATTAAATTGTTTAGTTATTTTAATTTTAATTTATAATTATTTTTACTAATATATATTTCTTAATTTTTTATTTTTTTATATTTTACCTAAATTCTCATATTTACAATAATTCCGACAAATTATCTGGTAATGAGGAATTATAACTTTACAACAATCAAATTTATATTCAATCTATGTACAATTCTAATGTTTTCCTATATAATTTTCTAAATCAAGCTCTGTTTAGGCAGAGACTTTTGGAAATTTTTTAAACTTTTGACATTTTAGCTAGAAGTAATCAAAATTAAATATCTGATTTAATATTTTTTTAAAAAAAATTATACTTATATGAATTTTTTTAAAAAGAATTAAATAAAATCATTGTATAAACAGAGCGTAAGATGCCATTTCTAGTCGGACATGAAATATTTTACGGAATGGTATAAATTAAATGCACGACATGGTACAAACTGTTTGCATTATACCGTAATTAAATGCAAGTGTGGCCTATGTATGTCCTAACCCTACGGATTGTGTTTGTGGTGTGAAATCGCTCCCCCGATCGGACAACGGTGAAATTTGGTAGTTTTTTCAAGCTAAGTACAACTTCTTTTGGTTAAAAAAAATATCGGTAGCAAAGACAATATTTATTTGGAAAAAATTGAAATATATATATATAACACATGTTTTTTATTTTACACATTATTACATATTGTCGTGTGAACTAAAAATATGTATATCACAAATTTTCATTAAAATATCATATTTAATATTTTTTAAAAAAATTATTCTTAAATGATATTATCTCCGTCCCTTAATAATTTATTTATTTTTTTATTTTAGTAATTGTATTATCTACC